GTGTATGTATATCAGATTACTTGCTCATGTGAAGCCAAGTACATCGGTCGTACCATACGCCAGCTTATGCAACGCCTTCGCGAACACTATCCAACTTGGTCGACAATGGAAGAACGGAAATGTATCCTCAGCTCTGTAACGGAACACTTAGCTAACTCAGGACATTTGGCTCCTTTTGATAACTCCTTCAAAATTCTGTACAAAGTGCGACAAAGCCACTCAAATGGAGTGAGGCTAAGACATCTTTGCTTAGCTGAAGCATTAGCCATTCAAAAATTCAAACTATCATTATGCGTTCAAAATAAGTATGTACAACCTCTTTCTTTGCTATGGTCATCGTAAATTATCAATCCCTCTAAATAATTCACGTATCAAGTAACTATTTTTATTTTGTAAGTATTTTTAAGTTCCCCATTACGTAACTTTTTTCGTGGTGGGAAAACACTCTGGGATGTTCTATCCTTTTTACTATATATTCACAAATGTACAGCTGAGATAATGATTTCGTCGAAAAGAAAAATGTTTTTTCACCGCAATCGTGTTTCTTCTTACTCAATAAGAAACACCAAAAAGGCCCTCTGAAAGCTCAGAAGAGATGATAAATTGATAATAACCAAACCTGATAAAGTATCCAGTATGGTTACCTATTATAAATAAATGTGACTGTGCAGATTAGACGAACCCTCCTCTCAGTGACCAAACAAATTCTCAGAAATTAAGAAGCTGTAAAAATACAATAGAAGCAACAGAACACCAACTGGCTACGACTCTTAGGTTAATGATGAAACAGGACCTACTCTCTACGTTTACATGCAATGTATTGAAACATTTAGGTACACATTTACCTTAACTGTGTATGGGTTACCAAACGTTCACACTTCTGGAATTCTGTCACGCCCAGTTCTAGACATATCAAACTCTCCGCGAAATGGTTGATGCGAGCGCTAGAAGCTCTACATTACGAATTGATGAGATTCAGTGTAAAAGATGTATTCAGCTTTATAGAGTATGTCAATTATGTTAAAGTCAAGAGAATGATGTCAATAGATATAACATCATTATTTACTCATGTCCCGCTTATGGAAACAGTCAGCTACATATGCGTCCAAGTAACAGAACGAGAGATAAATGTAGGAATCCCACCTGAAAAAGTTAATGAACTACTGCCAAAATGCGCAATTAACGTTCGCTTTGTGTTCAGTAATGAATTCTATGAGTAAGTAGATGGGATTGCAATGGGTTCTCCTCTGGATCATATGCTAGTGGATACCTTCTTTGTCAAATTTAGGGGTGTTTCACTGAGGAGCACACTTGATAAACTAGACTATTATTGCCGGCATGTAGATGATACTTTCATCATTCTTGACATTCGCTTTAACAAAGCAATCTGTTGAATATTTTCAATAATTTCTACCGAGGTATAGAGTTAACCTGCGAGAAAAGATAAGGAAATAGAACATCATTCCTGGATGTCGTACTCAACAGAAAAACGGATGGGTAAGTTCAGGAGAATATTTTTAGTAAAAACACAGACCAGTCAATATGTTCACTTTCATAGCTTCACGCCAATTCAGTATAAAAGAGGCATGGTCAAATACTTGAGTTGCAGAATACAAAATATATGTTCTGATGACTATATGGAAGAAGAGATGAATAAAGTGAAGATAATATTGGCGCGAAATGGTTATGCAGTTAACTTCATAAATAAGTACATTTAGAAATTATAGAGAAGGATAAAGTTGCTAAGAAGCCTTTATATCTTAGACTAAGTTTAGAAGATGACGTCGCCTCTGATATCGTAACACGCCGGTTGAGCAGATCTGTCGAAAGAACATTCACTATAGTGAAATTTTCGTTAGCTTCTCAACCGGACCATTACCGACGCAGCACACTAATGATAGGTTACCAATAATGGCCACTTCACTGTACATTCACAAGTTCAACTGGTCCTGTGAAGCCGGTTACACAGGATGTACTCAGAGCACTCTATCCATGTAGGCTGGTGACCATGTACCAGGTTGATAAGGGAAAGGAATTCCAAAGTGCATCAACAGTACAGTCTTTTCGCATTTAGTAGATAGTAGATATCAAGTTAGATCACACCTTTTCTGTGATTTACCATGTTCCTCGCAATCTCCTCAAAGGTGCACCATTACACCTCTTATCGACACAAGAAAACTTGATCTATATGTTCAAAAGAAATATGGGCATTCACTTTGTCTACCTTAGCCCACAATAGGGTCAACACGCTCTCTGGGAAGTTTTCTACCATAAACTCATTCTAACTTCCCATCCCTTTCTTTTATTTCATCTCTCTCATTCAATTGATACTCATTCATTTTCTTGTTATTAGTTTTATGCACTTTTGTCTTCATACTATTTATTACTAGTAGACACTTTCAACCTTTTCACTCGTGTTGAATATAACTCATCGCTACATAATAATTAATGAGATCCTCACATATATGCATACACACATAACCCAGATAGGTGTACATAAATGAATCATTGCTTCTAGGTTATATCTCCTTATATCTTAGTTGTTCTGTTCTTATTGATGTCATTGTACAAGTAACTCTATGGTGATTACTATCTATTCCACTTGATAAAAACTTACATCCATTTGATTTGATCTCCGTTTACCCATAACACTGACTGTTTCAATTTTGAAATAGTTTTGTATTATGCCTTACATTGGCTTATTGTATTTTAACTGTTTTCATGGATTTATTACTGTAGAACCTGAAGAGGAAGTTATTGAACACAACTGTTCACTTAATTTATTCTTGTTTTGAATAATCTATAGCGATCTTTAAATTGCAAAAATATGTCGCTGTTTTTAGATTTTCTACTGGATAAATCTTACGTTAATAAGTATTAAAAGGCTTTGAAGACGTTTCTTATTTAGGATTGTAAATTTCATGCTTCTTCCATTCTCATTTTTAAGGTATACTAGTATTCTTGGGATAACATTTTTTCTTAAAATAGACTGATTCTGTTGTTTAGTTAGATTGTCGAAGTTGACTTTTTTGTGTAATTGAGTTCTAAAGAATGTTAACCGATACACTCTTGTAGTGTTCAACGACTAAGTAGCTCTACAGGTCGCTCTATCAGTGGCCTAATCAGTTAGATTTCTTTCTTTTGGCTAGAAAGGCAGATTTTTTAAAAAGATTTAAATGTTATTGCTTGCTATCATCATTACTATCATTAGAAAGAGATCAAATTGGTTATTTCAGTTGTCACTAAGGTGGCCTTTAAAGTCACTCCAAGGACTCTGTATCAAGTAGTATAAATCAGCTGCTTACTTCGAAGCGCTATGCTTTTACTGCTACGACCACGCAATCGATCCTTCCACGTAGCATGAAGTGAGAAAACAGATAGGTATAAATGTACATATATATTTACGCATAATTTTTGCTTTTGATTCTATCATTAAAAACTGAATATTACAAATATGACAAGGTGAAGATAAACGAGGATTCCACCAACATATTTTTCTCCTAGTTTAGTGGCCACACTGCAAAGTGGTCGCTAGAATTCGGTTAGCACTTAGGACTAGGCATGATGAAATTGTGACCAATCAATATACGTAGTTTCTTCATTAATTCTATGTTGAGATAGACGTTTAAACTATAAATTCTTAAGTCACATGATTATTGAAGTGAGATTTGTGCGACTCACTCTGCAAGGCCATGTGTATTTTTAAAAACTGCAGGTTTGAAATAGGTTTTTAAATGATTTCTTATAGTCATCTATCCCTGAATTCAAAGTTCGTTCAAAATACAAACGTTTAGTTTGAACTATAATAAAACGATCTTGTAACACTCTTTGTTCTATTTCTGTCTTCCTGTCTGCATGTTATTTGGTAGGTTAATTCATTTCACTGCTGATTCCTATAGTTGAAAAAATTGTTATTCAATAAAACTTACCTCTGTGCTAACGTATTCATTGTGGATTTTTATAGACAGTACATTAGTTGGTAATTTGAGAGTAACCAGTGTGATGTTCACTTCTCCTAAGTGCTGACTGAATCTTACCGATCGATTCGCCAGTCTATTTACCAGACGAGAAGGCTTGGTATCGTGATGCTCTTTGTTTGAGGCTACCTACGAAAATCCCAGGACTTAGGTACAGTCGTGCCTTCAGTTGAATTATTGCTCTTGAATCCATGTAATCCAGTGCTACAATTACAGATGTCATTATTAGGCGACTTAGGCTAAGGATTGAAATCGATATGGAATTATTGGTTCTCTTATGATTGCGGAAATACCTTACAAAATGGTGCTGATGAACACAAAGCTTAAACTTATTGTCTCCAGCCACTTAACGTGTACACAATTCATCGACAGATTGATAGCTTTTGCAAATCAATCCATCTCATTCTTATTGAAAGTTGGCATCAGCTAAGGTCCTATGGCTACAAATAATTATATTTTGATTAGACTTTATTATTCGTCATTTATGTTGTACTTACGTTCCGGGCTGGATTTCAATTAAGAACCTTTTTCACTTTTTCTTTGCCCGTAAACAATAAGCCAACAGCTTGTAATGTAGATCATGCGACAATTTTTAGTAGGATGCAACTATTTTCATTCTCTTAGAGATGACGTTTTCATTATTCTCATGGAAAAACTGTAACAGCGTAGATTATCAAATATAAGTGTGACCACAGATACCTACCACAGACATTGAAGAGCTACTGCTAAAACATCAGAATTCTAGAATTTGTAAAACGCCAACCAATGACTGAATGGAGGGTAGTATATTCAGTGCAAAATTGAAAGAAACTGCTTTTTATGTCAAAAAGTGTGTAAAAATGAAGTTTCTTGTAGAACTAGAAGGGCACCTTTGTTAAGTGTTATTTGTATAACAGAAATCTCGAAATCGAGATTTGTCAAATCTGAAATTTTGTACGTTTATTAGTTTATGCTTCATATTTATTCAAATCCCATGACTAAGTGAACAGTTTTCTTCCAATTTTCTAATTCATTTTATTTCAGTAATTATGAAAATCTTCATCCTCAGCAATCTTTTCCAACAAATACTACTCAATATCTACCTAGGTATTGTTATCCTGGTCGTTCAGATGACGAAGAATATTTATATCCGCCCCCAGTTAAAGAACCAAGTCCATTATACTCTGATTGTGGACCATATTCAGATGTAGAGGAACCTGATTGGGACCCCAATTATATTGGCTATCGTCAAGGCGGCGATTCCATACCATGGATAGATGAACAACAGTATAGGTTGGTTTACACATTTCTAAAAGTAGCTGGGGAAATTATTTAAACTTTTAGTTATTACTTAATCGAAATCTTTGCTGTGTTGATTGTATTGTGTTCTCTGAGCTGGGTTGTTTAGTTGTGAAGCTTACATCATCTTTCTGTACCACATATTCAGCACTAACTTTAGTATGACGTGAGCTATCACTATTTCTCCGTGAGTGATTTAGTAGCTTGCCCTGATAAACTGCTTTTTGATTGGTTGTTTCCCTTGATTGTTGTGTCATTGACTGTACAGATTTTCCTGTTGGCTATTCTCTTCTAAACCTCTGACCTTTCTGTCGTTTATCATTTTTCTTATTGGTTGATAAACTGGGTCTATGTCTTTACATCTATTGATTGCTGACTAACCTGAATGCCAAGCTTCTAGGAATTCTCTAGTATTCTTTGTGTTTCCTCTGTCCGAAATTTCTACATCGCCAAAACCGAGTTCATGTCCATAGTTGTTATCCACATGCATTGGAATATGTGATGAAATGTCGTGACGTTTAATAGCCAGTTGGCTTTCAGGTAGACGAGCAAAGTCGAAGAGGACGACCACTTTGTCCAATGTAGTGTTGACTAAAGTTATTGCAGTTGATTCTGTAAATGATGTTCGGTTTATTTTTGGTTGGTGCATCCTTTTATCTGCCTAATAGTCTTTGGAGGGACTTTGTTGGTTTATGAGCCACACCAATTCCAAGTGATCTCAGTAATCTTCTGATTTCTGACATATTCTTTATCTACGGTAGGATGATGAGTTTATTGATTTCTGTCGATGACTTTGTGGTTGATATTGTACGGGACAGGAATCTTCTGATAAAGTTTCGTGGGCAGCCGTTCCTCTATAGGATGGACATAAGATTGACAAATGTTGAAGAAGTCTTCTGTATCCAAGCTGAGATTTCGTCAGCAAACAGTTCGTTCGAGCTGGTCCAGCTCTTCAAGTAGGTGAAGTGGTTAACGCATTCTACCACTTCACTCCTTGTCTATAGACTGTGAGTAGTTGCAGACCAGTCCTGCAACATCACCTACCATTTGACACTTGTGAAATGCGTGCGTAGCATGTTCAGGTTTCCGATGACGGCATTGAGAAGACGCTGAAATATATCAGCATATCCGAATAACAAGACAATATCGTTTGCGTAATGTAAGCCACCCAGATACCCTCTAGACAGTAGGTCAATTAGTGTGGAGTCTGAGGTCCCCACGATGATGTCTAATAATATACCTAAAAAAGACGTTGAACAAGAATGGTGGAAGCTAGAGTCACTGGGGGACACCACTAGTTGTCATTAATTCTGATGAAAACTCTCCACAAACCCTTGCACGATGGCGTGACTTCGAGTAGAGAGCTTTGTTCAGAGTTACGTACTTGCTCGGTACTTGTTTCATCGCATTTAGACACTGCGACAAGAACTGATGGTTGACAGAGTCAAGTGGTGTTTTCAGGTCGAGAAATATGGGAAGTGTCGGCCGCTGGTAGGTGTGTGACTGTGTCCTGTTACCCATCGAAGGGTGAAATGTGATTGATGTGCTGTCGTTGAGATGTGAAACCTGGATGGTGCACTCGTGTTTGCTGTTCTCGATCTCCAGTGAGGAGTCTGATAAGTATAGATTCTGTGAATCTGGCTTGATGTTAATCCAGTGGTTGTCACAGGAGAACTTCTCTCCTTTCTTGTAGAGAGGAGTGATCAGTGAAGTAGACCAGTCTGATGGCACTACTTCTGATTCCCATTCAGCACCTGGTACCTTTGTTGCTGTACTCAGCAGTTTACTTCCTCTCTCTTCCAAGGCATTTGTTTGTAAGCCATCAGGTCCTGTAACTCGGCATTGCTTGTCGTTTGCAAGAGCCCTCTTAACTTTGATTACAGTTAGGGTTATCACCATCTACACCTGATTCAGGTTGGGGTTTGATTGTGGGTGAATGAAGCATGGTTGTAGTCCATTTCAGTGGTTGTTTAAATTGATCTGCTCAATGTTGTACCTGTCTGTCATGAGAGGTGATCAGGATCCCATCCTTTCCATGATGACCTTACCAATAGTTGTTTTTTTCTTGTCAGTATCATTGTTAGGCTCGAATGACTGTCGGGTATTATCTGATTCTGATACCTTGGCTATCTTTCTCGTTTTCGTCATCAATACTGGTCTTGATGATTGCGAATACTCTCATTGAATTTATATTTGAGGTGCTTTCTTACCTTCTTCTTACTGTGGTAAAGATCAACTGGAACGAGTCTTCTCGCACTTAGTAGTTTGAATATTGTTGCTGGAATCCATTGGATTAGTTGACCTTAGCATGTGTGTTTGCAGTTGTTTTTGTTACTGTTTGTATAGCATGGTGAATATTATACCATGCTTCATCAGGTTGAGGGTTAGTGTCATGTTCAGATAGATGCTTACCCATCTCCATCAATGTATATTTGACGTTTTCATCTTCTAACGGAGGACGCATTGGCTTCACTGCCTCTTGTTTCCTGTGACCAGTAAGGTGGAAACATACAGATGCCTGCAGTAATGCATGATCGGAGCCTAAACAAGTATTCCAGAACGAGTGGCAGTCGTCTACCAGCCCACTGAAGTGATGGCTTGTAGGAGTGTGATGAATTATGTGTCCATCGTTTGTTTGATGTCTATGGATATCCAGGATCACAGTTTTTCTTCTCATGTTTGTACTTAGTGCTGGTTAGAAACAAGTAATTGTTAGAGCGAAATTGCTAGTGGGATCAATCTTTATCGTTTCGTTGTTGTAGGATATCGTAGATACATTGGAGCAACCCTTCCGATTGCCTCAGTCTTTTCCGGTGAGCCTTGAAGTTTCTTTGCTATGATGACTCTGTTTAGACATGTGCTGTATGTAATGATATTGATCGGTTTTGATGAGATTCTTCCGTTGAATCACTTGAATCGCTGTCTATGGAATGATGCAAAATGTTTGTGTTTAGCATAGGTGACCACTATGTCATCGTAGCAGTTAAAGTGTGAGAATCTCATAGACTTCAAATTACATGTATTTTATTGGGATAAGAGAATGGGAACACTCAGATCGCACATGTGTATGGTTGGAATTGTAGGGAGTTTGAGATAGAATATGTTCAGTGGTTATGTATTATACTTTGATTCTGATTAATGCCTATGATTCTATACATACTATTTCAGACTAGCCCAAACCATTCATTTTGTTGCTTGAATAGCGAATGCAGCTTGACTGAGAATATACAAGTAAATATTTGATATATTTGAAAGTTACTATCTGAATTCACATACTCACATCTAATGATCCCACGATGAATACAGAGTAGGCCTTTTTTAATTTTAACACTGATTAGTTTTAAATGTAGTTCCGTATGGTTATTAGTTAAGCTCCTTTTCTATAGTTGGTTTATGCGTGGAATTTTCCTTTAAAAAGACCTGAGAATTAAAGACATTTTTTTGTCTTCTTCATTTGCCATTTCGTTCGAATCACTAGCCAGAATCTATTTCTATTTGATGTCTTTGTTAGGTTTTAGTTGAAATGTGTTTATTATGTTTTGATTCATTAAAAACCAATTCTTGCCATAGTCCTTTCTTTTTCTATTGTAATCTCACACACCCACCTTTCAAGATTGACACTTATGATGTGAAATACTTCATTTTTGTACTTCACTCTTTGTGCATATGTATAAATTTACTTTTCCCTAGCTACGTTCCCTTTCAATCAAATGACTTGTTTTTGTTTATTGACTTCTTTTCTGTAATTGCTTATTTATAAATAGGTATGGTCAACGTCGCCGACGATCTCGTTTCAGTCCACAAACTAGTCGCTGTTATAGACGAGGGTTTCCCCGTTCTCTGTATTCTCACCCGACATATGGAATTTCACCTTCTGAGGCTTATTGTGATGGTAAAAAATATTATCGTACGAAATATGAGACTGAATTTCATGGAGATATTAGTGATATGCCGTAAGCACTTTATGTTTTTGATGTATTTTAACGTTTCTATAATCTCCATTGGGGTTCTGTTTATCCTAAAAACATGCTACTGGGATATATTTGCCCCCCTAAAAGTTAAATGTTTGATTGCTAGAAATTCTAACAACGGCTTTACATTTTGTATATGATTAGTTAGTTAATTCATTGTATGTGTGGAATTACTGGACGTTTGCATCTGTCTGTTGACTGAGTTGATTGAACCATTAGTAAAGTGAAAAAAGATTAAGACGAAATACATTTCGTCTATGTAGAGTCGACTCCTCTCTTATGGAAGGCGAACATCTATGCACAAAACTGTTAGCATAACACAAAATCTAAGAATGAGCTAGTTTGTAATCATAGTTAGAAACACCTATCAGAAATGTTTAATTTCACTTACGTTCTCCTTCTTTTTCCCTCCAAAATTTATGTTTAACTGCTTTTTTCTTAGCATCTTCTTTCTGTTTGTTACATTTTTACCAATCAGTTATAAAATTTTATGCCATAATCAGTCAGATTCAACTGGTTTTAGCTCAACTGCAATTAAACCTTCAGTTTAGCAGAAATAAGTATAACAGTCCATGGAAAATGACAAAATAAGACTATTTCAATCCGATTTATTTTTGGCCGCAAGACATTATTTTCACAGTGCAGTGTATAACGGATAACACACATCATCACAAACAGTGTTTACTAATGTTTTCGATATTCATCAAATTAATTCCACCTTAAGAATTGATAAATAAACATGCTTCCAGTTCTTTGAACGTTCAACAACAAAAATCCTACTTACTTGAGGAATTCATGGTTTTAACAGCGTCATTGCACATCGATCCCTTAACATGGACAGAGTCAGCAACTTTAAAATAATTCTTAGAATACCTGCAGTTTCAAGCTGTCTATGTTTTTAGGCTTTCACAATTAATGTGTCGAAACATAACGTTTGTGATAAATTATTCGCTTTCTTCAAACTTAGTACAACATTGGAACCAAGAGATACATCACACAAAATATCATAAAAATATCACTAAAACATAAAAAAAGATAGAGGTAGTGTAGAATTTTAAAAAATAATCAAAGAAGCAATTTCATTACATGCATTGAAAGAAGGGTCAATTTCTTTTGTAGTTTTTTCTGATGAAAAACAAAATCGCTATAAATTGGTCGTCACTGACATCGATTTCGAATCGTGTGGGGTATCGTCTCGATCCGCTGAGATGCATTTTTTCGATGGAGCTGTAACCCTTTGACTTGGACACTGCAATTGTTGTCAGTCCATGATGAATTCTATCTTGAAAATAACTCATCCCTACAAACATCTATATTGAAGTTTTCGTTTTGCTGATAAGTTTTCTGAGTATCATAGTATTTTCTACAAAATCTGCATCATTCTTATCTTATGGGTTACGTTTCCAGCATAATTTGTTACTGATAGTCATATCAAGATGGTGTTATTATTCAGTAAACAATAATGTAGTACTGTGAGCTATATCAAATAAACTCAGTCATTCAGCATCATTTTGAGACCTAGGTTTAATACCTAACGGTTCGAGTTATCACACCTTATATCAACAAATCAAAGTAGTAGACATTTAGATAAAGGTAGGAACACAAGGAAGAAAGCTATAAAAATTGGTATAAAATTGTGAAAAGAGGACTAGAAGGAATAAAACAGTAATTAAATTTGGAATGGCGATTAAGACGAAGATATTGGGTGAACATATCTTCGCTACTGCGTTTAATTCTTAGTCATACCATTTCGACTAGCTAGTGATTATTGTTGCCACATGAACTTCAACCTGTAGGTCGACAATGGCTAAGACCAACAGTTAGCGGCTTCATAGACTGATGCCATGTTTCACTCTGTCCACCTTTAACCGTTTTCCAGTGTGAACCTATTTCAGCTAACGTTTCAAAAGGAGATGAACAGTGTGTAGAAATACGTAACTCACACCCCAGCGCAGTGTCTTAATTCTACTGTTAAGCGTCTGGCAGCAAACAGAAACCCAAATGGTTTTAGCAAACAGCTTGTATATATGAGTGGTGACGGCCTCATTCCTTCTCTAATACAGCCGTCTCACCTCAACCTTTAAAAATAACCGGATACAAGTTTTTTTACGAAGTGCCTAAAAGCGTTTTTAGCTCCTGCTTGATGATGCAGCATTTTTTGAGCCAGATAGTCTAGCTCACTAAATAGACGAAGTTAGAATCGTGTTAGTCGGATAGAGGTAGTCGGTAGGAAACCCTGGACCTAGGTTTTTTGCTTTTTAGCACATGCCAGCAAGGCGTATCTGCAAGTAACGTATATAACATTCCAACCACACTAAGAATCGTCCGGTGACCGATTTATGTGTATTATAATACATCAACTTTCCTACCTTGGTAGCAAACTCTCTGACTTCACTTTTGATTGACACGAGTGCTAAATTTCAAGTGAACGTGAGTTCCCTCAGTGATAAATGCTGACAAGCACAAATCTGGGGTTTATTGACCCCTAAGATATACTACTTAAGTATTTCGATTTCAAATAATGCTTATTATGTGAGTGAATAGGAGATATGGGTAAAGACAAAATTTACATTTATGACACAAATGATACAGTGAAAATAACTGCCTTTTAAGGAAAATAATTTGAAGAATTGGACACAAAGTATTTCTACTGAAGACTTAATTATATGTAAGTTTAGTGAGACTCTGAAAACTATCATGTGACCATCTGAGAAAGCCGTTGTTTGGCAGACTAGCATATATATATATATATATATATATATATATATATATATATCGTTTCTCAAAATTTCGAAGTGTATTGATTGGTTATGAGAAGCTCCAAAGATTTAAGACATCTCTGAAATATCAGGACGGTTTTATTGCGTACCATAGCAATTGCCTTCATTCCTTTGAATATATAATCCATCCTCTTTTTATCTTTAAGTGGATAATATGCAATAAACTTTTATCTTTCGGTGCACGGTTAATTTGTACTCAGTAATGAATTATGATATTATCCAAGTAACTTAGAAAACTCACCGAGTCTCAAAATTCACTACAGTGAACCCTAAGCTTAATCATTTTGTATGAATTAATATTTTATTCAATAGACAATTTTCTGTGTCTCAATTTTCTCTTAGTTTAGATAGCAGTTCAACAAGATGGGAGCTAGTTGACTAATACTTCTTCATATTTTTTAAAACATTTAAATGAGTAGTGTACAACTAGGTCACAAAACTAAGTGTGCGTCGATTCATTAGAGTTGCATATTACCTTTGTAGAACTAACCAGTAATCTATAAATGTCGTCATCCGTGATAATTAACTGTTAGAAATGATTGACAAGTTCGTACATATAGGTTAGCGTGTGTGTCAGTGAGGGTGTCGAAGAAGAAATTTTCAACGATCTACCTTAACCAGAGCAATATACACCAATTGAAACCCTTTTTAACATCGTGTTGTTATTCTTATTGTTCATTTCGTCTAGATAGGTTTCACACTTCAGATTCAATCTCAAAAGTAGAATAATGATGAAAGTCGAGTAAAATAGAGTCGTTGATACAACATACATTTCTATACTGTTCAAAAAAGACTGAAGAAATATATACTGTCATCAAATTTGTTTAGTTTTCTTTCATTCCTGAGATCATCAAAATATAGTGTATACAATTTGCCTTGGATCATTTGTCAATACTTATCAATATCTTTTGCTGACCACTTGATTTTGGTCTTACGTCCTGTTCAACAGAGGATCTGTTGAGACTGGAATATTAACTTGTCAGGAAATTAAAACCTAACAATACAAGTTGACATCATGAATGCCTTCTTTGTCACACAAACGCATCGTTAGTGAGTGCGACAAAACCTGTGTCCAAGGATTTTTCCAAATAGCTACTAACATCAAGTGTAAGGCAGCATTCATCACGGGTTGACATCACATGGAGAACTGCTGGAAACCTGGGATCACTGGACAGCCGTTTCGTCCCTGTATGGGGCTCCTCAGCAGCACATGCCCACGATTCGGCTAAGGATCGATCTCAGTACCTTCAGGTTTCATGACAAATGCGTTAATCATCCAACGAATCGGTTGGACTTCAATGGTTCACAGTTTCCTACTCTTGTCAATCCGCGATATGACGTGATATAACGTATTGTTGAGGAGCCCCATACTAGAACGAAACGACTGTCCAGTGCTATCAGGTTTTCAATGGTTTTCCAACGGATATCAATTAGTGGTGAGTGCTACCATCTTAAACATACAATCCCTATCAACCTCAAAATATATTTCAGTTTAAGTTCAATTTTTAATCCGCCTTATCTACTTTTATTAAAACATACGAATGTAAGATATGAAAGTGTAAATCTTTGGTTCCTTTTTAGCATTACTGTAATAAACATTTTTCTTTAGTTTATGTAAGCTTTTTTTAAAATATGTTAGAAAACTGTTTGACCTAATTATATTCAATACACTGAGATATCGAGATAATAATAATAATAGATGTAACTTAAGTGGAGAATGACCATTTGACCTCTAATGTCATTTTAACTATTTATTTAACAATACGTAGTTCATGCCTAGAAAAAAAGTTCCTAATCAATATATACATTTATATATTGTTTACCTACCCTATCTTCAAAGACATCCATCTCTCAGCCACTTTCCAATCCTCTTTTCATAATAAGTTGATCTTTAAGTTTTCAAAGCGCTTAAACTCCAACTTTTTCCTGTTCACTTATTCTTCATCTAGCTCAAACTATTGTTGTTCCTGTGACTCAGATTATGAAGTGGATACAAAAATTATATGGTATGTTATTCTCAATAACGGAAACTTGTTTAAAACTGTGGTCCATATAAGTTTTCTGTTTATTTCCTTTTGTAGACCGTCCGATCGATTGGTCAGTTGATAGAAAGTCTGATTGTTTGTTTAAACTAGTATCTTATCACATACTGTCAATCGCTAATGCTCATTTTATGTTATCCGTTTTCAGTGGACTTTGAAATGAAAATCAATTAGCTGAGTGATTTCACATTAGTATAATCTGAAGATGAATTAAATCACATTATTGTAGATCCTCACAGTGCATAACGACTTATATATCCACGATACACAGCTTTTATTATTGGTGAAGCCCTACATCCTTAGTTCTGATGGATTCCATCTTACAGTTCATCCGTATAGTTAAGATTTATGAGTCTAATGTAGTAGCTCGCGTTAACTGCTGATGCATTACGATTATTAGTTAGACAGACAAAATCACCTTAGAACCTCACACACAAGTGCATCACTTCAAGTCACCATACTTCACATTAGTATACCAAGAACAAGTGGATGGAAAAGGATTCAAATCGAAGTAAACAAAGGAGCATGGGAGGGGAATGAATTTAAAAACGAAGGTTAATCAAAACACGGGCTTTGAAAAACGTCAAAGAAAGAATGCATCTGCACCATTGTGGCCAATTTTGAAATATGTCATCAAGAATCCTCAACCACTGATTCTTATCGTCTCTGGGACTCCAACCAGGCAGTCTACTGCTTTCTACATGATACAGATCGACCGTCTGAGACTTCATATTGGTCTGGTCACCGTAGACTTCTTTCCAAACCAACCTAATTTTAGCTAATCTTGCATACTGAGGTAGTTGGTGTTTTGACATACGCACATATGTCCAAGCCACTTTGGTCGGGGGTTGGTTCACGACCTTATCGACTAGCTTGCCCACTTTGCTGAATACCCTTAACCCAATCTTGACATTTCCTACATGGCGATTCCATCATACGTGATCAGTGCTGTGGAGACACCAGTGTTAGGGATCATGTCATCTCTTCAATTTCAACGATCATGTCTCACACCCGTATGACAGTACGGAGGGCATTTCAGTATACTCACTCAGAATTGGTCAAATGTCTGGACAACCAGTACTAGAGATGAAGTAGGCTATCAAGTGTCAAACAGGTGTTCTGTATCGGAGCTGGGATTGTGTCAGCAACCAGTTGGTTTGTGCTGGTGCAACCACTTAGGTAAACGAAATGGTCTACTCATTCTGCCACTTCACTCACCATCCTTAAACTGATAATCGTCGCAGACCAGTTCTGAAGCATCATCTTACATTTAGCACATATGAAAAGCATGCCTAAGGTATTCAGATTTCTGCTCAAGGCGTTCAGAGGACCCTGTTTTTCGTCAGCACCTTCACCTAGCAGGACAATGTCGTCCACAAACTGTAAGCCAAACAGATCTCTTTCAGACTGTAGGTCAATCAGTGTGGATTCAGAGGTGTCTAAGGTTATGTCCATTAATACATCTATGACGAAATTAGACAGGAATGGTGACAGAGTTCTTCCTCATGGATGAGCACCATTGATTGTTTTCAATTCAGATGAAAACTCAACATAAACCTTTACACGGCTGGGTGAGATTGGGTGGGGAGCTTTGATTGGCTCTACATACTGGCTCGATGGTCTTTTTAGAGTCAAACACTGCTGCAACACCTCACTGTCGATAGAGTCAAGTATCGTCTTCAAATCAAGAAATACGGTGATTGTCGATCACTTGTTTGTATTCCTGTGTCCTGTTACCTGTTGAAGGTTGAAAACATCGATGAAGCTGAAAATGCTATTGAATTCACTTCAGTTAAATGACTTGTCGGAAACTTTCTCTTTTGTTAATCGATTCTAGTCTGTATTGAAGAAAGCACTGTTGGGCATTTGTCAACTCTTGTCATAATTATTGGCTGTTATTTCGATTTCAGTGGCTCCTCAATTATGATAAGAACTTTCCTTATAAAGGTATGATTATAGGTTGGTTCATCAAAGAAGCTACTGAAAAAGGTTTGTACCAGTAATATCTGGATTACTATTCTGTCAACTGATCTACAAGGGTTGATTTCTGTGTAGTTCTCAATCAAGGATTAATCTTTTTATACTTTTCATTCCCTAGGATATCGACGTAACTGATTGACTGAAGTGGATTTCATTGATTAGTTTTAAGCTGAACAATCCGAAGATTTTCGTCGTCTTTTCTGTTCGGAAATCGAGAATTGGCAGCTCATTAAGGAGCCTTTTTACTAACTTATTCATTACGTTGTGTTTGTGACTATTGTCTTGAGTATTACGTTCGTATTTTATTTGAAAGCTTAAGTTGATGATGAGCATGTGCATGTCCTTGATATATTTTCTATCGAATTCATCAATTTGATCAATCTAATGAAAGCCGAATAATATAACAAAAACCTTCTAGCTATTGAATGTAATTTATATCTTGTACTATCAAGTGTTTCATAGCATGGAATACATTTATCGCTCTTCTTGACAAAGTTCACGTTAAAAAGTAAATACATCTTAGATCATACATAATCATAGCGTTATTGTCAGTATGCCTTCTTCAAATATGTTTCTTAGTCTATATTTCGTAAACCATACGGTTAGAATATAAGTTGGGCCACAACAAAATGGAAAACCGACTCATAAATAGAAGGAATTTTCTTTTTAGCGATTGGATTTCAATGAAACTGTCACTTATGTAAATTATAAAGCATAGTAGGCCTTCCTTTGAATATTTTCAAACACTAAACACTTTTAGTATTGTATCATCTTCCTTATTCACTTTCTTAGCATGAAACTTAATGAACAAAATGTAAAAATTAAAGTACTTGATGTTACTATGATTTCGTAAAAAGACTCTTTCGTTGGAAGTACACCGTAGCCTTCATTGTCACAGTCGGTTCGAATGCAGTGGTGATGTTTCACTAGGACGTTTTTCGAAAACCAAAGGGGTTCAAATCGCGTGTATAATGGCTTCAAAAAAACAACCTTAAAATCTGGATCGTTTATAACATTCGGTAATAGTTGCTGAAAACTATTCATAACAATTAACAGTGCTTGCTGACAACATTAAAGTTACGCAGCCATAAGATGTGCATTTTACTCATTTTATCTGAAGCTGATCATCAGTGTTCTCATTCTGATTCATTTCAGAGCAACAAATCACTCAAATCACCTTCCGTTTCACTCAGATTATAAAATAGTATACTCTAGTGAAGTTCGTGATTCTGCAAAAACGTGTTTTCACAGACATGAAATTGTTCGCTATTTCAGTGTCTTCCAAGTAAATACCTATCCGTCATCATGAAGCACAAATCACTGTAAAACTAACTGATTTGATATTGCAGTGCACTGTATTTAGAATCGGTTAGTTTGGGTTGACTGATATGACATCCTGTGAAGAAACGACTGGTGCGAAATATGTCAGTGTCTAATAAATTCGTATCATCCAGATAATCCTGGTATCGAATTATAAAAGATTATATATATGAGAACTGGCTATTTCTGGTGTTCTAAGACATTTTCAGCAGCCGACTTAAGGAAACCGTCCGATTCAATGTTCTGTTGACAGAAAACTGGAGGGCTTTTTGTTAAAATGTTTGATATTTCAAATGACAGTAGTATACTTTACGGTAACTACAAGTACCTGACGTAACTCCTAACTTATAATTCTAGGGAATTTGCTCCACATTGAAATACAGCAAGATAGAGAAGTTAAATTAGCCACTAGCTTTCCTTTGTATAACACAGAAGATTGTATATATTTCCTAATCCCTTCGACAAGATGTTCCATAGGATAGTACCTACATTTGTAAGTGATTTATGTCTTTGCAGTGCACAATAGTCGTAGAGTCAAGCAGAAATGTCCCGTTTGCCGAAAACGTTAACTTTTTTTTTACCTGTCATCCCCATTAAATTGGATAATATTTTCTAGAGTTTTTCAAATTTTGATCGCTATATTTTCTCAATGAACTAATGTACATTTTTAGCTTTATGTGCAACTGTAATACTTACATTTGTTTCTTATTACATTCAACTTCAGTTTCGATCAGACACAACATTACAGTCCAGTTGGTGTAAATTATCAGCTAGAAGCTTCAAGTCCAAGTATTGGCAAGCCTTCATTAGCCTTAAGGTCTGTTTAATATGCATGTGTGTGTTTTGTTTTTAGTCTTAGTATGCCAAAGTTGCTTTTATTAACTTTAAGAGAACGTCAAGATGCATATTTTACGTATTCCTTTAAATCATATAGAGTAACTTGTAAAATTCTGGTAACAGTCTTTTCCGATTAAAATGTGTAGATCTTAGAAGTAACCCTGAATACCATAGATGAAATCGTAGTCTGTTCACAAAACTTTCGTTGTCATTGATTCCTGCATTAAAAATGTATTTAGAATGAAGATTTTCCTAGTAACGAAAGCATCAATCAACTACGAAAAATCAAAGTGTTTATTTCTAGCTTACTGTTTGTTGTACTCGATTATACACAACTCATCACTTTTATGAATAAAACCCCTAATTACCGTCATAGCTTTCATGATTTTTCTACTCGTAACATATCTAAATAAGTAAACAAACAAACAAATATGAAAAGAAAATAACCTAACCGTTCAAATATCGTAACTATAAGCTTGTCAGATTATTTTCTGATGGTGGATTTGTTTTCAAGAAGCAAACTAATGCAAATGAACAACATTCTATTTTAATTCATACCGGCAGATCACGGGAAACTAACAGAGAACGAGATTGGGGTGTGAAAATAATAATCGATTGCAGACGACGTACCACTGCGATTCATTTTGAGTTAAATCACCTCAAATCTCTAATAATTGACTTCAGTGGCTCTGTAGCTTGTTACCAGGATGCCTACGTTTCCCACACACTACTTAAACTCCTCATCCCAGACTTACTCCATTAGTTTAACTTTCTGGTCCGTTCATTCCAAGATTGATAAGAGCTATTCATTAGCCTTTGAGGGTAACTGAATGTTTGTCTTGTACTCGTTTGTAAATCACCCCGAAATGCTCCAATCATAATCCTTCACATTTTATCATTATTTACCAATGGTCTAAATTAGATTTTTTGTCATTTCATCTGATGCAGATTACAGAAAGTGAAACTTGCTTCTCCAATTACAGTGAATAATCAGTGTCGATTAAACTCAACAAAAAAAGAATTTATATTCTATGAAGAAATATAGTTAAATTTATTTGTTTAATTATTATGAAACTTGAGAAAATGGATCTAAATAAAATTGAATTGATTATTTTCTATGCTTTGATTCCATGTGATATAAGAAACAAAGATTAATCAACCAATAAGTAGTTCGAAGGATTAACATTAAATTTTAGTTGATTTCGTGTTAATTTACACCTTGGATGAATTCTTTTTCATCACATTTTTTTCCTTCTTCTATGGATGGCTGTTTAGAGCTTTCAGTAAGCTGTTGACGCAGGATTTTTTATTTGTATGTTTTTCTAGCCATTTAAGGATATGTTCCACCAACCTCGACTTCATAATTCGATTACTTCTCCTAACGTATGTCACCGCACACATATATATACCAATTTACATATGTGTGCAGTGACAAATACGTTGGGAGGAGTAATCGAACTATGAAGTTGAGGTTGGCGGAGCATATCCTTAAATGGCTAAAAAAACAATAACATTCAAACAATCTGATAAATACAGGGGGCAGACAAACGTCATCCTCAAAAGATAAACACATTATAGAAACAGGTGAGAAATGTGGTACCGCTAAGTGTGTTTGTACAAGCAGAACACAGGAAGTTTTCTTCGCAATCAAAAATGATGGTGATGTACTGAATTCTTGATTTCGAAATATGCCTTTGGTTCTATACCTTCAGTAGTTCAGTGAATTTGCCATCTTAAGTTAGGTTTATCAACCGAAAATTAAGTGAAACAGATAGTAGAACTATAATGTAGGAGGTTCGTACCTCAGTTACTCAAGATGGCTTAACAGGTCGCTAATGAATTCAGTTTTATATGACTGAGGAAAAAAGTAAGGGACAGTGAAAAAAATATGTGTTTGTATTAGTTGTACTGTTATTGCCATTACTGGTAAATCAAATGTTAACTAATATGAAAGAAATATTCATGAACAAGTTTAGGAACCATCTATCTATCTATCTTCAAGATGTTGTGGAAAAATATAACTGAGTATAATGAACGTTAGGGTTACATCATTAAGTGATTGAGTTATCCGGAAATATACAGTCTTCGTAAGTAGAATCTCTAACACTGTAGAAATCATTAGCATGTGGTCTATTTATCATGACTGTTCACCAATATTTCTATGGAAGTTACTTCATATGAATGATTCTTATTGTTTCACTGTAGTTCAATATACCTTAAGAATACTTTCATATTCATAGACTAAGCATCAAATTGTTTCTAAATGTGAAATTGCTAAAGCGTAAGTTTGATAGTGTTCCTTTTCGTTGACATTTTAACTAGAAGCAAATTACTCTTGACATAAATTTCATGTTATCTCTTTCCCCATATTTTTTTAATATTCTGATTGGATTTTAGATAAGTACAAAATCATACATGTTTAAGTTGAAAAAACGTTTTGTTTACAAATTGACATATGACTTCTTCTAACTCACTCTGTTGTCTTTTCCATTCTGACATGTAATCTTGTTTATTGAAGACACATATGTTCACCTAAAAAGATATGAGGATGGAGTATAGTAATTACTTTGTATGGTTTAAAAGCCAGTATTTAGTGCTTTTTTCATGATTCATATCTTCTATTATTTTATAGTAATATGTATTAGGCTTTAAGGTTATTGATCATTTATCGCTCGCTTTTCTTTCTTACTTATCTTTCACAGTCGATCAAGCTCGCCATCTCGTATGTATAGTCCTAATCTATGTATCAAAATTATTAGGTAAGTATATATATATATATATATATATATATGTCAGTTGCGACCGATCAACTTTGGTCCAGTCAACGATAGAGAATTACAAGCTATGCTATAAAACATAAACCGTTGCATAGTCAGCACTCAATCAATTCATAATGACCAAAAAATAATCATGCCATCCAGCTTTTAGTCATGTTGGTAATCATCAAAGCCTATTGGTGACGCGCATTAAAAATACCGCTTGTCTGAAGCTCTAAAGCGTCTTGTGTTTCTTCACAATTTGAAATCAACTGTCTGTTTACTAATACAGTCGTTTTCTTAAAACAGCTATATATGGCTTGAAAAAGTTGCTAGTGACACTTCTGGCTATGTTCTCTGCATTCTTGATGAAGAGCTTAAAATTATCCAGGTTGCTTATTTGTCCTGGTTAACACATCTACCAACCACATAACCTTGGAGTAGAATCTGTCGTTGCTTCTCCGTCAGTATCACTTACCATCTAGAGAGCTCGGTGGTAACAGCATTCACTTCAGTACTGGTTGGTATAAGGTTTCCTCACTGAGCCCGTATCAGCTAGTCGAAGGCTGCGAATTGTCTGCAATTTACCTGCTGCTGCAAGCACAAGACCTGGTACAGCAGCTCTACAGGGAATACTTTTAAGCATTCAACACGGTTTACCATTGCATCTAACTACTTTTACTTGGTGGGCTGTAACTTCACTTTATTGTATTTAATGGCCGTTATATCCTGAGTCTATTTATTTACGATAACTTATGTTTATCTTTTGTTTTGTGCTCTGAAAATCTGAGTGAATCTGGATGTTTATATTACCCATTTATTTGATATTTACACCATCTAATGGTGTATGGTAGACTAAAATTTCCCACCTAATGAAACCAACCAAGTCGTCAATCCTTGATGCCTAGATCCAAATACTGCTTCAACCGTTTTTAGAAATTCCGATCAACATTTCGTTTGTATGTTGTGTAGTCGGCAACATTTTAAACACATAATATTTTTTTAGTATTATCACTGATACCTAGGCATATGTTCGCATAAAATTTAATTTCGATTAAGGGTTATTCTTAAACATGGTTTATATGTATATTGAAATATTTCGACTTTTCTTCTTTTTGTACCTTCAATTTCTACCACCTCATGTTATTGTTTTTGCGAGTAAATCCTAATTTTCTGTTCCTGTAGTCCAGAGTCAGTAAAAAATGACTTCCGTGCATCTGCTGAAGCTGCCGTCGCTCAACATTTGCCTCCCGGTGAACATCCTGCTGATTTGCACTTTGTGAATGTCACTCCAATTCCCGTTACATCTCCATTAGTACCTCCCAGTTTTCCTTCTAACCAAATTTCTGCTTCAGCTTATCAAGGTGTTGATAGTTCAATAAATGGCACATGGGATAATTCTAAGGCGGACACGGTGACGAAATCTTCATCGCATAAACAGCTGCCAGGTGAAAGTTCATCATTTCAACGAGATCGGTTAGCCATGGCTCGCGACAGTTTTCGGCAATCAGGGGAGAATAGCAAGTCAGTTTCTGGTAATGAAATCGCTGTTGAATCAATGTACGCAAATAAAGCGAGCAGTAACCTGTTGCAAAAAACAGATTCTACCAATCTAAGTTTCAACGATGTGCTTAAGAGAGAAGTGGTCACACACAAACAAGGTAATAACATGAATATGTAAACTGGTATGATACTTTTCGGGAATTAAAATTATGGTAAACCTTTCTTTGCTTTTTACAAGACAAACTTTGAGATTTTGTTAGTTACTAATTGGGGAATCTGTTGACCTTTTGGTGAACGTCTCTGCTTGACATGACTACAAACGCTTGTCCATATCAAAACTGCTTTATTAACAAATTCTGTTTTTTCTGAAACGAGTAACTTACATTTCTTACGTAGTGCGTCTGAAAGCCACCCAAACAACTACAGAAATAACCAGTTAAATTTCTTCTCCTTTACGAAAAATACCTTTCTAATTGAGACAAATAACTCACTGGTTATTTTAGCAGTTAATGGGATGACGTTTAACGTCACTAGAGTTTTAGAATAAAGTGAAGTTGCGACTGTATAGGGAAGTTCAGACAACTATGCACTGTGACACGTAAGTAGTGCTGTTGTGCTGAACTATTCAGTTTCAGCCTTAGAGTGTAAAAACGTTTCCTCAAATATACAAAACGTTGTGATGGGTGAAATCATGCCCAAAGTGCAGGTACACATCTCATTGGCGTATCATATACACATAACGAGAATGATATCGTCTAGACTAACTATAAAATAAACTTTTCTTGCTCGAAAGAAATTTAATTGCATTGGGGACTTTAGTGTTTCTCCGTCGAATTCCTCTTTACAGGATTTCATTACAGTTTGGATATTTTGGAATATGTTGAATAGGCCCATAGTAACATATTTATCTGTTCTGTTGATACATGTATGTTTGACTTTATGCAGAGAAATCCTTTTTCTTAAAAAGACGGTCACTGACATTGATGGTATCCTTATCATAATCTATGGATTTTCAGTATGAATTTCTTTATTTTTCAAGTTGGTATTCATCATGGACTGACATCAGTTGGAGGGACACTGGAAACATGGGGACATTTGATAGGTAATTCGTCCTAATATGGGACTCCTCGTCAGTGCTCATTCTTGACCCCGCTATTAATCGAACCCAGAACCTCCAGGTTCCGTTGCCAGCACTAACTTCCATCATTTCACGACACAGCGTGACCATGACCCATTGTCGTAATTGAGTATTTGTCCTCAAGTCCACCAAGTTTGTCCCACTGGTCACGACTTCTCATTGGAACTTCAGGAACTATTTCTGAAAGCTAGTCACTAGCGGGGTCAAGTGTGCGCACTACCGAGGAGTCCCATCCTAGAACGAAACTGCTGTCCAGTGCTCCCATGTTCCCAACGTTTCTCCAACTGATATCAGTCCGTGATGAATACCAATATGAAAAATCTCTAAATCTCCACAAATCCTCGGACTTAATCGCTTTATTATCTGCAAATTTCTTTTGTTGGTGTTTAATATACTTCACATGGTCATTTATGAGTAACAAGTCTCCAGAAAACTCAGTAGTATTAATTGTTCTTACATTTCATACACATTCCATAAGAATGCATTCAGAAGATGAGTGTTTGCAAAGGAGGACTCAACATATTTTTGTGATCACTGAATTGCTGACTCCATTTTTTCTGTCAAAATTTCTACATTGATATCAGCGTTCATTGGGAGGTTTATGTGATATCAGTTGGAAGATGTAATTACTATGATATATTGATGAACAGTAATTTATGCTCAAAATTTCATCCAGGTAATAGTACTGTATTACTATTATTATTATTCGTCTCTTAGGTTCCTAATGGAACACAGGGCTTCAGTAGCACGTCTCTCTATCTTCTCTAAAAACTTTTGAACCTGGCTCCATGACAGCCCTTCTCGCATGATCTCCTCAATGTCACCCTCGGACGTCCAACTCATCGTTTCCCATCTGGGTTCCACTCGAGTGCCTGGCATGGCGCGTGATGTCCCCAGATGGTCTTCTCAATGTGTGCCCAATCCATCTCCACTTCCTTCTGCATATTTATCGGGGGATAGGTTCTTGGTTTGTTCATCCCCAAAGTTCCTTGTTGCTTATTCTTCTTATTCTGGCCATCTGATCTTCAGTAACGAGCCAGCGTAGGCAGATGTTGATGAATGTCTGTAGTTTATTGGAAATCCCTTTCGTGACGCGCCAAGACTCTGAGCCATACAGAAGCACTGATTTGACGTTGGTGTTGAAAATCCGTATCTTGTTCCACATGCTGAGTGCAGTGCAGTAGATCTTCACACTGGTTCCTGGCTAATGAACGCCTGTCTTGCTTTTCTGATCCTGGCTGGCTTTGACGTCCTCGTCTGTACCTGTACCGCCTGTAGTTGAAACAGTGCTTCCTAGATATGTGAAAGAGGCTACTTCCTTTAAGTTTCTCCCATTGATGGTGATTGGAGTTTGTTGTTGTTGTTGTTGTTGTTGGTGGTGGTGTTGGTTGGGTATCTTCATCACCTCTGTCTTCTGTATATTCACTTGAATTCCCGTCTTGGCTGCCCTCCCTCTTCTGACAACTTGTTAGTTTTTGCCTGCAGATCTTCAAGTTTATGTGATATCAGACACAAGTCATCGTTGGCGAAATCCAAGTCTTCTAAGTTCTCTTCCGTGGTCCAGCCAGCGTATCCCCTCTTCTCGCTCCTCATTGTTTGTTGAATGATCCAGTCCACTACAATCAGAAGGAGCATCGGTGATAGTAGGTAGCCTTGTTTTCACTCCTGTCTTCATTTCAAAGGCATCACTGAGCTTTCCATTGTGAATCACTCGGCATGCGGCATCGTCATGTAGAGCTGCTGAATGAGGTTGATAAAGGCTTTTGGCACTAGAAGCGTAGTGTTGAAGCAGTTGCCAAATTACTTTTCTGTTGACGCTGTCAAAGGCATTTTCAAAGTTGATGAAGTTGAGGTAGAGTTGATTTGACTGCCATTCTATGCTCTGTTCTATGATTGATGCGTAGCGTTGCAATTTGGTCCGCACATGATTTGTACTTCCTAAATCCAGCCAGCCAGCCTGTTCCGGTCGTAGTTTTGAGTGCAGCGCAACCTCTAGTCTCTCCAAGATGATGCGGCTTAATATTTTGCTTGCTTTGGGTGGACAGGGACAGGAGAGTGATTCCGCGCCGGTTATTGTTCTTTCAAACACTTAGGTCTCCCTTCTTTAGGAGTTTGACAAGGTAGCCCTTCTTCCAATCAATCGCCAGGTACCTTCTCTTCCATCCACACCTTCTGCAATAGTGGTGTGAGCATGTCTGCTGTTGTCTCTGCATCTGTTCTCAAGGCTTCTGGCGGGATTCCATCTGGTCCTGCTGCTTTCCCACATTTCAGTAGCTTTTTGGCGTTCAGGGCTTCCATTTTTGTTGGAGGATTTATGTTCACTTGTAGTTCTGTGGCCGGACTGCAGGTGGTATTTCTAGACGAAGTGCAGGTGGTGGTGGATTCAAGAGCTTCTTGAAGTGGTTGGCCAATTGTTTCCTTTGTTTCTCTTCTTTGATAATTAAGTTCTCTTCATCATCTTTTATTGGTTTCATCTGTGTTGATCTCTTCCCTCCCAGAGAGTAAGCTGGTTATTTGATACAATGTTGTCAGGTCTCTCTTGCTCCTACCAGCAGTGTGTTCTGCTTCACTTGCCTGCCAGTGTGTCTTAGAAGTGTCTTTTGTCTTTGTGCGCACTCTTCACTTCTTTTTCAAGTGTAGTGTTTTATACATTGTACTCAGTCCCTCTTGTCGCTGTGCATTCTTACACTGGTTTATCTTCTGCTTCACCATCCTCGTCTCCTCTATCAGCTTCCAGGTATCCGTCGACATCCATTCCTTGTCCTGTCTTCTTTCTTCTTCCTTCTTGACTTTGTGTTCAGTAGGCTGCATCTCCAATTTCTTGACATTGAAATGAAGTCGATTTGATTTTTAGTGTATCCTGGTGTCTGGTGAAATCCATGTTGCTTCTTGGATATCCTTTTGCTTGAACACACTACCTTTAATCACCAAATCGTTGAATGCACAGAATTCTGCAAACAATTCTCCATTCTCGTTCATTTCACCTAGCGCTTCTCGACCCATGGTTAGTTCTTTTCCTGTGCTGTCCCCTTCCAGTTTGGCATTCATGTCAACCCACGCATTAGAATTCTGATATCACCAACTGAGGTCTTGTCCAGTGTTGATTGAAGTTGTCTGTAGAATTCCTCCTTTTTCTCTTGCTCTGCATTATTTGTAGGTGCACAGTGTAGCATTGTATGATTGTGACTTTCCTTCCTTTTGAGTTGAATCTTGCTGTCATGATCCTAGAGGAGATTGGTTCCCATTGCATGAGAGAGAGAGAGAGCCTTCGATGCTGTTGTGGACATCATGATAGCCACTCGGAAATTCAGTGTACTGTGCTTGTGATTGTCATCTGGGTGATGATATCGTAATAGATTATTGATTCCTCTCTAGTTGACAGTTTGGAGAGTCCACTTCATTCCATCTCCTTTCACAGATTCCAATCACCTCCATGCCATACCTTCTCATCTCTTTTGCAATCTGGGCAGCCTTGGTAGGTTCAAACATGCTTCGGACATTCCATATCCCCACGTTTACTTTCGCTTTCATCGAGAGAACATACATCGGCTGGCTTGCTTCTCGAAGACTTTCAGTAAGTCGCGTCATTTAGCCTCTCCGATTCCAGCGAAGAATAAGTTGGTTTTTATTTTTTATATTTTGTTTGTGCTTTGAAGTTTCTTTAGCGTTATGATTGGTTTTCTGAGGTTAGGGTTGCTAGCCGTATGCTCAGCCTTCCCTCTTTACCCGGGCTTAGGACTGGCTAGTAACTAGTGAACTAGTTAACCAGGCGAGGGTACTGTATTGCTATGCTCTTTATCAAATAAACTAACCTAATATCAAACTACATTCCAAAACAGTGTCCAAGTTATAGACTTCTCTGAATCGAATCCTTAGTTTTCATTTTTATGCTAGTCACCAAATTTAGATTAAGCATCTTTGAATTTTTCGTATTTTGTACGCATGAACACATCTGTCATAAAAAACTTCTTGTTCAACTATTTGTTATTTAATTCAAGCAGAAGCCAATTAATTCCTAAATAATTTTCTCTAGATATTCATACTAAACAAAATACATTTGTAACAGCCAGTGTGTTTATCTAAAGAACATTATTACCTGTGCTGAATTTCTGTGTGTCTTTTTACCCTTTTTATACTTATTTTGATAAACTGCATTGTAACATATGCATTATCATTTCAGAGTTGTCAGCAAAAACGTTAACCACGGCTACTGCAAATCAACAATCCACCATTTACACAACCAGTTCAAGCGTAAATTTTCAAGGTCTATGGGATCAGAAATCAGCTTTCAAACCTGTGATACGTTCCTTAGAAGCTGCTAAAGTAAGCGAAACAGAATGAAGTTTTTAGTGTTTGCTTGACACTTTAATTTACTGCCTAACTTCTCTTTATAGAATGATCTTTATCGAATTTTTGTTTCATGATGAGTACTCAATTAAAATCTATAATATCTATGTTGCTTCAAATTGCATCTGTTTTGCGTTTCATCAAACAATTTACTCTATGTGAGCGGAGATAGTTGAAGCACTTTTTGATTTGCAAATGAGCAGCGATAAAATTGTGAAATAAATGTATTATTGAAAGCGTAGGTTGGAGTTTAATGAATTTAGTGATTTTTCTGTGGAGAAATAACTTTTCTTCATGTTGAGTAAAACCGACTTAAGTAGGTAGTGACTAGCATTAGTATGTGATATACTCACTAGATAATGTGGTATATATGCACACCATATATAATTCGACACATACAGTAACCATTCTATTTACTCAAGTGAATAACTTCTATCTCCCTTCCTTATCTAAGCGGCACATCTTGCTTATCTGCGTTCTTTAAGTAGCTATTTTTATCGACATTTTAGTAGCGCAAAAACTATCGGAGTTTTAATTGATTTGTACCGTGTAAATGAAAGGGACTTCCTAAAGTTTTTTTTCCCGCTTATGATGCCTATTTCCCGTGATCCTTCTTAAATGAAGCAATATATTTATGGTTAATGCATAACATTTGACTCCAGCAAATAGTTTTTCTTCATCGAAAATCCTTTAAAATAGAATCAGTAGCTAAAATCGCGTTTAGTCTTACTGTAAATACACACCCTAAGTTCACCAGCAGAACTGAATGTCTTGTCTTAATTTATGTGAGAATTAGTGGTCGCATATGGGAGTAAGACAAGACATTTCGCCAGCACTCTCTAAATTTTAACATTTCCTTCTACTGGACCGTTGACTTGAGATAAAAAAATGTTTTGTTGTTCAAAATTTGCATTATTTGTCTTGTTCACACTCTTGTGAGGAAGTAAAACTGATACATCTACTTCGATCCTGTGTATATTTTCTATTCACTCAGTGACTCATTTCATATCAACACGAAATTTGGCATTGCTATTTTTAGCGGTCCTAGTCGCCACACCTTTCATAAGCGCACGCACATAATAGACAGCGAAGTGGAAGATACGAAAATACAGAAAAAAGTGATCATAAGTTGAAAAATAGAAGGGAACAGGGCAATTCGGAGATTGAAATAAGGTACGACAGCATGAAGATAATTTTTAAACGCATCTGGGTCACTGAGGTTGTTTCTCAGCCATCTCATCTAGACTCGCAAACCGCTGATTCCGAGTGTCACTAGTACTTCTACCAAGAAGTCTACACTTGCCTACATGACGAAGATCAACGGTGAGAAACTTCATGAACTGATGCCATATATTGTTGTGGCCCCCTCTTTCTCTACTTAACCTAAAATTGCTTGATGGATCAGACGGTGAATAGGCATACAAAAATCATATGCCAAGCATTCGAGTTGATGAAGATCCTAGACTTTATCAACTGCCGCATCTCCTTTGCTTGAAACACTAGAACTTACCTCTGTATTACTGTGTTGGCTCCGCAGCTTACTTCCAGCGTCACCGATACTACTAATGTCAAGCGTGTAAAGCTTTTACATTTCCTTCATTTTTAATGACCATGTTTCACAGCCATGTGATAGGATGGAGCAAATACTGCGTAGTACACTCAATTCTGACCAAGTAACTTGGCACGTCGTCGCTATAATAGGTGTCATAGATCACATGAAAATGAAGAGATGTACATCAATTACTTCATGCTTCACCGCATGCTCTAATAAGCTCATAAGTGTTCGGATATACAGATTTCTTTACAGTTGTGTACTTACAGTTGCTGAGACTGCCATAAGAACTTGTGTTTGAAAGAATCAAATGTTGCCTCTAAGTCACGAAACTCAGCTGTCGTTGGGTAAAGACCCCTTTGCCTGTAACTGACGATATGTCATACAATGAAAATATCTGATTGATAGACTTGCTTTCAAGCTTAAAGTCAGCTTGCTTTTCTCGGGTTTACTGTTCGTGAACTTCACCGAGGCCTATAGTTTTCATAGGACCTAAATTTCTATGACTATGCTTATTCGGCTGATTCCCAAATGGTCACCTAGATAGCATTATCAGTAACAAGTTCTGTTCGAAACGTTGTCAATAAATAACACTGTTTCACTGTGTGATGCACATGAAGAAAGAACTATAGTGGAATGCCAGTATTCTGACTAAGCTTGTTCTGTGAATGAGTGTACGGATGTCGGAAGCACCGATATCCACTTTTGGTTGTAGTTTCCAGAGGTCAGAGATTCTGTTCCATGGAATTGAATATTTATCAAAGCCTCAAGACCTGGATTAAGTTGAAGACGATGTAATACTGTTAAAAATTAGGTGTGAAGATTGACTAGAAAGCAAAGAGGTGGAAGGTTGGCGATGTTTAGAAGGGACTGATTGATGGCAGAGATGAGACTACGGTCGACACTTCCTGTCCTTTCACGCCACGGAATGCTACTTCTTCCTAAAGTACTTGCCATATAAATTGTAGAGTCCGGGACATCTGTTTAAGGTCCCTTACTCACGACACTTTTTGAAGTATGACTTTTAACGTTGGTTGTCTAAAGTTCAGCTATCAAATCTGTCACTCCTAGCACCGGATTTCGCAGAGTAATAAAGAATCTGCTATTTCACGCATTGACGTTTTATCCCCTTTCTTTGCAACAGAGAAGAGTGCATTCGCAAGTATTGCTTGTCATCAATGGTAAACACCTTACTAATATTACATTCAGTCTATCCAGCAGTAAAACCTTGTCCTCGAGCTCTAATCGTGGTGCAGCCCTTTATACAATCTCAGGATTTTCTTTGAATTTTACCAATCACCAGAACCTCCTGGTATTTTGGGATGTCCAGAAAAACCTGTTCCAACTAGAATAGCCCTTAGGGAGGTTGTGATGTTCAAGCGCAACAGCACTATCAATATAGCAGCTATGGATCCGGATCTCGTTTTTAATCGTGCTTAGTAAGATATATTAGCTGTGTAGATGGATTAGATTTTTGTTCAGTGTGATGTTTATTGTTTTTCATGACTTGAAAGTCAAATGATTCGGGATAAAGCATATATGTGATCTTTCTTGATCACATCCAGTTGACAAGTTTAAGATAAAACAAAATGGATTTCGTTACTATTTGGAAAGAGACCAACACAGATGAAACCAATGAAATATAGTGAAGGAAACCTAGTTACCAAAGGGGAGAAACAAAGGAAACAATGGGCCGACCACTCCAAAAAACTCTTGAATCGACTACCACCATCTACAACTCGTTCAGAAATACCACCAGCAGCCCAGCCACATAACTATCAGTCAACACAAACATTCCGACAATAGCAGAAGTGAGGTTCTGAACACAATAAAGTTACTGGGAGCCAGGAAAGCAGCAGGACCAGATGGAGTTCCTTGAGAAGCACTGAAGAAAAACACAGAGACAACAGCGGACATGCTCACACCATTATTGCAGAAGTTTGCTAGCAAGCAATCAAGCAAGCAAGCAAGGAAGGAAGGAAGGAAGGAGAGGTACCCTCCGATTGGAAGAAGGGCTACCTTGACAAACTTGCAAAGTAGGATGACCCAAGTCTTTTCAAGTAGTGGCGCAGAATCACGCTCCACCTCAAGCCAAATAATATGCCACATCATCCTGGAGAGGCTAAAACATGCTGTGGATTCAAAATTCCGACCAGAACAGGCTGGTTGGCTGGCTGGCTAGTTTCAGGAAAAACAAGTCATGTATAGATCAAATTGCAACGCTACATATCATCATAGAAAAGGGCGTAGAATGGCAGTCAACTCAACTCAATTCAACCTCTATATTAGACTTGTTTATTTGGTTTGCATCACACAGTGATCTAGTATTATTTACTTGAGAATGTTTCGAGCACACATAATTGCTCATAATCATATCACATTGATATGATTCAGTCAAGCCAGTTAGTGCCTCTATGTGATGGTTGAGAGACTTGGTGCGTGACGAAATGCATTGTCAGCAAACTACAGACATACATCAACAGCTGCCGCCGACGCTCACTCGATACTGAAGATCCGATGGCCAGAATAACAAGAACAAGCAACAAGGAACTCTGGGGACGAACCAAACAAGAACCCATCGCCCAACAAATATACAGAAGAACTTGGGCATGGATTGGATTGGGCGTACACTGGGAAAAGCATTCGGAGACATCACGTGCTAGACCAGGTCCTCGAGTGGAATGCAAAGGGGAAACGATGAGTTGGGCGTCCCAGCTGAGGGTGACATGGAGGAGATGGTGTGAGGAAGAAATGAAAGCTTGTGGGGAGTGGTGGAGCCAGGTTGAAAAGACTGCAGAGAAGAGCGTGAAATGGAGACGTGTTACTGAAGCTCTATGTTCTACTAGGAACCCGGAGGACAAATAATAGTAATATTAAAGTGAATTTCAGCCTTTAAATGTATTTTTTTTTAACAGTATATTATTCCTTTCAAATATAGTGCGTGGGAATAAAACCATATTTTTATCATTTTGAAAATATTTTCATTTATTTTACTATATTACCTAAAAAGGTTTTTCGACTGCAATATTTATCAGTTTTTTTGAAAATACTATTCTGGAATGAATGTTATGCTTGAAGTTGGATTAATCACTTTAGTCCTACTCATAATTTGAATATTTCTGCTTACTTAACTATAATGTTTGCAGTTAAGCGACTAGAGCTGTTCTACTTGTGTTACACTGAAAATTTGCATATAACCGGATCTAAAATTAGTACTGGCGGGGGTGTGATCATTCTAATAATTTCACTTTGACCAATTTAAAGAAATATACATCATATAAAGCATGTTCACTGCATGTGGAAAATAGAAGAATATACTTCCCATCTTTCGTAAACACCACTTTTGTGCGATAAACCATTATTATACCTGTCTTACAGTTTTCACTGGTTTTGGATATTAACTTATAGAACCTGTTCAGTTATCTCCTCATAAGTTGAGACGTTTTGTGGATACTTATTGTTCAGTCTATTCTCAGTTTTATCAAATCGACGTTTATCTATATTTCTTTTCTTTGAGAAGTCACTTCTATGCCACAATCATGAAGCCTTTCTCTTTTTGCCTAAATCATATACGTTAGTCCATTCAGAACCAACACGCATTCTTCAACATCAGGATAAATAGTGAGTAAATGTACGTCATTGACATCTGTTTTCATCTGCGTTACAAAAGGATATAATTACCTATCCCTAATGTTTTGCGGACTCTTGTTACGAAATCAAAATCTCTTTACTAGATGCAGATAAGTATTTTATGAATCCATTCAGCTTCTTGATATGTCATAACAGTGCGTTTCCACAGCTGTTTTCATGTCAGTGTACCTGCTTCCTCAAACCTAAATACCTAATGCAGGGTATGACTTTTCACCTATCAATGTGTCAATATTGCTATAAGTCAGTCGTTTCCTTCATCTTACATTTACGTCATGGATCATGGTGATTTGAAGTAGACAATGGTTGGGGATATACAATCAACATATGAGCTGATTCATTCGATCCATATTTGGAAAAAAAATAGTTTTTTCTTATCTACTTAGTTTGCATTAGTTTGTTCAAAATCTTTTGTTTCCGTTGTATGTCCTTTCGATGGTTACTTGATAATTATTTAAAAAGAAAACGATTGTACCAGGCTGTACATTACTTATCTGTGTTCGTTTGTTAAGTGATACATCATATTTAGATATTCTTCACATACATTTGGCTTTGTGAACTAAAAGAAGGCAAGAACGAAGACTGCAGCAGATCACGATTTCTTTTATTTTGAACGTCAGTTTGTTAGCTATCATGAACCTTTATATTCGATTATTTAAGATAGAAACTAACAGTTGCTTTGACGAACCAGCTGTTTATTGGTCTTTATTCTTCAGTGGTTTTTCAAGAGAGATACATTTTCACTGGGTTCTATATCTTTGATGTGTATTTATTTGTCGTTCCAAGTTTATAGAATTTCTCTTTACCATCCTTCTTTTGAGTAAACATAATTTACTTGGTTTTCAGAAATGATACTGGATGCCTACTGTGGAAATGCTCTATTGATATTGAGGTAGTCATTTACAATTTCATTGATAGTACTTCTGAAATTGCCTTGAGTAACTGTTATCCAATGTATATTTCCTCTCATTTTATAGGATCGTTTTTTCTCCAGCAATTCGTTATTCCCACCATTCTCGCAGACAAAGCAAACTTCTTCCGTAGAACAGTCAGAAATCAAATCTACAACAGCAGCTAATATCCTTGATACGAAAAATGCATTTACCACTAGTTCCCTAAAAGTAACTTCAAATAATTATAACAGGGATACTTCTAATATTCCTATATGCAGTGATGAATTTTCTGCTTTGATTCCACCTCCACCTCCACCAAAACGTTCATCGAAATTCTCCACTTCAGAGTTTGATTTATCAAGTATTTCAAGTGTAAAGCATGACACATTAAAAAGTTCTCATCTCTCTTACACATTAGATGAATTGCGAAATAAATTTCTACCAATTAGTGATTTTTCTGATAAGTTACCATCTTCTACGGCCTTCGTCACTAGTACATCAAATAATATTATTACTTCTATTGCCACTATTGCCCAAACCACTAATTCTACTACTTCTACAATTGCTGCTGGACGCACAGCAGGTACTGAAGTGCATATTATTCATAATGCCGTTGATAAAACAGGCTTAGCAAGTCATTACTCATCATCACAACCTTACGAGTCAGATTATTCATCAGCAATGAAATACTCAACCCCTGAATCACATTATCGTAATGATGACAGTTGTAATTTAAATGATGCATTATTTAATATACAGAAGTCAACTCATTTTCATGATACTTCATATCCTCCATCGCCTAAAATATTCAAGGAGGACTCTAGTGACATTGCATTAAGTCATGATAAAGGGTCTAATTTTAGCGCTGAAGAACATCTAAAAGCATTAAGAGCTAGAGCAGGTCTAGGACCAATACCAGGATATGAATCCGTATCCTTACGCAATGCATCTTCAATGACACCACTTTCAACGTATGAATCAGCTTATTCATCTGCATTGCCACCATACAACGTATCTTCTTCAAAGCCTGCTTACTTCGACTCAGAAACTAGTCTTCCAAAACCTTCTTATTCTATTAACATAAATGCATCTGTTCCGAAAATTCATGGCTCCAGCACTTCTACACCATCTATACCATCTTTCATCTCTAATTTCAAATCAGGTCTGTCTGTACCGATAAGTAGAATTCAGACACAATCAGGACTATCCTTCTCTTCTAGTCAGCCATCCGCAATAATGAATAAACCTTCAGCTTCAAGTGTGTTTTCCAACTTTTTCTCGTCTGCAGCTTCAAAAGCTCAGACTGTTGCTACTGGAGCTTTAAGGCAAGCAAATGCTGCAGCTGATGCTGCGAAGGTGGCTGCTAATCAGGCTGCTGAACAGTTGGTAGCTCAAGCTAACCAAGTGCATCAAAGAACTGCAAATCAAATGCACCAACAACAGAAATCGCAATTGAAACCTCCGGTTCACATATCGAGTGGTCAAAATGAAGCTAATACTGTGCACAACGTTCCGTCATCTGTTAAAGTTTCTAGCGATACTCTAGTAGTTGGTATCCAGCCAACAGCTTCAGTGAAGAAAGATGTATTAGAACAAGATATGGGGAAGATTCATACAACTGTTCGTGCAGTCACTCAAAGAAATGAACAAGATGACCAACAACAACGACGCTGGTTACATGAACAAACTATGGATGCTACTACAGATGATGATTACGATGATGCAGAATATGTTTACGAACATAGTCCTAGTGTACAATATGATCAAACTCAGGCTTCTGGATACGAAGACAACTATGGATTCTCTATAAATGAATGTGATCACCATGCTGATATGAAGAATGAATTTCATGACGCTAGAAGAAGACAAAGTATTCGTTTACAAGCCCAGTCTAGTTTTGATCATATTGTTCACAGCACTGAGAATCGTTATGATCTAAATGGTGTATGCAAGGATAATATTAATTTGCCATCTTACATACCGGATTTATCCGATTTGGATACTCTACGAGCTGTGCAAAATCGGGATAAAATGATGATGGTTGCTGCGACGGGTATTTATTCCCCTCTCGCTAATGGACCAAATCAACCGGGCTACTTTGATGAATTCACTGGCGCAGAATACAAGGATGATGCTGATATGGAGAAAGAATTGAGAGAGGAAGATAAAAGATTTAGTCGAAGTAAGCGCTTTTTTTCAAAACTAGTATGTAGCGTTTCATGCTTATGTGTAGAAAGGCTATTTTTCATTGGTCTACACGCACATATCTTTTATATCCTATTATTCCTGATTTCTACTAGCCACTCGAATACTGATTTCAGTTTGTCTACTATACTTCGAGCCTACAGTGTGATACGTAAACACATATTTTGTTACTCAGATACTTTACCGTTCACATCTTAGAATCATGTTTATCATTTCCAGATTGTTTTTCGAACTGCCTATTGGTTGATTCTTGACTGAATGAACATACTGTGCTACTTGTATTTGATTACGTTATTCACTAAACGTTCCAACAAATATGCAGAAGAAAGTGGAGATGGTTTGGACACACATTGAGAAGACCATCTGGGGACATCACGTGCCAGGCCAGACCGTCGAGTGGAAACCAAATGGGAAACGACGAGTTGGGCGTCCGAGAATGACATGGAGGAGATCGTGTGAGGAAGAAATGAAAGCTTATAGTGAGTCATGGAGCCAAGTCGAGCAGGACAAAGTCTTACTACTGACTGGACAAGATGTGACGGTAGTTAATTATATCCCATCGATGACAAGCAGTATTTGTTGATGCGTACTTTCCTGTAGTAAAGAAAGGTTAGAAAATGTCGATTCGCAGAATAAAAACCTTTCATCACTCTGTGGTATTCTGGTGCTGGCAGTAGACAGATGGATGAACGAAATCAACATTCGTACAGGAGTGTATCAGTTCAAAATGTTACACTTCACAGTTTTATACAAAAAATAAATGGAACAAAAAAGACTGATATCAAATTACACAAAGGTGTGTGGGGGGGAACAGTACTTAAAAATTGAGGTTAGTCGTAGCACTCAAGCTTTGGAAGGTGTCACAGAATAAATACGTCTACGCCACTGTGACTGAAGGTCTGCAGTCATCGATTTATGGGGTTTCGTAAATCTCAATCACGCTGTCCACACCTCCCTACATGGCTAAGACCACGAGTCAGCGAATTCAACCACTGATGCCACATCTTAGTCTGGCCACTCTTATCTTCATACAACCTAGTTCATTTCCTGCTAGCACTTCACATTGAGATAGGTGGTAGCTCGGAATGCTCAACGCATATCCAAGCTACCTCAAACTCTAAAAGCTTACAATCTTGTCGACCGACTTGGTTACCTTCCATAAGACTCTTCACCTAACTTCTACATCACTCACTTGATTATTTCACCATATGCAAGTAACGCTACGTTGACACCTATGATCAAAAACCTGTAGTCTCTTCACATTTTCTACTTTTAACAGTCATGTTTCACAGCCGTATAACGGGAAAGAACGGGATGCAGTTCAGTATACTTCTCCTTTAATAGATAATTGATAATCTCGATAGTCGGCGCGAAAGATGATGCAATTCGGCAAGTCCTGAACGATTCTTTTGTATCCGGTGCTGGCAGTAACGGATTTGATAGCTGAACTTAAGACAACCAAAATAAAAGATCGTACTTCAGAACATAGTGTGTAACCAACCTCAAGCAGGTAGGTGTCTCTTGGGGTCTCCGGTCTCGCTCAAATATTCTTTCTGTTGTGTGTACCTCAGAAAAAAGTAGTCTTTGGTGATGTGAAGAAATCGGAAATGTCGACCATCCTTTCATCGCTGCCCTCAGTCAAGATGACCTTCATGTGATTATGGACAATAAATTTCCTAAGTTTAGGAGATCCAGAATCATTTCGCATAGCAAAGGTGATCTCTTGCAACTATTGTACTCAGAAAATAACCCATTTCTGTTCAAACCAAACTTCAGACACAAACAGAAAGATTGCATCCACTGTAGTTAATAATAAACAGTGGGCATATGTCTAGAATGATCAAGGAAACTGTGACAAAAGCGTCAGTGGTTAGTGAAACTTTAGCGCAGAAGAATAGATCTGTTATTCACTTTAAGTTGAGGTAGCCGCAAGAATGCGCGAAATACTTCGAGGGACAATTCAGCTGACCTCCAACTGATCTTCAGTTCCCGCTGATCAATTAAATCCTCAATGAAAAAATGAGATAGAGCTTCTAATTGTTTCGGAAATTGATAATGCTGTAAACAATCTGGAACATGGAAGGAGAGTAGGCATCCGTGAACTAGCGATAAAGGTAATATGAAGATGGTAATTAAGAGTTATGGCTTGGTTTTACGGAATTGTTGACAAGTGTATGAAATCAGATATAATCCTATGGAACTTATCTCAATCTCTGGTTATTATTATCATTATTTGTCCCTTGGGTTCCTAGTGGAACACAGGGCTTCAGTAGCACGTCTCTCTATCTTCTCTAAAAACTTTTGAACCTGGCTCCATGACAGCCCTTCTCGCATGATCTCCTCAATGTCACCCTCGGACGTCCAACTCATCGTTTCCCATCTGGGTTCCACTCGAGTGCCTGGCATGGCGCGTGATGTCCCCAGATGGTCTTCTCAATGTGTGCCCAATCCATCTCCACTTCCTTCTGCATATTTATCGGGGGATAGGTTCTTGGTTTGTTCATCCCCAAAGTTCCTTGTTGCTTATTCTTCTTATTCTGGCCATCTGATCTTCAGTAACGAGCCAGCGTAGGCAGATGTTGATGAATGTCTGTAGTTTATTGGAAATCCCTTTCGTGACGCGCCAAGACTCTGAGCCATACAGAAGCACTGATTTGACGTTGGTGTTGAAAATCCGTATCTTGTTCCACATGCTGAGTGCAGTGCAGTAGATCTTCACACTGGTTCCTGGCTAATGAACGCCTGTCTTGCTTTTCTGATCCTGGCTGGCTTTGACGTCCTCGTCTGTACCTGTACCGCCTGTAGTTGAAACAGTGCTTCCTAGATATGTGAAAGAGGCTACTTCCTTTAAGTTTCTCCCATTGATGGTGATTGGAGTTTGTTGTTGTTGTTGTTGTTGGTGGTGGTGGTGTTGGTTGGGTATCTTCATCACCTCTGTCTTCTGTATATTCACTTGAATTCCCGTCTTGGCTGCCCTCCCTCTTCTGACTGCCTATTAGTTTTCTTGAAAAAAGCAAGATTACCACCTAGGGTGATCACAAAAGAATCAGTTTGATGATTATAGTCGCAGATTCTAGTTTCCATAATCCTGAGACTCCTAGGTTCATCTGGGGTACAACGCTATCTGTCATTTCAGCCTAACTTGTCTGCCTTACAGTTTAATTTTACTGGAGTAATCTGAAGTCGAGAGAGTATGTGTTCTAAATTACACTCAAACCAGAAACTTCTAATAACGTTTTATAAATTTCTAGTAGCTCAACAGATAATTTTAAAATACTTTTACCTGGGATTCTTATCCTTTTTTGTCTTATTATAATTATACGAATATCGAAGTAGTTTGCAGAAACAAAGATGTTTTCTTTTTCTTCTCAATCTTTAGCGCGAAATACCGCTGATTTTGATGTTTACGAAAGATCTGGTCAAGAATATGATAACCAAAAGATTCGGTCACGTAGAGTAGATAAAATGCAGTCTATTCAGGATGAGGTGTATGCTGACATTGAAGACAGTCAAATTCATAGTAAAGCTAACTATCGAGACGAGTAAGTAGTTCTGGATGTTTTTCATTTCATATTATCCATGTGTTATATCATGGCTTTGTATGATGTTTGTTAGCTCTTTTGGCACTGAGACTGGATGCACACTGAAGTAGGTAAACATGAATGATAAAGGTGTTTGATGTCTTGTTCTTTCAAGAAATTGTCCTACTTTTACCTTATGAATGTTCGACTGGAACTATATCAATGCTAGCATGAAGTGAAGTCGAACTTTGATTCTACAACTTTGGCACTGTGGTGGATTGTATATCTATATTATATTTGTTTATTTGATGTGGCACATAGTTATGTAGTAATATTTACCTGATGACGTTTACACGAAATGTCATCAAGTATCACTTTATCACTATGTGCTATATCAAATAGACACATATACTATGTAACTTTGCTAGAACTACATGCCTCGTGAATATTATAAGCTGAAAAAAACACCTGAACTATTTCGGGTTGCAACTTCATCCCACAACTCTTTGTTTTCTCCTTATTCGAAAGTTATATAGAAAATGGATTTTCCTGCTTTATCCAGACATCACTACCTGATGTGTAACTTATTGTCACATCTTTTTTCTGTGATACTTTTGCGTTGTCAAAAGAATGGTGTCTGTAAACGTTTACTTAGCTTCCATACGTTATGTTTTGTGATATTTGTTCCCCTCTAATTCGGAGATAATCATTGTTTCAGTGTCTGGAATCAGTGATTTACAAAGATATTGTGGTCTGGTATTTAGTTAACGAAATCTCATATCAGTATTATCATCGTACTGAGTAGCTAACTTGAACACGTAATTCACTGTCTGGAACTAATCTCAGTGACATTTTGATAAAGAAAGCAACCTAAAACGTTTTACTAGGATAATATTTTGGAGATATCAGTTATTCAATACATATAACATGATATTTACTCTCAGTAGTCATATATTGTAAATGCAAATTGGCAGGGTACAAAAGCTTACTTCTTTTTTTTAATAAATCAGCAAATAGTAGCTTGAATCAAATCTTTTGTATCTGTACCGATAATACTTGACAAGTTGGTTTACTGGAGCAAATACACTTATTCAGGCAAGCACGTTAGTTGATTTGAACTACTTTATGACATATATTTGAACGACTGTTTTTGTAACGCTGGTTACTGAGCGCAAGCTCGTACTTTTTACTTTCCGCATAATCGGTTTATCGAAGGTTTTATCAACTAATGAAGATAGTCGCCATTAAATTCTTTCACTAAGGTCTGAATCCAGAATGCAGTATCACTTTTCGGCTTAAGAAAATTAACAATTGTACAGAAAAAAGTTATCTACGGCTACTCTTCTTGTAATATATTCCTCATCATTTGTAAATTACCCAATAACTGTAATTATATGATTTTGTTTCGTAATTAGCTTGATGTCTCTGATTATCTTCTTGAACTTAGCCTACGATCAAGTGTGCATACTTGATTTATATTTTTGATTGGTTATACCCCCATCTAATATTGTTTATTTCGCTATTCTCAGCTTAATCCGTTCATCCCGCCGAAGTTCAGATGGCAGAATACTTCATTCACTGTATTTGTCTTCACTAAGTTCTGACGGTGACTTTAATGTAAAACAGGCTTTACAAAAACGTCGAATGTCTCTTGGAGCAACACGTCGAACATCAAGTGACTGGCACAAATTTACACCTAATTTGCAAACACTGGATATTCAAGAAGTCGATGATAATGAAGAGAGATGGTCAGATGAAAAAGAATTTGTACAAAATGATGTTGATCGCTTTCATCGTCTTTCTCAACCCTCCCTTCACAAACAAGAGACACTTGAACAGAAGGATTTACAGGAAACCGATCATCAAAAGGCGATAACACCTGCACAAATAACCGCTCGTCAAAGATGGCGTAATGCATTTGAACGCGTGTGTAACAGCCTACATTCGGTAAGTTAGTTTCCACTATATTAATTCGTTACTAAATCCACATATTTTAGCATTATCTGTAGATAGTAGGAAAAAAGTATGCGGATGCATTATTATTAAAATGGTTGATAATTTGTTACATATATATCACGCTATGTTAGGTGAAGTAGGTTCAGGTTTGGAAAAGGTTAAAGGGAACCAGACTGAAACATGCCACGAGTCATTTAATTCTTAGACTTTTGGACTGAAACGTATAGGTAAATGTCGATTTCAAGGTTGAAGTCAGCGTGATAACGGAGTTTTTGATGTTTAGAGACTAGTGCATATGACTTGGACCCGATACCATTGACGCAGATTTATCCACGCATAATCATATTCCCTACACTGAATTTCATTATTTTCTCAATTCTCCTTCTGTTTTCATGATTTTCTCTCACTTTGGACTGCTTTCTTCCCTATTTCCTTATCTTTCATCTCGGTGCATGCTTGTTCGATATTGTCGTATGAGGTTTGGGATTTTGGATGGCTAGGCCGTAATGCTAGCGCCAAGCTATTATTGACTGACCGACTGATTCTTCTATTCTGTCTGATTTTTAAACCTGTATTTTATTATCATTTTGACTATCCGTGGTCTGACAAATTAGTATCTATACTGGGTGATGGCTGAAGATGAAATAAAACTTTGGACTGCAGGCGGACTCGAATCAGCCACCACCGGGCTTCCAACCCGGTGCTCAAGCAACTGATCTACGAGGCCCGACTACTGACCAGATTTTTATTTCAGTTCAATCATCAAGGGTTTTGCCCGACTGCCATATGAATTCATGACGCGTTACAGCCGCTTGATCGAACTTACACTTGCTGCCCAGTCAGGACTTCTCATCCCAATCCAAACGTAACTGCATTAGATAGGTGTAGCATCATTTTAATTATCATTTTGACCATATGAGATAGCCGTAGTTTAACAAACTATTTATTACCAGACTATCATCACCCAGTATCATCACTGGTCGGTCAATATACCGATTTGATTAGATATAAAGCAACGACTGAAGCAGAATAACATGGAACCATTTTATAGTGTCGAATTGTCTTCAACTGCTTACAACCTTCAGGATTTAACTGTCTTATAACAAAAGAATCATAATATACTACCTGCAGTTAAGTGAGCTCAGTTAACAGAGATCGACATCGTATATAGTACAAAACACTGAATAAAAGTAAATTAGTTTTTGAAAAGCTAGTTTTTTATTGATATGAACTTCAGAAGTGACAATATTGCAAGGAGACTCGACAGGAAGCTGAAAACTGCACTGAACAAAACATATCCTGCATCTAGATTGATCCATCTCTGCAGAATAGCATGCTGCTTAGTGCAGTCAGAATTTGGCAGGTTCCCTTTCCACACATCCGTGGTTGCAGATATGTTGGAGAAGAGAGAGGAAAGAGCACCTTAGATTCTTTGGAAACCTAAGCAAACTTTATGAAACTATCGATTCGACTACCCGAGGTAGCCATGGTTGGTGAAGTGATCTTATAATTATCCTCCTAACTTTGAGGTTTTTTCCTCGACGTTTACTTTTATATCAGTTAAACGCTAATGAAATCGCGTAGGCTCGAGATGAGACATTCAATAACAAACCTCGGAGATAGGAGAACATTAAACAAATATCGTCCTTATCCTAAGCTAAAAAACATCTACTCTCTTAAAGAACTGGTCTTGTTTACTTCTTCTTCTCAGTTGATTTCAGGAATGCAGTACTAATAACTATTTGAATTAGTAAGTCAGAAATGCATTTGGAAATCGTTGGCGTAAGTATACAGTGTGGAGAAATCAATCTCCGAATAACTCAATATAGATTTTAATTTACTCATACGTTAGTGTCACTTATATTGTAGACGGATCAACTGAGTGCCTGTATTTACTTTCAACCCGTGGCGCCGTCGACTTAGGCTTGATTATTAGCTAATTAATCTGAAGATTATTTCACCGTGTGAGTCATTATGTTTTTCAATCATCTTAGCTTTCATACGGTATGGACGGTTAACAATGATACGTTGATACGGGAAAACAAGGTGTGCAAGTTTAGAAACGTAAAAACAATGTGTTGAGTGTTTTCTCATAATATTTATCTGTTGCACTTTTTGATAACTACTTCTTATTTCTGATGAATCCGTTGAAACTTGAAATTATTCATACTACACTGTTCATTGGTGCCTCAATCACCATCTTAAATGCAACTTTTGGGATCATTCGCTCTAAACATTTGTATGGCAGTTGTAAACAAACGTGGGCAACTTCACTACACATGTAATGTGTTAGGGTATCTGTTCTAAGTAGATCATTTTTTTACTCCGATTGAAAATAATATCAAAACCAAATTAACTTGAAATGGACTGTCTACCTCTTTCATTTTGTTTGATTTTCTCCATTTTAGGAAGGAAATCTTTTTTCTGCAGTTCTGTAAGTAGCTTTTTACACTTAGATTTTCTTTAATCATTAGAGATAACTGATATGCATATAGAAGTGTTAAGTTCCTCAATCTTTCGTTTTCCTCTCTCTGTTTCGTTCAATTACCCAATGAATGACATCATGTTAGCATGTGTTAACGGTGGATAAACACTATATCCATGCTTATTAACCTTCTATTACAGTATCAACACTAGTGAGGTGACTTTTGTGATCAGAAGGAATGTGAAAGATGATTATTGTTTCTTTATACTTATATACATTCATTTTCTATCAGTAATTAAACGATATATCAGATTATTGCTATAAAAGTCTTAACTTTCTCTGATTTTCTACATTTTTAGACCTCATTCTGATGATCGACACTCCTCATTCTACACAAGTATTGATAGTATGCCAGATATCCGTTTAAAAAAGAAACCGAAATCACTCGTTAGCGATCTAGTAAGTAATATTTTTTCCGACTAACAAATAAACTGGAATATAATAATAATAATCATGCCATGAAATATATTCACCTCGTCGTTATAACTCCATGCTACTTGGATAGCTTAAATAAATCTTACTTCCAGGTTTTGTGAACAGAATGAAAAGAAATTAAGCAATTTGTTGTATTATTGTATTATATCGTAGAAACAATTAATAAACAAAAATGTCAATACGTTTAAGAGTTAACTGAAAGATTCTGATATCAAGCGAATGAGGTTTGCAATTGAAAAAACCAATAGCCCCCAAATTTTCGTTCTGGTATTCATTCCGTCTCCCCATCAAGACAATTGGCAACCAGATTCGACTTACACGTAGTTTACCGTTGAGAAATATTGATTTTAATGAGATAATAATCTACATACTATATAGAAACATCCTGAGCAATCTTGGTTTTTAGAAGTTATAAATTATATTTCCAGTTTCTCTACTGAAACTGAAAGTGGACACGGGGAGTATATCTCATTCACCTTACCGATTACGGTAAAACCTAAACGAATGCAAAACACTTAACGATACACTGATTCTCCAAAACATTTTAACCCGTGATGAAACTGATATCTTAATATAGTTTCCTTGTAAGCAACCCATTCGAAAAGAATATTGTTAGTTTATTTCATCGTTCTTTTTTCAATGTTCGTATGAAATTTTAGACACTAAGTTTTTTGTCAATTAAACTGTCTTACGTAGTCTTAGTTGGTAGATTGATGTTTATATACGCCCTATGGTAATTCTGTTTGAAAGAAAACTCAGATGGCGGCAAGATGCCGATGGTTTCAGTCCTGTCGATTTTTTTCTTAAAGACGGTCGCCATCTATATATAAATTTATTTGGTTTTTTATAGTACATGTACAAGGGTAAACATTTGGTTTATCTAATAACCCATAAGTAATGGTATTTTCTTAAAGGGAGAATGGAGTCGCACATTATTATTTGTATACAAAAGGCTACATGAAAACAAGATGCCTTGTCAAGTAATCTTTCTTTCCACGCCGTCTAAAATTGTCTGTTTCAACCCTTTGATCCGAATTCAATAGTTGCATTCTAATCGTCTGTTTTTATTATTTTAAAGATAAGCAGAATATATATATATATATATATATATATATATATATATATATATATATATATATATATATATATATATATATATATATATATATATATCAGTTCGAACGTTAACTCATTACCTTGTTAAATTTTATGCTTTCAAGCAGCTAAACGAAGATCTAATTATAACTTGGCACTAATGCCTGCTTACAGCTCTTAAGAAATTTGTTCTATCTTGTAAACCTGCATCTTTCAAGTATGCATTAGATCTGAGATACTCGGTCACTTAACAAAGATTTGTCTTGTATGCATCAACTGAGAGGTCTCTTTACTAGTTTAATACTACTGACTGATCATAAACCTGTTTACTATCCTGATATCAATTTGTAAGGACTGACTTTTCTATTAGTTTTGTGATTGCTTTATTATACACTCAGGAAGTTTATATACACATTGTTCAATAATTAATTACCCATGTGTCTTCTGATCTTTCTTTGACTGCTGCCTAATAAAACTTTTAATAATTTCATTGCATCATTGTTTTAGGTCATTCAAGTAAGAAACATTATTAATAACAGTAAATTGATGTTCTCTTTGCTAAAATGTTTGTACTGCTTCATTGTTGTATTCTGCGTATCTGAGTTGTGTTACCACTTTGTGTGTTAAGCCGGTTATCACAGTATTTGTTTAATTTTTTTCCTGTTCACTTTCATCTCATTTATCTCAGTCGGTGTAATATTGAGCTTTCTTGAAATAAAAAGACAGGTTATCATTTTCTAACATCGTACTGATAAAGCCTGCAACGTGCTTAGAGGGGTTGGATTATTCACATATGAAATCTCTCTTTTTCTGCATAACATTAACTGCTGTTTGTTTTCACGTTGCCTAGAGTGTTGGAGTTTTCTTCTCAAAAATCGAATTCATATTCACTGGTGTAAAGGTAAATCCAATTGCATTGCAAATCCGAATAAGTAATTTACACTGAAATTCATAATCTACCGATTATGAGGAGTATTTCTGATCTCTAGCAATTACTTTCCGCTAAGAAATATCGGAGTTTAATTATTTTGGTTCAATAAAATGAAAAATAAGAAAACACAAAGTCTAAATAGCAACTAGTACCCGCTTCTCAAAAGGCAGCTCTTCGTATTCAGTGACCTTGTAAATAAAGCTCTGTCAATCCATGCAGTAGATTTGAGTTTCGTACTCGTAATAGGAATACCGCATGCTAGAGATCCATACACATTCCTCTGATAATTCCTAAATAGGAGGAGACATCTGCTCTTCTAGTTATCACCAAAAGCAATAGATATATTTGTTTGGACTCATTCTATGTGGCCAAACAGTCAACCTTTAAGCTTTATTACTGTAGTACTCATGGATTAAAAGTTCAGATCTCTGATGGGATATCATTTCACTTAAAATTGTAGGTACTTTTGTTTACTCTATGCAAACAAGTCTAGAACTTCTCAGTAATAACCTTTATTATTAATCCATTAAAGATTATCATGAAAATAAGCTGATGCTTAGTTAATTTCCCTTTCCAGCCTGTTGTCACTAGTTATCAATAGAATCTGATCATTACTTTCGATTAGACTAAATCATAACAGACAAATCAGTAACGATACGAGGTAAAGGGTACTAGTATATCAAAGATTAAGCAGCCTAATTTATCCGAGAGTTAAATACACCAAGCTTTAAGCAAACAGTATAAGAAAAAATTAATAAATACGAAGTGTTTAGGTTGCGTTTGGCATAAATGGATCGAAATTTCGTACTTCATTTTAGAATGACTCAAATAGCTTGGCTTTAAAACCGGTGATAGATAAGAGGTTAACAGTTGATGAAGCTAGTTTTTTGTCGATTTCAACTGTTTTGTCTTGATTCTATGATTTTCGTTTATCGTTAGTTCGATGTATTTGTGAATGTCAACGATCCGATGAACCATAGACATTTCAAGTTGAATTTACTCAACAATATAATTATAGATGTTACCACTAGAATATTCAAATTGCATATCATCATCATCATCAACAAAGGACCAGGCATTACTGCGTAACGGTTTGAGTTGCCACACTTCATATCAGGAAATCAAGTAAAAAGACAGCGAAGCAGAAGATGAAGAAAAGAAAATCCAGTCAAAAATATAAAGTACGAAAAGAGAGAAAGGAATGAGAAAATGATGAGATTCAGTACAGCGCTAAGATGAGGACAATGTGTGCATACATCTGCACCACTGACATCGGTTCTGGGCCATATCACCTAGAGTCTCCAACTACTGGTTCCTCTTGTCCCGCGGACCCCAACTGGCTAGTCTGCATCGCCCCACATGGCTCAAACCAACAGTCAAAGACTTCATACCTTGATGCTACGCTACATTTTGGCTGCTTCAAGCCTTTTTCCAGCCTGAACCTATTTCAGCCAACATTGTGTGATGAGGCAGACGGCGACTAGGCATACGTAATACGTGTCCCAACCATCTCAGTCGATGAAAGTTCACAATCATGTCAACTGACTTATCTCTTCTCCCTAAAAGTCTACACCTGACATCTGCGTTATTCAGGTGATGAAACCACGGAATACGGAATATATTTTTCCTGCTTCTGTCACTTCACGATATAGCACGACCTTCATCCAATGTCATCGTTGAGTACTTGTCTTCATATCTCACCTTGTTGGACCCACTAGTCATGACTCATTATAACTTCGAGTGTTATGGTTCCAGACTGCTGAGGAGCCCCACATCAGAACGAAACAGCTGTCTAGTGCACCCAGGTTTCCAGTGTTTTTCCAACTGATATCAGTCGGTGATGAATACCGATCTACAGTATTTACATTCAGATTTGCCACCGTTGTAGTATATTATGGTCACTTCTTAACGAGGATACTGGTTGATCAGTTACGTTTTATACAAATTTGACAGAAAAATAAAGTTGATTAGAAATCTTTATAGATTAGAGAGGCGATTTTGTAACTTATATTTTAGGGATGTAATGCATATGTTCTTATCTCTTACTGCATTATTATTACTATGATCACCACTATGCATTAGAAATGCTTCTACCATCCCCCTTAGCTTCTGCTCCACTATAAACAACCGTTTTAAGCTCCTTGTAATCACAATCCCCTCAAATTATCATTGCATGTATGTGTTTTTCTGTTACCTGTGACATTATCTCATCCAAAGTTTTTTCCTCAACGTTACCTTTTGTTATATTGATTCACTTCTTCAATAAATAAGGCTCTAAATGCACTGAAAAAGTAATTGTTGTTGTTATTATAAGTGAATGAATGATAGTTCTGTACTGAATTTTTTTGTCAGGTAGATAGCGTCAAATATTTCGCGTTTTTCTTCGGGTAAGTATTACAGAAAAACCAAAGATTAGTACATAACCCTATATATGGATGCAATCATATTTTTTCGACTTATAGCATGCGTGCTCCCTACTCAGCCCAAATGTTTTTCTCGTAGTTTTTTTTTGCAAAATAGCCCTACTGTTGTTTTTTTATTTTATTCTTACTAGACTATGGCTGTACAGAAACGTAATATGGGTACAGCTAGTGCAAATTTGATCACCCGTCAGTCCATCAACGATGAAGAAATGGTATGAATTACTTTTCCAAGTGTCTAATATAACTAGCACTCTCATTTTCCCTTCATTACTTTGTTGCATGTCTCTTAGTACTTTTTTGGATTAAAATTTTATATAAACATAATAATATGCGCGTAGCTAAATATTATTTGTGTTTCCAGATTAAGACTTAATTATCAATAAAGCTTATTGGTGCTGTGTAACTGAATACACCTTGGGTTCCGAGTGGAACGTAGAGCTTCAGTAACACGTCTCCATTTCACGCTCTTCTCTGCAGTCTTTTCAACCTGGCTCCACCACTCCCCACAAGCTTTCATTTCTTCCTCACACCATCACCTCCATGTCACCCTCAGCTGAGACGCCCAACTCATCGTTTCCCCTTTGCATTCCACTCGAGGACCTGGTCTAGCACGTGATGTCTCCGAATGCTTTTCCCAGTGTACACCCAATCCAATCCATGCCCAAGTTCTTCTGTATATTTGTTGGGCGATGGGTTCTTGTTTGGTTCGTCCCCAGAGTTCCTTGTTGCTTGTTCTTGTTATTCTGGCCATCGGATCTTCAGTATCGAGTGAGCGTCGGCGGCAGCTGTTGATGTATGTCTGTAGTTTGCTGACAATGCATTTCGTCACGCACCAAGCCTCTCAACCATCACATAGAAGCACTAACTGGCTTGACTGAATCATATCAATGTGATATGATTATGAGCAATTATGTGTGCTCGAAACATCCTCAAGTAAATAATACTAGATCACTGTGTGATGCAAACCAAATAAACAAGTCTAATATAGAGGTTGAATTGAGTTGAGTTGACTGCCATTCTACGCCCTTTCCTATGATGATATGTAGCGTTGCAATTTGATCTATACATGACTTGTTTTTCCTGAAACTAGCCAACCAGCCAACCAGCCTGTTCTGGTCGGAATTTGAATCCACAGCATGTTTTAGTCTCTCCAGGATGATGTGGCATATTATTTGGGTTGAGGTGGAGCGTGATTCTGCGCCACTACTTGAAAAGACTTGGGTCATCCTACTTTGCAAGTTTGTCAAGGTAGCCCTTCTTCCAATCGGAGGGTACCTCTCCTTCCTTCCTTCCTTCCTTGCTTGCTTGCTTGATTGCTTGCTAGCAAACTTCTGCAATAATGGTGTGAGCATGTCCGCTGTTGTCTCTGTGTTTTTTTCAGTGCTTCTCGAGGAACTCCATCTGGTCCTGCTGCTTTCCTGGCTCCCAGTAACTTTATTGTGTTCAGAACCTCACTTCTGCTATTGTCGGAATGTTTGTGTTGACTGATAGTTATGTGGCTGGGCTGCTGGTGGTATTTCTGAACGAGTTGCAGATGGTGGTGGTCGATTCAAGAGTTTTTTGAAGTGGTCAACCCATTGTTTACTTTGTTTTTTTTCTTTGGTAACTAGGTTTCCTTCACTATATTTCATTGGTTTCATCTGTGTTGATCTCTTCCCAGATATTATTTTGGTTATTTCGTATAGTGTTGTCAGGTCTCTGTCTCTCCTACCAGCAGCTTGTTCTGCTTCACTTGCAAGTATGTCATAGAATTGTCTTTTGTCTTTCCGCGCACTCCTCTTCATTTCTTTGTTCAGTGTATTGTTTTATGGTTTGCGTTCAATTCCTCTTTTCGTTGTTCATTCCTCGACTGGTTCATCTTCTGCCTCACCATCTTCCTCTCCTCTATCAGCTTCCATGTGTTCATCGAGATCCATTTCTTGTCTTATCTTCTTTCTTCTTCCCCCCTAATACGGTTATGCAGGTTTCCTTCCACATCTCTTTCAAAGACTTCCAGTGTTCTTCCACACAGGTTCTTCCAGTGGTGTTGCTTAATGTCTCTCATTTTGTCCTGATGACTGGCTGACGTGAAGATGTCCTTTGTAGTTTCGTCCTTAAGTTTAGTTTCTTTTCTGGGTGTTGAACTTGAATTGTGGTCTATCATCACCAGGTTGTTTGAAGGCTTTCAACTTGATTTGGAAGTTAGGTTCCTTGCACTAGATAGTGGTGTGGGTCGTGTGAACCTGCATACATCTGCTCTCCTTCTTGACCTTGTGTCCAGTAGGCTGCATATCCAATTTCTTGAGATTGAGATGAATTCGATCAGATTTTTAGTGTGTCCTAGTGTCTGGTGAGATCAAATCCATGTTGCTTTGTGAATATCCTTGTGTTTGTACACACTGCCTCCAATCACCAAATCGTTGAATGCGCAGAAGTTTGCAAACAGTTCCACATTCTCATTCCTCATTTCACCGAGTGCTTCTCGAGCCGTGATAAGTTCTCTTCCTGTGTTGTCTGCTCTTAGTTTGGCATTTGTCACCCATTAGAATGAATTTTGATGTCGCCAACTGGATTGGGGTCTTGTCCAGTACTGATTGCAGTTGTCTATAGAATTCCCCCTTCTTGTCTTCACCTGCATTATTTTTAGGTGCACAGTGTAGCATTGTATGATTGTGACTTTGCTTGACTCTCGAGTTGACAGTTTGGAGAGTCCACTTCCATCCCATCTGCTTTTGCAGATTGCAATCACTTCCATACCATACCTCCTCATCTCTATTTTGCAATCTGGGCTGCCTTGCTGGGTTGAAACATGGTGCGGACATCCCATCTCCCCGCGTTTACTTTCGCTTTCATCGAGAGAAGACACATCGGCCAATTGGTTTCGTGAAGGCTTTCACCAACTGGCGTCATTTTGTCTCCCCAATTCAGGTTATGAATAAGTTTATTTTTAATATTTTTTATATATTCTTTGTGGTTTGAAGTTTGTTTAGCGATTGTATCGGTTTTCCGGGGTAGGGTTGCTAGCCGTTTGCCAACCTTCCCTGTTTATCCGGGCTTGGAACCAGCTGGTATCTAGTGAACTAGTTACCTAGGCAAGGTTAATGCGTGCACATGGAAGTTATGAAACGTGACAAGTGTTAAAACTAATCCATGTGAATCATTTTGACGAATGTTTCTTGATGCGGTCGCTTGAGAAATTAAGGATATAATTGTAGCACTTTTCAAAGTATACTACTGAGCATCATGAGTAGTTAGAAATCAATCAGGCTGACCTGAGGATTTCGCTAACCAGATCAGAGTGATCTAAACGCCAGATGGCCATTTCGATCGTTTGGGACCGAGCTGTGTGCTTGGATAAATCACCTGAATCTGGTCAGCTGACTTAGATGTTGCAATTTCCACCTTTTTTCCCACTCAAGAGCCATTATTTTGATCTTGATGTTGTGATAGATAAATTCGATGATTCTATTAAATGACAATTTTCAATGGCGTGTTCACCACTTATAGGGTCATGACACAATATCCTAATAGAAACTATAGTTATGGTCCTTCAGTCTAGTTTTTATTTAAAAAGCTAGCCAACCTATATAAAGGATTTTACGAAGTTGATAACTCAGTTAGTCTGGACTTGAATGCAAACATTTTTTTCCTGAAATGTTCGATCATGATTTTGAAACGGATTACTGGGAAATTCGTTTCTTGACGAGATTATATTATTTTACAAATTATCGATGTTGATGCTAAATGATGAGAAAAGAATATTAAGTGTTCAGATCACGAAGAATAAATATCCGATGGCTGAGGTTGTATTTCCGTGATCAAAATATACCTCTGGTTATGGTGATTTTCATGTACCAAAGATGCTATCCTTATTTATATAACTTGCTTTGGACTACATTTCACCATATCTAATATTCACGTAATCACCATCTATCTATGCATTGGAACCTAAAAAGGGTTCATTATCAACCCTTTTCTTGAAATGAAGCCTATGATTCCAAAATAGATCAATATGTCAACACCTTCCCTACATGTTGTTTGCATTGCTCGCCGAATGCAACCAACTCTTCAACTTTTGATTGGTTCTCTGTTAAATCGCCTAGTTAAAATATATAAGACCAAGAAGTAAACCTACGTTAGTGGTATATTTCCTGTGTAATAGATGATAGGACTCTCCATTATATATCACCTTCTTGACGTACTCTAATTGGTTCATTTTTAGAAACAACATGTATACAAGAAAACTTTACAAGCCTTACTATATCCAATATCAAGTAATACACCGCATAATTTTCAAGTATGGACTGCCACTAGTCCAACGTATTGCTATGAATGTGAAGGTCTTCTATGGGGATTGGCTAGACAGGGCTTACGTTGCACAGAATGTGGTGTGAAATGTCACGATAAATGTCGTGAATTATTGAATTCAGATTGTCTACAACGTGAGTTTTCGTGTCTTCTCTTAACTGTCTTTGACTTACCTTTATATATCATCTTCAAAAACATTTTTATGTTTGTCTGCATGAAGTTGTGTCTACTTGGTTTAATGAGATGACAATCAATGGGTTGGGGGTCGGAACATCGACCCATCCACAGGTGTTTGAGCATCCAGGTAATATTATTAGCCAGCATTGCCTACTGCACGAATGTGCACAAAGTTACTGAGTCCATTTCGATTCGATTCAAATTTCACTAGACTTGGTATATAAAGTTGTAGGTTATTGGGTGCATTTTGAATTTTGAAAATTTTATGAATACTATTTTCTATATATCCCTTTAAAATGACTGCTCTGTTCAAAGCTATCGAAGGGTGAAAACTCCTACATCAAAAGTCTAACAACTTTACCGTTTCATTTTCGTTCATGCAGTATTTGTTCACTGTTAACTAGAAATGTGTAATTTAGTAAAACAAACAATGTGAGCGAAGAAATATTTCTTTTCAATTAGTTCCTCATCAATGGCTCTACACTAATATAGCATTTTCAAACGTAAAATTACATACCAATCTAGTGGTGAGAGTTGTTCAGTGAAAGGTTATCAATCTCAAAGTTTCAAGAAGGTGATAATTGGTCAGGTAATTAAGACAGTTAACTAAAGCAAAGATTAATTATCGTAGAAAGATTTTGCGAACAGGTTCTTACATAATTGATATTTTATATAATGATAACTAAAGAGCAAAAATGAACTGTTACGTAAAATGGTAAATTGTTGACGGTAATTAGAGACAGTAGGGGGAGAGAAAGATGATTAAGTCTGTAATAATAATAATAATAATGGAGCTATTGAAATACTAGTTATAGTGAATTGTGTGGTGGATGAAATGAAGAGTCTTGTTGTAATAAATGAGCTATACAGATGGCCAAGGCAAAGAAAGAGGCTGTACGAATCTCTTCTGAACACACAGACTTGGCTTGTGTAGGTGGATTCCTATGGCTTCTGCTGTATGTAAAAGACGGACTCGTAGAGGATGGGTGAGGTGAGAAGGAATGTGATAAATAACTTTAAAGGCATTATGAATGTTAACTCGGTGGCCGGTGTCAATCAGATGAGAGAGTATTGAGCTTCGTGTCAGTCTGGTTTCCCCCTTACTTAGCCATGAAGGATGATGCTCGGCGATTCGACGACGGACTTGCCTAACTGTACGTCCAATGTAACTAGCTCCACAGGAGCAGTTGAACTGGTAAATGCACATAGAAGAGGAGAAGTCAGGGAGTCTGTCTTTAGTTCGTGTGGTCATCATCGGCCGGCTGTAGAAAACACAACATAACTTGGCGGCATTAAATGATCTTCTTATGGCATTTCTTAAGCGTTGTGTCACAATTTCGCTGATGATGTCACCTCGAAATTGTAGTCTTAGAAACAATGGTTTCTTGGAGACTGTAGGCATTCTGGTTTTCATATTGGATGTGTTCATATTTTTAGCCAGGAACGTTTCTGGATATCCATTACTACTGAGTAGATCGTGGATAATTTGAAGCTCTTCGTCAAAAGTATCATCTGAACAGATGAGTCTCGCCCGATGGACCAAACATTTAACGAGATTTCGTTTATATTGCAAGGGGACGAAACTCAAGAAGTGGGTGTATTGACCTGTTGACGTTGGTTTCCGATACACACTTCTTTTTATAGTTCCATCCACCTTCCTTGTCAATCGGACATCTAAGAAGGTGATGCTGCCGTCACTTTCTGTTTCAATAGTGAAGGTTATTGCTGGATGGACGCCATTGAATTCATCCAGTATGATCCTTGCATCGTCCTCATTATTCACAATCAAGAATGTATCATCTACATAACGGCAATAAAATTCTAACCCGCTTATGATGCTTTCCAGAGGGCCATTTTCTAATTTTGCTAAGAAGAAGTCCGCTAAGATTGGGCCTAGTGGTGACCCCATAGCGACACCGTCTGACTGTCTATAGAATTCCTTATTGAAGAGAAAGTGTACATTCATTGTACATCGTAAGAGAAGCTCTTTCAAGGTGGATGCCGTAATTCCAATTTCTATGTTTCTCTTTTCCAGTTCGCTACATATGAAGTCCACTGTTTCCATCAGAGGGACATTTGTGAATAGGGATGATACGTCTAGGGATATCATCGACTTATTATTCACATTCAAATCTCTTATTTTATCGATAAAGTGAAAAGTATCTTTGACGCTATGCTTTACAACCTCCTTATGCAATGGTTTCAAGAGTTGTACTAGCCATTTCGCCGTCGCATGGTATGGAGAGTTTGACATGTCGAGAATCGGTCGGAGTGGTAATCCATTCTTATGCACCTTTGGTAAACCATACAACCTCGGTGTTACTGTGCCAGTAGGTCTGAGTGTTTCATACTCATTTTGTGAAATGAAGCCTTGCTGCTTCAGCTTTTTTAAGGATTCGGATAATTGCCTCTCCGTCTTCTCTGTCATGTCAGTATTGGTTGGTAGTTTCTGAAATTTACTGTCATCACTGAGAAGTCTGTTCATTTTATCTAGGTATTCGGCTTTGTTCATAATAACCACCCCTGAGCCTTTATCCGGCCTGGTGATCAGTATTTCAATAGCTCCATTATTATTATTATTATTACAGACTTAATCATCTTTCTCTCCCCCTACTGTCTCTAATTACCGTCAACAATTTACCATTTTACGTAACAGTTCATTTTTGCTCTTTAGTTATCATTATATAAAATATCAATTATGTAAGAACCTGTTCGCAAAATCTTTCTACGATAATTAATCTTTGCTTGAGTTAACTGTCTTAATTACCTGACCAATTATCACCTTCTTGAAACCTTGAGATTGATAACCTTTCACTGAACAACTCTCACCACTAGATTGGTATGTAACTTTACGTTTAAAAATGCTATATTAGTGTAGAGCCATTGATGAGGAACTAATTGAAAAGAAATATTTCTTCGCTCACATTGTTTTACTAAATGTCTAAATGGGAATTTTTGCATTACTGAAATGTGTAATTGTATTCAAATTTCCCCCATCATAAGCAACATTTCCTAAAATAGGCCGAATATACTGAAGAAATCAGATTTAAATCCAAAGTCACTAGGTACCTTTAAGTCAAACCATAAGACTTGATAACACTTAGACAAACATGTTTTTCTTAGAAAGTAGTTTAACGAAACACTATTCAATATATCAAACATTGTTTGCTAAAAAAATATCACTTGGGGTAGTCACCATTGTAACATGGGAACGTTCACTATTTGTAACTTTATCTCAGGATGTTTCCATCATAAACTGAATCAAGAAAGTGTTTATTCTGTTTTTCAGTGAATGACCTCTACAAAATGCATATAAAATAAAGTCCTTGGCAGGCAAAAGTAAAAACACCGGAATCGTTTAAAGTCCATGCATAATTGTAGAAAATGTGTCGTTCTTGATCTGAAATTACTGTCTTCTTTTAATTTGCAATATCTATCTCCATATAACTGTTTAGGTGCTGCTGAAAGGTCTGCCAAACAAGGTGCCGCTGATAAAGCTCAAACTATTATGCAAGCAATCAAAGCATTGATGTCACAGAGAATCAATGAAATGCCTGAATTGTTTAATCTCCTTGGTTTGGTATTTAAAGTGGATTGCAAGACTCATGAGCGTAATCTGTTACAAGCTGAACAAAGTATACTAGATGGCACTAGTAAATGGTCGGCGAAGATTGCGATAACCAGTAAGCGATATGCGAAGTGTTTTTTCGTATTCGGTTTATTTGTCGAAAACGTTTACTCCTGTAAAATGTAAACCGTGCTTTCATTGTTGGGAGTTGTTCAAAGAGGGGGGCATCATTTTACTGGTGCACTGCATTTTAGGCCTAGCTGGAAGTGAAACCACAGTAATATATTTGCTCAAAACCGCAAAAGACAAGTCATTTTCCTCTCGACACAATTATCTTGCTTTTATGAAGGAAAAGTGAATTAAGCAAACAGTATTACGAAAATCAGCAGTTCGCTTGCACCGCGAGCTAATATTTATTACAACCAAGCGTTCTGTATTATTATTATTATTTGTCTCTTAGGTTCCTAGTGGAACATAGGGCTTCAGAAGCACGTCTCCAGTGCACTCTCTTCTCTGCAAACTTTTGAACCTGGCTCCATGACAGTCCAGAAGCTCTTATTTCTTCCTTGCACGATCTCCTCCATGTCACCCTCGGCAGCAACGCCCAACTTGCCATTTCCCATCTGGGTTCCACTCGAGTGCCTGGCGCGTGATGTCCTCGAATGGTCTTCTTAGTGTATGCCCAATCCATCTCCACTTCTTTCTTCTGCATATTTTTCGAGTGATAGGTTCTTGTTTGGTTCGTTGCCAGAGCTCCTTGTTGCTTATTCTTTCTGACCATCTGATCTTCAGTAGGCAGTGGTTGATGAATATCTGTTGTTTTTTGGAAATGCACCAAGCATTCTGAAGATAGTTTAAATTATCGGATTAGACCACTGAAAGTAAGCCGTATCTTACACATATAAGGTAGTATACTTTTATTTTATTCAGGAAAAACGCTCATGGCAAAATATACATACTGGGAAGTAGACGTACTTCAAAATTCTTTTCAAGAGTCATATTTAGATGTTACATGAACACCAGATGAAACAAAGCAGCGCATGAACGTAATGCAGTAACGTCATATAAATTCAATGAAAATGTCTAGACTAGAATTCTTATCTAAAAGTTAAGGATATTCCCCTTATATCCGCGTATGTGGTCATTGTGATGACGACTAACGGTGACTTTTTATATGCTTCTACTTTTCGAAAATCAGTTGTTATGTTAGAGAATTCCATGAAGAAAGGTTGCTGGTGAACTACTTCAACCTTTGACCTCTAATTCAAACCTGTGGATAAATCGTAATGAGCATGAATTTTGAGCATATTCCAATGGCCATATAAATAGATCTATGATTAAATATTTCACGTGTGTTACATCGAATCATTCACGCTTTTGTAAATAATAGACCATATTTCCTATTGACTGTAACGATTTACAAGAATAAGCAACTTTTAATTATCTCGAAGGGATATATGACGATGGTTTAAGAATCCTCCGTATTATGATTATCGTAGTCTGTTGTTCACGTAGAAGTCCTTGTGTACTGTGTTACAGTTAAGTCGAAAATTCATTTAATTGTAAATCCGTTAAACCACCTTACTTACCTAATATATTTTAGTTAAGTGTGCTCAAGGATTAATTGGAAAAGATAAAACTGGAACAAGCGATCCCTATGTAACCGTACAAGTTGGAAAGGTTAAGAAGCGTACAAAAACTGTTCCACAAGAGCTTAACCCAGTTTGGAATGAGAAATTTTATTTGTAAGTCAGTTAGACCAACGAATTTATTAAAATGATATTCATTTTCTATATGATATGCGATATGATTAATAGATTTGGATTTTTGTATGCCTACTGAAATGATCACACTTTATTGGTGCTGAAGTTTTGAAGTTAGTTCGTTGAGAAAGATAGTTGACAACCTCATAGGCGGCACATTGTAGATCCAATCATTTTTTTCATTTTAACCTTCATTACTGTTCACTATTCACTTTGCCTAACTTGTAAACAATTGTTTTACATTAATGAGTTTTACCTTATATTGAACATCGAATCATTTGATTGTCATGAGAATCAGCTTCTAGAATACCTCTTAAATATCTGATTCTATTCTCTCAAAGATACGGAACCTCTGAGTGTTCAGTTAAGCTTATTTACAGTGAATAGGTAGAAGTATATATTTAACTGGTGATTAAAAAAGATCCTTTTCATTACTCGCATGAGCGACCGTTAATATCTGGGGACGTTAGTTGAGCCAGATAATGTGTTTATGAAATACCTATAACAAAATGTTAGTTTCAGAACTTTGGAAAAACTTGGTTTATTCCAGTTATGCACAGCTTTTGTGATGTAAATATTAACAAAGCGGCTGAACTGTTTCTAAAACCTTTGAAAATAGAGGTAGCACCAATGGAGTTGCTGCATGATTAGTCAAAACCATTGCACTGCCGCAATATCTTGATTACTCATATTAGTACAGCGACTGTTTTTCAGTTTCTATGCTATTCAACTATCTTTTTCAACAAAGTAATACCTCAAATAATTTTTTTCGGTGTGTAGAAACTGATCTCATCACAGACAGTACTGACGTCAGTGTAGTAGCTATCGATTAAGTAGGTAATCATTCATAACTTGAAAAGTGTTCATATCAATTTTCAAATTTACTGGTTTGAAAAATGAAATCTACTTATCAGCATCATCATAATATCAGAGATTATTTCGTACTGTAACAAAAGAATTATGGCTTTGAATAACAACTGAAATAGTTCAGCATTATCTTAGTTGCGTTATGTCTTTGAGTTATATTCCGTGTATTTTATTAACATACACCAAATGATTTAACCAACACCGAAAACTTTAGCCACCATGCGATTATAATCTTATTGCTTCTCAAATTATCCCATTATAAATTATAGTTGTTTCTCTCATGCCTTAACTATTTGAAATTTTTTGATATTTTTAGTGAATGTCATAACGCTTCCGATCGGATTAAAATTCGTGTATGGTAAGTGATTATTTATAAAAATATTGTAATTATTGTGATCCATAAATATATGAATTTCATCTCTAGCCAATAACTAGAGTACTGTTGGTAATCACAAATGAGACTGGTTTTTTTTAATGATTGCAGCATACAATTATTTGTAAAATGAGCCTAATTATTTCGTTATGCTAATGCGGGTCTGAGGCTACACATCTCCGGAGATAATTATCATTTGGTATTTCCTCTTATTTTTCACGTAATTAGTTTCGCTATGAACATTTTTATGCCTATTCTGGATAGTAGAGAGGATTTTTAGTCCAAGATGAGGATTATAAACGTTTAGCGTTCTTCGGGCTTTGAGACTTATTGTTGGATATTTCATCGCTAGGTTAGGTGATTTCATCAGCATTCGCTTCATATAGAAGTGAACCCTTTTGAAGTTTTATGAATCCTTTTAAACGATATTTTCCGACCTTGAGCGTTATTTGGCTTTTGGGTAGGGGTGAGTTACCCTTCTCTCTTATCTAACATTGACCCTCATTATTGTTGTTATCACTTATCGGCAAATATCCTTTATAAACATTCGTGAAACTTAAAAATACTCCAATTTACACCAAATTAATGCTGATGAAATCGCATAGCATGCATTTGTGCATTATCTATTAGTTACTTCGAGAAATCTTATTGGTTGGTTCGTTAATATACTATGACTAAGTTAAGTGAACTCTGTGGGGCACTACTGTTACCTGTATACCACAGCCATTGATCTAACTCTGTGACTGATTTTTTCAAGTGTGTTCGGGCACGGTTAATTTGCCCGAATACGTCCAGTATCATAGGAGTGAAAGTGGGCACTTTTGTAGATTACACTTCCATTTAAGCCTCTTAACTATGATTGTCACGCAGGGAAACAGTATTTATTATTTACTGGATAATGCTTCGGACATAACTGATTGTCCATATGCACATCATTCAGCAAGTAAATACTGTTTCTTCTATTTATATTGGAATTATATTCGGTGTCACCTGTTTGAATCATGTTATCATTTGTGGGAATTTTTCAGTAATTTATCTAGGATAAATACAAAGCTGAAGTTTGATACCTCATTGCTAACACCAATGACATTAAATCTGAAGTAGTTATTTATTCGACCAACAAATCATTTCCATAGATGTCTAAACCAACTTGTGATTTCATGGTTTAAAAAAATTTTTGCATCGAATGAATCGAAATTGTCAAAATAAGAGCGATATGATAAAACATATCTTGACTCGGTTTCGACTTACGTCCACTTACTGACACAAGCAACACACGATAAAGACCTTAATCACGCATGCATATGAATGATATTAAGGGTCACCCTAACAACTACTGAAGTTACCAGTTATTCTTTTTTATGAAAAAAACTAACTTTCCAGCAGAAATAAAGAAGAGTATCTTTAAAGGCCACCGTGGCAACATTTGAAATAACCAATTAGACTTCTCTATTGTATGCAAATTTTATTCATTGTGAAATTCAATTACAATAACAAGGAATTCATATAATTCAGAAACAATCACCAGTGTAATATTTTCTAAACGTATACAAAAGTTCATGCTAAATATATTTTGTGAATCTAAAAATAATTTTCATTCATCGCACAGTATCCAATACATCAAAATGTAAAATCACATCAACTGCCTCCTTATTAAATGACTAAACTTAGTCAGCATAAAGTATCAGATGAGTGGGAAGATAGAAACTAGAACTTATTCATGGATAACATATAGATTAAATAGAATGCAAAGGAAGGGAAAATCTGTTTATTAGTGTAAACGTCATTGAATCAAACAACCACTTCTAACTTCCTTAAGTACAATGTTAGATAAAGAATAAGACCAAGAAAATATGTAGATATTGAGAATAGGGCTTCTAATATACTTTCAAATTTATTCTGGTTACATCAAATGGACTATATTGTTAGTAATGAAGGCGCTACAACGAAATAATGTACTATCATGAGCTGATGCGCTTGCCTTTCATAAGCTGTGTTTCAAACAAACTATTGGTTGATCAGTGTGTTGAGATTAATTTGATTGATTTTCTGTAAACCTTCAATCGTACAAGTAGCTTTCACCGATTTCTAACTACTTATTCTGTTCGCTAGTAGTATATTTAAAATGTGTTGAGTTTATTTCTAGTATATGGCATAGATTTACCTCATTATTTGCTTTCATATATTTTAACCATTCTGTCTATTTCATTTCTTTTTTTCTACATATCTGCTAATGATGTTATCTCTGTTATATGTGTATATAAACCCAAAACTAAAACCAACTTAAATAAAAAGGGATGAGGATTATGATCTGAAATCAAAAATACGTCAAAAGTTCACACGTGAATCGGATGATTTTCTTGGTCAAACTATTGTGGAAGTTCGTACATTGAGTGGTGAAATGGATGTGTGGTATAATTTAGGTAATCATCGTCAACATCACCACATTTCTCTGTGTTGTCATTGATTAAAAAAGAGTAAAGCAGTAGTAGAATCCCATAAGAAAAGCTTTCTTTATAGTCCTTGTCATGTTTTATATTCTGTCCAGGTGGTAGTTCAAATATCCATACTATCTTATATATAAGTGTACATTTGTTGATATGTTTGTTAAATGTGCAAAGCAATCGTGACAGTCTTTTCCTTTCTTTGTATTTGTCATGTGATCATCTGTTTTCCTGTCTTCAATATAAGCATGCGTTTTTTTTTGACTACATATACTTGGAAAAGAATGTGTAGGTGGTTCATACTCACTAGGCACAGTTCATCGGTTTTAAGATGTTCCACAGAAAGTCTCGTATACACGAGAACATTGAAGTCATAATACCCAAGATAATTCAGCCACAGGTAGACAGACACATGTTAATACCCTTAACTCAGTTACTCATGACAATAATGTAAAAAGTAGTTTATTTATTTATCTATTTATTCCCATAGTTTACCAGCCGTCTAATTTTCTCTCTTTTTTCCTTTCTTTTGTGTTGTTGTCAACCCTTTACGACTTAACAAAACCTCTGCTGTTATCTGTGTGTAAATCCACAAAATACGCTTGTACCCACTAACTAACCTTTTAACAACAAAACAACAATCACACTGTTTGATTGCTTTTTGCACTAACTACTGTCGGTCAACCGACTGATCAATTTTTTTTACTGACAATAAATATGATGTGCTTTGTTTGTTGTTGCTATTTACTGCTAACCGCGATGTTTTTAAAAATTGTTTCACTCGATAATGATTTGTTTTACGGTTACACTGTACTAACACACCGATTTTCTTGTTCATTCTTTCTCTATATTTCTATCCCTGGTGACATAATTTTTCATTTGTTGTTTATACTCATCGATTTTCCACTCTTTTACCAATTCAATCTATCTTCTCACTTCTGACCACCATATGCACCGTATGGCTCTTATTTCTGTTTTGTTTATTTATTCCCGCAATTGATTTCTATGTTGTCATTCATTTCATGCGATGTCTGTCTTCGTTTCTGCTTCTTGTTGTCATACTTATATCCGTATTATAGGGATGAAGACAATGATCTGAGGGCTAAACTTCGTTCAAAACTGACTTCTGAGTCTGATGATTTTCTAGGTCAAGCTATCATTGAATTACGTACATTATCGGGTGAAATGGATGTTTGGTATAATCTTGGTATGTTTACTTTTTCTTAGGGGGGAGGGGTTGTACAGACATCAGTATATAGTAATGATTCAATCAACCATCTTTTTTTTTCATTACCTAACTTACTACTCATTACTAATATACTGCACTCATATTCTACCAACATGATGAGATTTATAAAGTCACTTACTCACAGGGTTGGGAATTTCAAACCACTAGGTCACAGGTAAGAGATGGTTGGAGGAAAATCGAAACACTGTGTTTCAGCCATATCTTGTCTGGGATTACTGTTCTATCAAAGAAGTTAGCTTACATCTTTCTTCCATGCAGTTGAAAACGTGTAGATAAACATTAGGTTTATGTTGAAGTATTTTATTGCTTTAATTCTTAAGCGGTGAAATGTATATTTTGTAAAACTGGGATATCTCCACCACTATAGTAATAGGCCGATACACAAGGTAAATCAACACCCATCTGCATGTTTGTGTACCACATTATGAGTCATACATCTCATTTAAAAGAGGATTTTGCTTCAGTGATGTAAGAGGAACGAGATTCCGATCCATTGCCTAGTAACTCGAACTGAGTATCTAAAGCAAGGAACCTCAGTTACACCGTATCATTATTGTTACTTTTCTTTCTGCTACCTTTCTTAACCTTCTGGTAATTTTCACGATGATAGGTTAAAACTTAAAAGCCTTTGATTTGAACATCAATCTAAAACATTTTGAAAAATACGCTACAAGTAACAGTAACATTTAATAGTTTGAAAGCTTATCTCATTTTGAAATGAGCAGTTACATTGTTTTTGTCAGTCTTTTATTTTGCATTCTTGATGATCATCACGAATTTCAATGTTAAAAAGAATGCTAAATGGATAGCAATTTCCATGAAAGCATGTCTGTTAAACTATCCATTCACTTATTTTGTCACAATGCTGAAGGGTTTCAAAGTTAACATTACGAAAATTCCATTTCTATGACATCTCATTTCCACAAGAAAAGCTTAATGCTGATGCTCAATAGAAGCCAATTTGTTGTTAACACTATCACAGCCGTACAGAAATAGAACTGACCGGACGCAAACGAACCAAAACTGCTTGAAAAGTTCTGTCTCGATAGGATCTGCAGGACCTAGTCTCATAATTTTCTCAAATTCTAATAAACGTCCTAAGGAGAACACGGATGATTGGTGTTTTTTGTTCACACACAGTTGAACCATTAGTATTTCAATGATTACAACCTATCCTCCCGGATTTATGAATATGGAAAATCAATTATATCTTAAACAATATGCAGTGAATGGTATTGTTTCATTATGTGACATTTCTAATAAACAGACTAGAATAGAATTGCAATCTACTACAGTGCCCAAGTTTTACTCCTTCAGAAGGTTGTGTATTACTTTAGCAGACTATTTTGCAAAAAAACTGTTCTTTTTTTTTAATATCTCAACTATTCCCATGAATATGTCTTTTATTTTTTGTTTACTGAAAGTCAGTTTTCACTACTTTCAAATCTGTATATCATATCATCTGTCAGGCTGTTTTCACTAGGGTAGAACTGTCACCTCAGATATTCTGAAGCAGTCATTATCATAGTTTAGATTTTTTGCAGAAAATTGTTCATAAGAAACTAGTTAGTATGCATAGTAAATGTTTTCAAGAGTAAATAATGTTGTCGTGAATGTTTGTGTAATTCTACCATACTTGTCATATAATGTAGATTATGACTAACATATCATCTAGGATACCTACCGTTAACAATGCTTACTCCAAGAATACTTTCTTCTGAACATCTTCACTATATTAGGCTGCAGTTACTTTCTACCAATTAAGTATTTACTTAGTCTACTGAAAATGATCATAAGAATCCTCTTTTTGACATACTGATACGCACACCGGAGTTGAAAATCCTAAAGATAAATGTATAGTGCATGGGATACTTACTAACTTTCAACACGATTCTAATACATCAAATCCCTATTCTTAAATTGCATGTACTAACAGTCATTCAAAATTGTTGCCGATCTCTTCCCATCGTATTTTAATTACTATTGTTACTGTTTTTGTTGTCATTCCTTTTTCGGTCAATACTACCTATTAGTTAGCAGTAGCAATAGCAATATCAGCATGTAAAATGATATTGGTTTTAGATCACCAAAGCAAGTTTGTGTTTTTATTTACTACTGAAGAATAATAATTGTTGAATGATTTTGTGAAAACTGAATACTTTTTGCTTCACTTTTTTCTTACTGAAAGATAAACAAACGGGAATTGCCAGTATTTGATAGTTTTTGTTGTTATTTTTTCATATGTTGTTTGTCGAAATTGTTGTGTAAGTATTTATCCATGGAAAAGTATGTTCTATTTTTGTGGAATAGTATTCGTTGCTTTAAATGTACTCTTTTTGGTTCCTTTTTTTTATCCAATCAATCAACCATGTTGCCTTATCTAAATGCTATTCATCTCATATTCAAAGATGCGGCATTACCGCCTACGCCCTCCTTTGCAACCTTTTTAGTCAATACATGCTCACAAACTCTCAAATTTGGAAAAACTTTTTTTTAAAGATTTTCCCCTGTTCTTTTACCACTTTTTTATCTTTTATTTTTAGAAAAGCGTACAGATAAAAGTGCTGTTTCTGGTGCAATTCGTTTATTCATCTCAGTAGAAATAAAAGGTGAAGAGAAAGTTGCACCGTATCATGTTCAGTATACATGCTTGCATGAAGTGAGTGATATGTTTCGCTAAGTATTTAAGTAAATATTTTTTCTGTACAGAATACATACATGTTTCATCTGCTACTGAAATATCACATCTTAAAACTTAATAACTTTACGCATGATTGTATGTCAGGCCGTGGCCGAGCCAAATATTTTTGGTATGTGGAAGTATGTGATATTAGTTTGTTAGACGAACAAAGACAAGAAATTCGAGTTTGTTGACCATATTCACTCTGTAAGACTAATTATGAGGTAATTTCAATAGTTCTGTATTCCTTTTTAGAAACAATACGTGATGTAATGATAGGCATTTTACTTTATATCTAGAAAGCCTCTTCTTAAGTTTTTCCTACTGGTAAAATAACATGACTTGTTGTCCAACTGACCCTAGCTTAGAATGCATTGGCTGTATTTTGATCAGAATTTGACCAGAGGATAAGCTAGGTTTTTGTGTACTTGTTAGCAAGTTTTCAAAAAGTCTTCTTGTGATACAAAATTACACCAAGTTGACTTCGGTATATCGAGGAGGAAATCCAAAGTGTTTTCCGTTCCGAAAATACGTTTCTGTTACAGTTATCTAATCAAACCTAACTTACCGCTTATCCTCACGATTCACTGTTGGTATCAATAACAGGTTCTGTATTTTTCGGATTTGCCACGTATTTTCTTATCTAGAATACGAATAAAAATAGGGGTTCATATTTGTTTTGTTTGCATATAAATGAAACCTTGTCATATATTTAATTGATTTAAATGATTCCTATGACTGTTGGTCAAAAACTGTGACAAACGGCAAGCTGACTTTCGTTTACGGGAAATAACAAACAATAATAATTATAAATCAGCTTGGATTCGGCACCCACTAAAAGCTTCAGTGATTGTATTCACTTGTTTCTTAATTCGTCTTAAGACCAAATTGACCCACAGAATTTATTCACTTCTAAGAAACGAAGCACTACGTTGACCATTATGTAAAAATCATTGCATTTGTTTATGATTTTCGCCCACAGCAAATATGAATTCGTGTTTTGCAAATTAAAATCGAAAAATAATTTTAACCAGTACTAGATATAAGATAATAAATAATTTTGCTACACTCTAAGTTACTCTTTTGTGACTATCCACTTACGAATGAATGTAACCTGTCGAACTGAATTTCAGTATACTTCATCTCTTTGTATAAAATTGTTACCTTGGGCTATTGTATAGATAATATGTTTGAACTGAAATGGGGATCACCAAACAATCTAGTTTGCAAAAGACTGAGTTATTAGCATTGTCTATAAATTTCCAATGACTTGTAGATATGAGCGAAATCAATTAAAAAACTGAATTGTACAGTAAAACTATGTGATCAACCATGGAGAAATGGTAGATGAAGTGGGGTTCTGAGGTCCTTGACTTTGCTAGTCAACTTTCAAACAGTAGGTTAGAGGAGTAAATCACCTTTATCCACCGAGTGTTGGATATTGACAGTATCTTTAACCCTCATTTGACAGTTTTCTTTCTCAAGAGCTAGTACATGGAGCATATTTACTTCACGATGTATGCCTTCACTTATTCTTGCTGAATATTAACCATATGCAAAACCATAAGCATGAAGCATTGTGTTCAAAATATATCAAATGGAAATCATTGAATGCCTTAAAAGTAAGGTAGAGGCGAATAATAATAAAAATGAGCACAAGAAACTACTTTATCATTCAACATAGCGTTTGTTGTTTTGCGATATCATTTATCATCATTATTATTACCCGATGACAGAAGTTGGGATAAAACCTTTGAAAAATAAACTAACCATGTGATTAGATAAGAAATATGACAAAATCTTTTTGGAAAACACAAACTTTGCATTAAGTCAACTTTTCCTATTTGTTAACTCTTTTTTATTCAGCACTTCGTATACCTCGCCTTATTTTAGTATGCTAAATCAACTATGTCTTCTTTCCTATTCTTTTTTACGTTAGATGCTTTATCGCTATTATTCTTTTCACGACACTGATAGACACCTTAAGCCAGATTTCGGAATTCGTGCTTAATTAATATTCAAAATGGAAATTTATTCTTCTTTTACTCAAGAGATCAGTAAAACAGCAACATAGGATACTCTTTTGTACAACACATTACTTAAAAGTAGTTATCCAGATAAAAACTATATGATGAAAATGCTACATATATCTAGACGAAAGTGCATTCTCCAACATCTAACAACTAAAAATATGAGAGTAGAATTTGGGCACCGTAGCAGAGTATAATTTTGCCGTAGTTCCTTTTTATAAGTGTATCACACGGCGAAATAGTATTATTTACTCTCATGAAGTTTCGAGCAGATTTTGTCGTTCATAATCAGATCGAGGTAATCACATGACTTTCTCATCTAGATTTATAGTTCGATTGTTTTTAATTCTTTGGTTTCATCGGTGGCAAAATTTTACAGATATCCGGAATCGATGTTATGTCATTTCTGTTACACATGTTAGGTGTCGACTCGACAAACAAAGCCACAATAGAATGAACAAACTGCAAATGCTTTACAAATTGCATGGTCTACGTTGACATTTTTCACAGCTGAGTTGTTTTTCACCTGCTCAACTATGGTGTCGACAGAGTTCCCGCTAGAAACCACTCAGCCGAGATCTTAAGGTCTGACCTCTGGTGCAAAAGTGTCATAAAATGGCTAAAAATACTACCACTGAACAACTTGAGTTGTTAGAAACCACTCAGGTTGATCCGCAGTATTTCACCAACCAGACCAGACTGATATAAACACTGGATGGCCATCTCGCTCGTTTGGGGTCGAGCTTACCACTGGTGTACTTGAGCTGAGTTTTTTCCAGCGGAAAACCTGTTGCCACCATAGTTGGGCAGTTGGAAAACAACTCATTTGTGGGAAATGTCATTTACGAATTGTTCATTCTGTTTTAGGTATACTGGTCCATATAAGTCAGTCAGCCAGATTCATGTGACCTTCAGGTCTGTGAGCCAAATCTTTCCGGGCACACCAGTGGTGAGCTCGATCCCAAACGAGCGAAACGACTGTCCGGTGTCTAGATCACTGTGATCTAGTTGGTGAAATATCACAGACCAGCCTGAGTGGTTTCTAACTACTCAAGTTGTTCAGTAGTAGTATCTTCAACAAAGCTTCAGTTATCAATCTCTCCATCTATTCAAGTTATTTTTTAAAACTTTTGTTCTATCCCATCGTTTTGTGTGGTTGTATGTGACAGCATGCATGTCTATGGCTAAGCTTTTTCCTGAATTCCTTACCTTATCATGGTCCATTTCATATTTAGCTAGTATTGCAGTAAAACTTTGTACACTACTGTAGAACGTAATCATGTCCTGTTACGAATGTGGACGATAAGTTGTGTCCGAGATGTCATCTAGTAAACAGTAAAGCTTCATTGCGACACACCTAATGAACAAAATAAAATGGCATATTTAGCTAGATTTCTATATTCTGCTACCCCAATTGACGCTTTTTGGCTAGTTTAACCTGAGTATTCGACCTCACAGGGATTGAATTGAATTTGTTAGACCAACTTGTTTTTCCTAATATTTTTAATGAGACCCCTTAGCTGACAAAATTTGTTTCAAATTGATTTTTAGGTTTAAACGCCACCCTAGAATTCTTAATCAGGCCGGGATTAGACTTCTACGAAAAGTAGACCTGAAGGTTTTGTGATTACCGTGTTATAACTACGCGCAATAAATTAAGCTTGGAACGTCACCAATAAATAATACTGTTTCACTGTATGATGGGTATAAACAAAGAAATACAATGAAACAGTAACAAAGGCTTGGATGGCATGCTTCATACTGCTTAGACAAGTACAAGACAAAAATCGTTACAGTCATTGTTGATTGATGGTAATTTCATTTCAGCTTAAATTCAGTCAGCTGCCTCTATACTTAAAAAAGTAACTATAATCAGTGTCGCCATCACTGAAAACGATGGTTACCTAACAACCTGTCACAACAGCCTTTAGTCAAGTTTCAGTTCCCCATCATTCAACTTGGACTTTAATGAGACTTGGTTGTTGATCTTCCAACCCCAATCGAATTTAAGAATACTGTCCCAAACCTAAAACAGTTCAAGGTATCAGAACCTGACAGTTTCGTCTCAGAAACTCTTAACCACTGATTTATAGAATTAGTGAGTAGAATAAAAGGGAAACTAACTGGTGTATCTGAATGAAAAGTATTCTTATGAGACTATTCTGAGTTGCTGATCACTCAGTTTTACAAAGAGGAAGACACGTCTTATGACAAGTTTGACTAAACTGTAATCCAATTTACAAGAGTTCATAGTCATCTGACACTTAACTGTAGCCCTAGAACAACTAACGTAGTAAAGCCAACCAGGTTTCAAATTTGAACGACAGCTTCTTGAATGCAGCCACACCTGGAGGTACTTGACGCCTGCCACGTTTCTTGTGAAGTCTTATTCAACTGTCTGTGTGTAATATTGACCCAAACTCCACCTGAAAGCAAGTAAGGCAGATGTGTAATGATTTTTGGGGAACTGTTGTCTCACGTAACGACAACCCGTCGTGTCCGACAGGGATTCCCATTTCTGTTTGATCTTGTCATAGATATTTCTATGGGCATAACTCTTAGTACCTCCAACGGATTTTACTACTTCCTGGAAGGCACCCGGTTGACTTGGAGTACCCAGAAGACATTGCCCTGCTAGGCAAAAATGCTCAGAGAATATGGCGTCTTCTAAATGTTTTGAGCCACTTTAATCTCGCTTTCCTTCCATCAACTTGCTTTTCGCCCTCTATTTTGTAGCATAGATACTTGAATCCATGCAATCTTGTCAGGTTTTGTGTAGCTTTTTCTACATGTTTAAAAATCATCTTTGTTGGTAGTAAACCAAAGTCACCGTTTTCAGACAATCTTTTTAATAGGTATAAACACTTGAAAGATGTTTGTTGCTACTTAACTGATCTCACTCTCAGCCTTGAGCACTCACTCATCGTAATCTACTACTGAATTTACTTTCCAGCCGATTTTTATCCGTCATGACGACTGATGTCCCTTGAAATATGGCTTTGTACACCAATTACTTTTAGTGAGGGTTTTGTATCAACTGGTTTTCAGTTCTCTCTAGCTTTTCCAGACAGTTAAATTTCATAAATGATCGGTTTTGTTCTGTAGCTTATGAAGTTTCATTCTTATTCTCCGCTTGTCGATTAGCATTGCTCAGTACATAGTGGCCAGTCATTGGGTGGCAACCATTCTCCTGTAGTTTGGTCAAACGAATAGAAGTAAACAACAAAGGACCTGGTAGGAGTGCCTTGAAGATTCCGAAATTTATATCAGCGTATCAGAGTGGGAGTCAACGAGAGAGAGGATAAAGAAATGAAATTGATTATATCAAAATAAGTTGAAAACCATAAGGTAGAAGCAGACGAAGAATTTGGGAATAAGAAGACATCATACTATGATTTATATGGTAGCACCTTTACCACCACGAATAACGCTCTATCCATATCTACCATTTATACTCTTTAATCATCTCTTTCAACTGTCCTTTGGACAATACTCCGTGAGAGAAATCTCAGACCAACTACCTGAATGGAATGACATCATTTTCGGTCTAGGTATGCTCTGCTGTACTTTAGCCAACATTGTGATTTGAAGTAGATGGTGGTTCGATATGCACAGTCAACAAAGGCTCATAACCCACTCAGTCTCCTACTTCGTTCACGTACTATTCTTCAGCTGAGCTCTAAATTGTTTATGTAATGGTTTCACTATATGAAGACCATCTTAATGAAATGTCCGAGGTCATAACAAATCCTTTTAACTGTGGTTTCATCCCAGCTGCTGATTGAATTTCCTCAATGCCGTTAGAAATGTAGTCACTAGGTAATACACCATGTCTGTGCTGTGTATTTGATGTAAGCTGGTGCAGAGAAATATTTAGTAATTCCTGTTTTACCTAGTTTTTAAGGTTGTTTGATTTTATTCGCAACTTTGGAAGCAACAATGCTCCTTGAGAGACCTGTATCTATACAAAGTAAATGCAACTGAAGTCGCCTAATATGGTAATTAAAAGTTCAGGGGACACCAAATAATTATCATCCTCATCTTGAGCTAGACATCTCTGCTACCTCAAAAATATATTTGTTCGTTGATATATAGTTTATTGACTTCGAATATTTGATTATGTGGTGGATCATGCAATTAACTTTGTTGACTATGATAATGTCTTAGAATGTTAGGTACGAATAACCAATTAGCTGATCGGTATTTTTTGTGACGATGTTTGTACGCTTTGCTAAGCAAAATATGATTCTTTTGTGACTATAATGCATTTATGGTTTTAGCGTAAACAAATGAAATTTTTTGAACGGAGCTAAGGCTATTGAAATTAAGACCTAGTGCAAGGGTATAGCGGAAGGATAAACTGTCATTTAATCGATAGATCGAATAAAAATTGTAGAAACCTGAGAGAAGTTTTAAAAATGTTTCGGGGAAAAATTCCCTAATAAGGAAAAACAAATTAAGAAAACATCTGACAATATGAACAGAAGGTTATTGATAACAATAATTATGAGCACTTTGTTCCGAACAATGTTTTGGTACAATTAGGAATTTCAGCATGATATATTGCAATAAAAATTATATAACATGTTTATATACTCCTTTACTACATTTTGAATAGTATTGATATAACAGTTTATGAAAAGAATATTAATACCGAGGAAAATTTCACATTGTTAGTTAAACTATCGGTCAGAGATTATTTATTGTGGCTAATTTGATAAGTGCGTTCTGTTGTTTCCGTAATAGTCATAAGCTTGAAAGCCCGTTACCATCCACCAGGTTGCTTTTCATTAATTTGGCTGTCAATTTGTACAGTGATAGATCGTAACGATTTTTCAAAATGCCTGAAAGTATATAATACAACTAGATAACATAACTGAATAATTAAAACAATGGGAAAAGAAGAAATTTGGTGGAATATATTCCACCGTAAAATGAGGTGACCAAATTTCAAGTAGGCCTCCACAAATCTCAGTAAACGAAAGTTAGCATGAAATCGGAGAAAAAAAAAGTAAAATGAGGTTCATATAATGTTAGCTTTATGCAATTGAACAAGATAAAAAATAAGACTATAATTTAGAGAAAAACGAGAAGCTGCATCAATGATATTTGTTTAGTAAGATACATTGGGAATTCTGAATCATTTTCAAAAGTTTCCTGTCAGTTCATAATGAATATCAACCTAAAATCAATAAATAAATTTACACAAACCTCCAAGTTGAATAATTCTAGTGCTCATTAATAACTCGCTTCGAGAGGTGATTCCCGAAGTTCTAATGAGACGTCATGAGCGGTGGGACCAACCAAGTAAAACATAAGAACAGTTCTTCAAGGACGGCATTGAATGGAGGTTGCGTTACACCGTTAAGTGACAGCAGTAGGAAATATGGACCACTGAATTCCAACCCATTTGCTCAGTGGCAACTTGCAGGTCGCGTAACATGAAGTCCCTGGGTTTGTTCAATCCCGGAGTCACGGGTGTTCACTACTGTGGATTCCAATACTTCGACGAAACAGCTGTCCATTACTTCCAGGTTTCCGGTGTTTCGGAACTGATATCAGTCCATGATAAACATCACCCTGATATTGAGATTAATGTTAAGCGGTATTCATCAGTTGCTGAAAAATAGTTGTACATACAGTAGGTATTCGTAAAGTTCGGTAATAAGCAAGCAAAAACACGAATAGAGGAAGCGCTTTGCAAAACAGCTCAAAAAATCTTTCCTCTTTGGTTCTGAACATGCTGACCATAATGTAAGGATCATTTAAAGGTCAAATGTTTTAAAGCGGAGTGAACCAGTTTTATCAAGTGAATTACTCCCTACTACATTCGAAAACCGATGGTTTCTTGTTTTCATTTTATTCTAAAAACATCAATCAGTTCAGATGGTATCTACCGAAACTTTACACACATGAGTTCATATTTCTGGACTAATTTTATCCAATGTATTTGAGACTCAACATAGCCGCGTTCTCTCTTTACTTAATTTAAAAAAGCAAAGTAGATTCCAAATATTTCAAATTTGTTTTAATTGATACAAATATCCCTGTCTACGTCTGTTTTATCGTAAATTTTCTGTTTCGATCCAGTTTTTGTGACACCCGCTGTCTCACTGTGCATAGAAAAGCTGAGTAGACAGTATTAACTGACAGTAAAAGTCTTTTTATATTTCATTCTTCTTTTATTGGCTAGCTTTTAGAGCCTTATCAGATTAAAGCGATGTAATATTTCATTATGAAGTCAAGTTTTTTAACTGTATAGCATAAATTGAGAGTATGAATCTGTAATGCTCCTATTGAAATGTAAATCAATGGTTTCTAATTGTAAATAGGCTTATTTTTAGCACTCTAAATTTATATCATATGCGCTTACTATGTCTTTTGTAGTTGAAATCAAAGTAATAATTTCTCTTTTCATGGTATGACTTTATCTCAATAAGTACGCAAAACTCGTGAACTTAACAGAAATAATACTTATTGATGTGATTTTCTTCTTGCAGATATTATACTCTCTTTTTTTCTTCTCTAAAACAGAACATATTTCATTATCTGTGTGAGACCAATAAAAGTGAAGGCAATGCGGAAGTGAAATTGCCTGAAGCCTCTGGGGTAGGTTGATTCCGTCTGTACCGTTTTCTCAGCTATTCGTATTTAATGTATCCACACATTTTAAAATGTTTCATTAGTTTTTATTCTTCAGCTTCCTGTTTATTATTTGTTTTATGTATCTATTTTAAACCGGGTTATAATTGGATTGTGCATTAGGTGTTGCGGCTAGACCCTGGGTATGGTTATGGTCATCAGTCAGCCAGTGGAGAGTAATCAACAGTATACTGTCTAACCTTAATTTGCAACTGAATTCTGTTGTTCAAGTTTGTAGTGTATTCATTACTTTAAGGGACTTGACATATCAGTACACTGTATGTCATTAAATGATTGATGTGGTTGGGTTGAATTTCTCTGTAGTGATGTCTCAGAACGCACTGTGGTAGAATATAATTCCATATTAGATTGTTTATTTGATAGGATACATAGTGATATAGTATAATTTACTGAGCGACATTTCTCATATCCATGTCAAAAAGCACCTTTATGTGTTCAAAAGTAATTTGTTCTTACACACTACACCTACCTTGGTAAACTTTGTTTTCTTACAAAAATAAGGATCAACTACATCACTCTTTCTTTTTGTTCACATTTTTATTGATTTGAATTCCTTATTAAATTAATTGCTATATTTTTCCTCTTACCCTTTGGTTTAGTATAAACCGACGTGTCAAGTAAATGTGTGATCAGATTGCTCGAAATGTATTGTGCAAATATATCACATTGTTCAGATAAAATTTGTAGCTAATGTACAAAACTTATAACTATGAGCAAGTAAAAAATCCACACCTACCATGGAAAACAACTATCGATAATGGCTGAAGTAGTCTATTCAAATATCCACGATTGTAGAAGTTTGAATGCATTAGACATTGTGCATAGGACTGATAATATCTAACAAATTATTTCCAGAATCTCAGTTTATTCTTAAGTGAAGTTCATTTACAAGTTTCTTCTTACTGTGTTCCCTAAAGATTATTTTATAACTTCCACAACATCAATAAACATCTTTGACACAGAATCCACCCTAGTTCTAACGATACAAATTTCATCTCATCAATAGTAGGAGACATTTTGGATTTATTTTTTGGCGAAACGTCTTTTCTTTAAGTATTGTTTTAATTGTATCTAATTTTATCATTACTATTGTTTAAAGCCTTTCAGACTTGGTTCTCTGATATCTGATATTTGAAGCAACTCAAAAGAAGAACATAATTTAGTTCATTTTTCTATCACACTTTAACAATTCTTTTAAATATTATATGCAGGGGATAAACAAGCGTTGCTTTGTTACATATCTGTCTTTCGCAACGATTTCTCACCTGGATAATTGCCTGACGGAAGTGGAAAACAATGTTTAGATTACTCATCAGAAAAGTTGAGAAGATTAATTGGCACTACACACCTTTCTTATTTTGAACTTTTCAAGTTCACGAAAATTCCAGATTCTTTAAGGTGGAAGTAACTTCTGATAGGTTGAACCAAGCGTTGTACTGTCACAATCCCAAATATTCAACAAGTAATCACTATTAATCAAAAATGCTATCTTCAAATATGATTGGACCAGACCCTACATAACAGATGTGCTTTATTTGATAATTTTCACCTTCTTTGCAGTTTTTTAAAGCTCATTGCATAGTCCTCTTTTTGCATTTAACATAAAATCTGGCTGGGCATCGAAATTAAATGAAATAGTTGTCTACTGCTGAATAGCTTTCAGTGTTTCTCTAATTGCCTTCAGTCTATGGTATAAACTGTCCCTATATCTTCTACATTTTTCTGTACTGTTAACTAAAAGAGTGAGTAATTAGTCTACAGTAGCATGAAAAACCTATCGTCAGTTTTACTGGAATCTGTGGATTAAGTTTGCTTTCCATTTTCTGTTGACTTGCAGGATGATGCTTGGAAAGTATATTTCGATCCACCTGCACAGGATATCGTCAACGAATTCGCCATACGATATGGGATTGAATCAATTTATCAGGCGATGACGTAAGTTACAACAAGAATAAGCTAATAGTATTTAGTTTATGAACATAGAATCCTATGTAACTGATCCTTGACTTTCACAGTTAAACCTATTTCTTAATAACTGACTGTTTATTTCACCATTGATCTCAACTGCTAACAAGCATGCACGCGTAGTCAGCCTGACAGTTGTTCGATCTTTTGTTATCCATTCATTTGCTTTTTTGAGGATAATCACCGTCGCATCATGATGAGGCCCAAACACTAAAGTTTTAAGCTGAAGTATCGAGTTCAGCCTTTAATACATGTGCAACTAGACATCATCCGCTACATTGATATTTGCATATATAAGACCTCAGATACAACAAAAACGTTTACCTAAACGACTAGCGAACCGAAATATTGATTTCGCATTGAACCTTTATTGTCACATTCTCAAAGGTATAAAATTACTATATGCGAGCGCTTTTAAAAAACATATGTGACCATCTTTACTTTCCATTCCGTCTTTATAGTCATTTTTCATGTCTAACGACAAAATATATGTGCACTGGTGTACCAGCAACAATGTCCAATTTACTCGCCAATATCAATGCATTTTATGCTCACACATCAGCATCCAGCAATCAAACAGCTTCAGAACGTTTCAGTGCTAGTAATTTTGGCGTAAGTAAATAGTTTTTTGTTTAAGCGTTTGACTAATTTTTGCCACCGTTTTTCGGTTTTTGTTTTTATCATTCCTTACTACATGATTTCATTCCTTCTTATTGCGCATGTAATTTTTCCTATGATGAAAACAACTGTTCTTAAGACTCAGAACTGCTAATGAATATCAGACAAGTAGGTGGGATCGGTTAGCGTGTTGACGTGAAATGTAACGATAGTTGAAAGTGAAATGGAACCCTGTGCCACGGCAGGATTCAAAATAGTGACCCTCGGATTACCTGCTTTGACGTAGTGCAAGAATATAAACAGTCAATCTCATATGGCTAACGCTCATAAAGACTTCGCTTTTTTATCTGAGCGCTGCTATTTCTATAAGGAAAAACGATATGATTGTGCTATCTGGTTTCTTTTGATTGATTGGTTGATTCCATGTTGACTATTAATCTAACAATTACTCGTGCATATTCACAATGTTTCTTCATTTTTCACTCATTATGTTATGGTTGATTATCCTAGATAATTTAGATTCTCATGCTAAGTCAACTCAGAAGCTAATTTGATGAGGTTAACTGAAAATAAGTAAAAGAAAAATATTTGCTTCATTGAATTCATCTAGATCTAGTTAATAGGATATTTACAGGAAGCTCAATTACTTCTTGTTGATTTATTACAAATATATTTATAATAAATTGTTTCTTTTCACAATGTACAAATTTTGTATTGATATACTATTTGTTGACCATAGATAACTAGGACCTATCGACAATTAGATTTTCAACTAACGAATAGAATTTTTCCTTAAAATAAATGAATATCGCTTACTTTGTCATCAATTTTCACTAATCATTTGGTGAACACTCAGAATTTGCAACTTGTTTCGACTTTATTCACTAATACGATTTTCTACATCAATATCCAAATCGGTATGGAAACAATAAATATATGTGTAAGATTCACAGCTTAATTCGACGGGAGATCTGAGAAAGAGTAGGATTCGAACTAATGTACTCTTGTCCTGAGTAATTGGCTGAGTTGCGAGACCTTATTACTAAGTAGATTACAATTTTCATTAAGTGCATTTAATAAGAATATTTAATCCCCTGTTAGACTAAACTTTTGAATGAACCAAAAATATTTTTCCTCAGTTTCTAAAGTTATGTGTCAGTTTTGTTTAATTAGAGAATAACATTGGATGAACAGTAGAGAGGTTTTTCATCACAGTTCATCAGTAATATCATATAGTTTTGGAATGTTATTTCAAAAAGACTTATGTAAAAGACAATGTCAGAATCAAATATTGCTGGGATTCCGCTCAGAATAATTCATTATATCAATGATTATACACTAGAAAGTCAAAGCCAGTTATCTCATGCGGTTTTTATTCAAAGTGAATGATTAGAAACGATAGTGAACCCTTTTGTACTGATCGGTTATGATTGAAATTCATGTGAGTAAAGCCCACCATAGTTGTAGTTGTGAAGTATGAATGTATAATCGGATAAATAATAATAGTCGAGTAAAACCACTAGGTCAAGTTTTACAAATGAATGTGAATCTAATAAAATTTAAGATCACAAGGAAAGGGTGATAGAATACGTTTGTGTTGACGTGTATAAAAGTAGGACTCGATAAAAAAAGGTAGGTAATTTGAGGAACAACAGTTTAAGTGAAATGGTCTTGGTTTTATTGTGTTCTCTGAGCTGGGTTGTTTAATCGTGAAGCTTTCATCGTCTTTCCAGACGATATCATCAGTACTAACTTCAGTATAAACACAATACAACCAAGATCATCCGCCTGCGCTACAAATATTCTGCAATAAGTGAAATGGTTCATATGTAAGGAGATACAAATAGGGTTAAAGAATGTGGTAAAGTGTTTGAGGTTATCGAGATGAATGGATATCTACGATATGGAAGCTGAAAATCAGGTTATATGATGTAGGACAATTAAAAATTTGTTAGTCATGAACTAGGTAAAAATATTTGTAGTGAGGACACCTATTTTTCCCGAACATATAACTTGGGTTGTTTCATGCAAGTTGCCTCTGCTTCTGCAGTTTAAATGACTCCAAGTTTAGTAACTTTTGGTGAATTGATGAGAACTAAGTGAGATGAGCTAAACGGCGAATAAAAATATGTTATTTTCGATTACTTTTTTAAACCCAAGTTTCCTCTAAGCTCAGATAACAATTTTTAGTTAAGGGTATCTTATTACCTTTTTCCATAGTTTTATTATCTCATTAGTTCTATTCCTACATAGTTTCCAAATTCAGGATCCGTACTAATGTTTGCTAATATTTATTACTGCACTCAGTCAACAAATTCATCGAAAGTATAAACAGTCATACAACGTTAAGTTGACCTTGATATTTTGTTTTGGCATTTGTATGATCTATTACATTTAGAAAAGATCATATTTGCCTCATCTGTCACACTGGTTAGGTCTAACAGAATGTATTGGTTATGATTATATCATTGGTTTCGTTGTACTCGAGAAAAACGACAGGAATTCATCTCAGTAGTCATTAAAATATTAGCATTCTTTGAGAAATATCTGACTATTCAAGTGCGTTTCAATTAACAGTGAATTTTTTGGCGAAAATAGTTTCTTAGATAATTTCAAGTTTGAAATAAATAGTTATTATGTTTGGATATGCAGATTGGTGTGTTGGGTCTGAAAAAGATGACAGAAAATGTCCTCATTCTCCGTGGTTTCATGTTATTCAATGCTGGGCGAACTAAGCTTCTATCAATAAAGTTAGAGTTATACTTTTCACTTAACTAGAATAGTTATTTATGGGTGTTATTGAAAGCAAGATATTATGAATTATTATTATTATTATTATTGCTACTGTTGTTATTGTCATGACTTGTCTTATACACAGGGGAAATCATATTTTACTGGATCTAAATTATTTTTGTTATTTAGTAGATTGATTGTTTTTGAGTGATGGCTAACCGTATAATAAATAAAGTTTTCGTGCTTCCAAATGGCAGACTTATCCCATACTCTTCTGAGATTTGTATTTCTCAGTGAGTGGATAACAAAACAATATTATTTTCATCGATCTTCCACTAGTTTTCTTGTTTTTTCTTGTCTTTTATTGAGAAGTAGACACCTTAAAATAATGGAACTTATTTACTCAATGTCCGGAGTTTTTTCAAACCATTAAGTCTATACCCGATTTCGACGCCTATAAATAAACCAAAAAAGAGCATGAAAAGGTGAAGAAAGTCTGAATCTGTATGTTGGTTAACATTTCATCAAAATGCATATTTATTAATTCTGAATATTCTTTTTCTGACCCAAAGCTAAAAGTAAACACTTAAGATCAATATTGTTGGCACTTCCTGTAAATTCGACTTGTCTTTGTAAGGTTGATCAAATGATGGTCTGTTAATCGACGAGCGTTCTACCCCCTTTGCATTATTATTTTCGTCCTTTCGATATAAACTGGTACATTGAAATTCAGTCATTTGTGTTTTTGTTACAATTCTTGGACATAAACTTCAAAGAAAAATGTATACATTGATACTATTCATATGTATCGGTTTATGCTTTTCTTCATTACCTTAACTCATTCGATAGTATTCATCCTTTTAGTCAAAATTGGCTTGTTGCAGTTTATATTGATAAGAAAATAACCGATAACTTAGAAGAAAAACAGCAGAAAACTACCTACTCCGTCTAACGCCTCTTTTTTATTAGCCTTGCATACTACTCATAAAACGTAGAGATCAAGCTTCTCTAGCATTTGGAACATTTGGTCCTTTTTATAAATTCAGGTGATATTATCCGAAACATTTTGTATAACCATTGAAAATTTGATCGGCCACACTACTGCATATAAGCAATACATGGATAGTATAGTTATGCCTAATAATCTGAAAATTGTTCGAAGTTATACTAGCCTCAGTTGTGAAGATGAGGTGGATAAAAAACAGCCAGTCTAATATAAATGCGGTTTTGCCAGATTTCCATACACTAATGTAGAAATTAATCAAAAACCAAGCTACTGTTGATATCACCGACAAAGAATGGGAACCCTTAGATGTGTATCAGTAGACATAAGCGTTCCATAACTAGAAGCCCATTCCACATTCAGCCTCCACGCCGAAAGTCCACATCACAATCCAACAAAGGGCGTAAGTCTAGTAAACTTATTTTTCGAAATGTCTTGGAATAAGGTCATCATAGTGAACAACGCAATGCCTACACTGCAACACAAATAGTAATACGGGTTAAATGAGAATATCATGATTCGCTGTGTATCACTTTGCATTTATGTCTGAACGCAAATGCATGTGCAAAAGCGAAAGTAATATGCGGTTGAAGATTACTGATTATGTACCTAAGTGATTTCAAAAACACATGGTCCGTAATAATCCAATAATTACAGATGGTAAATATCAATTCTGCCGACGAAACTGAAGCTTGAACAAAAAGTATTGATGAAGATCTCATTTTATCTTCATAAATTTGATCAAAACGTTTTAGAATGAACCTATCTTCATTGACCATGAGATCAATAGAAGGATGATCACATGATGTCAAGATATTCTTTACTTTCTTGTACAGAAACTGTCAGTGAAGAATGCCAGCATTTATCGAAGCTATTGGCATTCATTAGTCGGTGAGTTTGTAAACCTTTATCGACTGAGTTTGTTTGACCATTTATTGCGTATACCAAGCAATGAAGTATCGAAACATGGAACGTTTTCCGACTGGAAGGAGGTTGAAGAAGACCGGACAATGATAAGCTACTACTTCATGAAGTCTTTTATTGCTGCTCTTGTTTTTAGGGGAGATTTAGGTGGAGTGACTGGGGTATTCGAGGCTATAAAAATCAATGGTTGGATTCTTTTGATAAAATGGTCCAAAATTGACCTCAGAGATGCAAACGTATATACCCTTTGTGATATTCATGTTCAATATTTCATTAACTTCTGTGTATTTGCTCTTCATATCTCATACCGCTTTCTTTTCTACGCACCATTTCTTTGCATAGTGGTATGAAGTGTGGCATCTTGTACTGATGCACTTTTTTATCGAGTTTTATGTTGGTGTGTATTTTAGCATCTGTATTTTCAACTCCCCTTTATATGCTGAATAACAATCTACACTCACTTACTCGAAACTCAGATCGGTAGTATGGATTTCAATTTTCTTATAAATCCTAGTGTTGTTCCGATATGTTTGTTCTGCTCTTCTTATCCATCTTACTATTACTTTTAGCATTGATTAAATTGATAAGTGCTCTAGTTTCAGCTTCAGTCCTCATCTTATGTATGACCTGTTACTGGATGATCTGAAAACCCCAGACATTTGAGCAAAAAGTGGAGAAAGTGTTGGAAACATTACTAAGTCAATAGTAGGTTTATGATCGTTTCTTTTCTGGATACATAGACTGACTGGAATTCTTTTGATTACCCCGTTTTCTAAAAACTTAATTGGAATTCATTTATCATACCTTCTTGCCATTCTTAGGATTTTAGGTGTCTGAATGTGTTATTATTTATCGACTACATTACTGCAGCATCATATTTTTTCATTATGAATTAATTGCCTCCCCTTCCTTCACCAACCCCAATATTGCTGTTACTGTTTTTAACACTGTTACTGTCATAATCATTTCTCTACTGTCATCTATTTGTCATTTTGACCCAAATAAGTTTCCAGTACATTACCAGATAGGTTAATCAGCCACAGTTTTAATCTTATCTGACTAACGCTAAAGCCTCATCAGTCTTATTGATATAAATAGAGCGATTTTACTTCATTATCCCTGATTTGGAAGCCAAGGTTTGGATATCAAGACACAATGGTATGCTAGAAGTATACCTGCCTATATAATTTTCTATTCATAGATTAAAAACTTACTAAAAGACCGTAGCACAGGGAAAGAGGACCTGTGCAATAAAATGAATCCATCCTAGGTTAGGACGATAAAGCTGTTTAATGTTCTGAGGTATGAATGAATTATTGTCTAACAGATTTCAGTCTTAGATATCAAAAGCTACTTTGAAACCAACCAATCCCCACAAACCATCAAATCAGTTCATCTTAGTTATTGTTTTGATCACTTTTTGGAAATAAAAGACTACTACAGTATAAGACTCACTTGGTTTCCTCTCTAATCAGTTTACTTTGTTTTAAAAACCTAGATAAATATTGAAAACTCTAAGATTATGATAAATGATATTTGATAAATAAATAATTTAGAATAGTGGAAATCATTACATGCTAAATCTTAAGGAAATACATTCTAGTTGTTTTTATTTCTTCTCCGTTTCGAATGAAAGGGAAATGTGCATTTAGTCTATGAAGAATATCACGTTTTCATCGTAACTTATAACAAATATTACAAAATTAATTTGGTGGTAATAAGTTGGGTTATAAAGTTAAAGATTTAAGACGATTGACGTGTAAGCATATTTTTTGTTCAGTGTTTAATACTTGTGAAGGATGATTGCATCGAATTTTTATGTTAACTGAGGTTTTAGTTTAAAACAGCCATGTTTTGATTAAGAGAAGTAATAAGAATCAACGACAGCTCTATACATGAAGACTGAATGCATGAAACTAACATATTTTTTTCCCTGGTGTAGAATTGACACATCCATCTAATTAAAATGAAATTTCGTTTTTGTAAATTTGGAGCATTTGAGTTGTCTTCTTGATCTCTAGATTCGTATGCGCATTATCACTCAACAGGCATACTTTTAACAACGTGATACTATTATTCGATGTTTTTACTAAACTGAAGGGAATTGAGAATTCCCGTTCGAACCTGCGAAAAGATAAAGGCTGAATATCTATCGTTCACAGATGTACGCTTTCATGTAATCTATTATACTAAATAGGTAGGTGTAGCTCTCAACAATGGTTATGATTTTTAACATTAAAAGATCCCTATAGCACTAATTAAAAGCAATATGAACAAAGAATATTCTTTTCAATAATTTCTCATAAGTTTCTACAATTATGAAGTGGAATTTTACATTGTAAAAAAAGTCAAACTTGAGGTGAATACATCTTCAAAACAGAATGTGAGTTGAGAACTGTAAGGAAACTGATTTCACTTTTTGAATTCGTCGGTATTTGGTTAACATATATACAGATGAATGATGTCATATTAAAATAAAAGATAATAAGTAAGGAAGACAGGAGATCGAGGGAGGAATAATGCTTGAACATGTTTTTTCGCGATGCAAAGTTCAGGTTTTACCAATCTTATTGCGGTAGCCTTAGATATGTTAGGCAGATGTTGGCGAATTCCACGTAATATTGTTTTTATACACAATATACCATCTATGTGATGACTTGTTTTTACTAGATGTGCTAAGATAGACCTTTTTACAACTTTACCTTTTCTAAACCAAGCCAAAAAATGTATTCGTCTCAAACCGTGTTTACCTTACCTTCTGCAATTCCATTTTATAACTGTTGTACCTGGTGGGAATTTATTGAAAAGAATATTCTTCGTTCACATTGTTTCTAGTCATTATCTATGTCACTAATGAGTATCTAATATCAATCCATTGAAAGTCAACAGGTGGAACATCTCTTAGATTTATTTTTCTATATATTTATATGAAATTGATTGAAACAATTTCATAATTGTAACTTTGTTTTGTGAGAAAAACTGCTAGATAGATCCGTTTTAACAGTTTGTGCATAATAATGGTAACAACATGAGATACAAAACCAATTCACTAAAATTTGCGTTTAACCGATGCTCTATGCTAACTGACACACTACAAAAAGGTGGAAACGAAGCTTTGTCTTTAAAATTCAAAAGCGCCATGCTTACACTGTCTTTTTTATTCATAGATTTTGTCACCTGACTCACTGTCACACTTTCGGTTAAGCTTAAACAGAATATTATTGCACTATACATTATAAGCAGTATCTTCGTTTCATTTATAATACTTATAACAAAAGTGTTGGTGTGTTTTACTTCCACAGAAAGAAAAATTTGTTAAACTCTTGGATCAACTTCACAACTCTCTACGTATCAGTTTATCAATGTACCGTGTAAGTGAACTGCAGTAATCGCTGTCATCATAATAAGATAATCTTCAACGAAATTGGCTTTATCAGATATAATTCATGCACTAATCGATATTCCTAATTTCATATGGTTCACTTCATTTAAAGTTACCTTATGACCAATTTTCCTTTTCAGAATTACAGCTTTGATCTCCTGATATATATATATATATATATATATATATATATATATATATGAGCTGTTTAACATAGATGATGTTTATCGATCGCTCAAATGTATACTGTCATTCATTTTAGAGAAAATTTAGAGTAGTGATGAAATATTTTTTTTTTTAAATGTCATTAGATCGAAGTGATCCCGAACTTTTGCTGAAAGGGAATGAAATTGTTTTTCTTTGTCTACCTATAGAAATTATTCCTTATTTTCAGGGTTGTATTTATTAGCGACTGATATCAGTTAGGGAACCATTGAAAAACTGCAAGCACCAGACAGCTGTTTCGTCCACAGTTTCCAATTTCTGTCAATTCGCGATGCATTGCGACCATCCACCAAGGTCTTTAGTTGGCTTCCACTAAACTTCCAGCTGATTGACCCTACTGATCACTGGTTCTCATTAGAACTCCGGGACGTCCATCTTAAATTGACAGAAGTAGGAAGCTGTGGACCATTGAAGTTCTAAGCAGTGGCTGAATGGTTAACGCAGTCTCTGTGAAGCATGAAGGTCCTGAGTTAGATCCCTGGTGAGATCGTGAATGCATACTACTGAGGAGCCCCACAATAGGTCAAAACAGATGTCATGTCCTCGTAGGCTTTTAATGGCTCCCCAACTGACGTCAGTCTGTAATGAATACCAGTGTGAACTTTAGCTTATTTCGCAGTATGTATTCGTACAAATATGTTCGCTAATGAACTGTTTAAATAAGTGTCTTTTGATTTTACTCTGAAATTTTAAATCCTCTTGTTCTAACGATCACTTTCAGGAACATTATTATTTACTTGGTACAATCCGCATTTCTGTTTCATCGTCCAGTTTCCTGACTGACTTTCTCATCTCTGATTGTGCCACCCTCTTAGCTCCTAACAAGTTCATCCATTAACATTACAGACTAAATTTTTATCATAACTGTATTTCCGTAGAGCAGGCTGGTCTCACTTTCAACCAATCTCTTTAATACTTAAAGAGGAATGATGAATGGCCTCAAGAAGTAAAATGATTACGAGCACTAAACAATGAACACACCACATTCTAGTAATATGTACTGTATAGGTGATAGCGTGGTGTAACAGACTTTCAGAGATTCCAGATTTTTATTCTACGTTGGCAGTGGCTGCCACTGGATGGAAGTGAAATATCTATTTAGAGTGGTATCCGTCAAAACTATTCACTCTCCATCTTTATTTGAATTCACTGAGATTGGTTTCTTCATGGATTATTTTCAAACTTACATAGTAAGCAGGCGATGCAGTTTTCGTAAGTAAGGACGCTAACAAAATGTAAAATCGTTTGAACACACTGACTGACAATTTGAGAATCTTTGAAATGCTTTTCTCGTCTTTAAATGCAGGCCATTACTTCGGGACTGGTTTGTGTTCAAAAATCGTTTGAGATAAGAACATAAAAAGGTTGTCTAATAAATGTCAAGTTTACGAGTCAGCAGTTTCCCTTCTCTAACTATATTCCTATGAAGCTTAGCCACTAAATTTAGACAATATGAGAAGGCTCAACATTAAACCACCGTTTTCTTCCTTACATTGACCGTGTTTCGTAAAACCACGAGGTAGGTAGTGCAGAGCCTTGGTGCATAGTTTTAGGAAAAACAGATAAATCAGTTGATGAGCTTGTAGACCTTTATCGACACAATTAACTGGAAATGAGCTGCGCATATTCAGTATTTGTGTTTATCTCTGTGCAATATTTTGGCCTCGTGAAAATATGACACTAATCCTTACAATCTTTGTTGTTCTTGAACGAAAATGTAAACTTTCTAATTGGTATCCATGAGTGCAGTTTAAAACACTCTTGTTTTTGGCCACTGCTTGTTTATAACATTTTCTTTTGACTGCAGATTGTATTGATGAATTTACATATAATTCTCATATCAATTTACTATTCACACTGTATTTAAACGGTAATGCTTATCGAAAAAAACGCTTTGCTTCACAGAATTCATTTCCCGCTTCACAACCGGATAAGTTGCAAGACTTGAAATCTACTGTTGACCTATTGACAAGTATCACATTCTTCAGAATGAAAGTAAGTGTTGTTATCGTTCGCTGATTTAAGTGTTTTTCAACTGTCTTTAAAAAATTACAATGATAACTTCCTTCGGCTGTGTATGCTCATTTGATTGCCTTCTTATATCTCCTTCTGCATTCTTTAGTTTATGCTATCCATAGCCTTAACAATTCCATTCTACCTGCAGTAGTATTTTCTGACAATTATCATCTGTCTATTTAGAATTCAGTAATTAGTTTTAATGTGATATGATTTGATTTGCTATTTTATTGCAGAGAATTACCACTTTTAACCCATTTGCGTTGGCATATTTCTTTATTAGTTTTTAGACTATAGTCTCCTACCAACTTACTCATGGTACATTTAGTTCAAAAAACCTCAACTGACTCTTCGTATTTCACCTTTTCTTAGAGTTGTAGAGGCGTTTCCGGGCTGTGCATTGTGTGTTATGTCGAATTCTCTTTCATTCAGTTTAATCTCTTAGTAATTTTATTTCTGAACATCGGCTACGCCTTCAAGGAAGTAATTGTTTTGTGAGGATCATATATGCTTCTCGGTAGTCAGTACCGACAAATAGAAAACATAAGTCAGGTATTTTGCCAGTTGCTTTCAAAACAAACGACAGCTTAGCCCGATATTATCATGTATAATATTTGTGAACCAAAATATCCAACTGGATTGCATGCGTTTTAAGAAAGCGGTTTCTGTTCTGACAGTTTAAAATGATGAAGGTACACGAAGAAATCCAAAGACGATAAAGTCCTAAATATTCATTTGGGATGTTATTTCGTGCTGAATGTTATTGTCACTAATTTAGCTTACACTGTCATTAGCCGTGCCATGATTTCGCCATATTTGACCTGTCCACAAAGTAGTTCTTTGAAGTTACTAAGATGAAAGTTAATTATTAGTAACCCTATCGACTGCGGAGTGCAATTACATGATAGAAAACCTGCTTTTGCTACAACCTGATAAGTTGAGCTGCATGACTTCACCCTCCCACCTTAACCCAATTTGTCTTAGCTCCTCTATTTTTCAACTGACTAAACAAGATTGAAAAAGCGAATGTTTATCAATTTAATGAGTCATACTTGTATTTCAAGAGGAAAGTCAAAAGACTTCGCTTATTCGTATTGAATTGTGAATCTTATAGCTAATCGGTATACATCTTCGCACCGTTTTTTGGGCATTATCATAAACTAAGCTTCACATTCACAGTAGGGTTTAAACATCGTCCCTCCTCATTCAAGCTGCAGATTTTCGACTAGTACACGGTGGCATTTTTTACTGATGATTGGAATATCACTAATACCAATACATAAACTGTACCAGTATAGACAACATATCTACTTGATCATACACATCCTGGGCTGTAGCTACTCCCCATCACTTCATATACGTCGAGGCATGCCCAATTCAAACTGCATAGCTTTTCAAAAGAACTACAGTATTTCTGAAGATACAACCTACAGAAAAGTAATAGAAGTCAATCTACGAGCAGCGTTGAAGCAATGAACAATTAATAATTATTCAGTATATGTCTTGGTGTTACAGTGGTTGATTATGTTGAAATCATGAAAAATAAGTCATTGTTTAATAATTACGAACAAAACACTATACTTTTCCAACACTATATCAGTTTGGAGTTAGGATAGGTGTCAATCACTTATGCGAATCGTATTAATGGTATCAACGTACACTCATAACACATAAAAGCTACCTATATTTTCCGCATAATAAGTTTTTATAGACATTCTTCGTCAAGCTTGAGTTTTGGTTCGGGAATATATTACTACCAGGCTGGTCATTACTACTGATAAAACTCATTTACAGAAAAATAATTATTAATATTGTTGTTGAGCTTGTCACTAAAACCAAAGTAAACAAAATTCAAAGAGTACAACTGGATTTCAGTATGAACACTAAAACTTAGAGTAGTCATCATCATCATCATCATCATCATCATCATCATCATCATCATAGTCTCCATTGTAATAACCGACTGTTGCTTAACTTATACTTTCTTCATCAGTTTTGTCAGAACAATTCACGTAGTTATTGGAAACGTTTAATTTTCAAATAAAATTTACTGAATGATGATTGTTTTTATTTACCCTTGAACGAAACATTGTTTTTACATTAAGGTTCAAGAGTTGACCAGTCCTCCTAGAGCCAGTCAAGTGGTGAAAGAGTGTGCTCGCGCTTGTATGCAGTCGACTTATCAATTTATTTATGAAAACGTAAATGAAGTTTACGCGAAACAGTTTCAAGTAAGTGACTAGTTTCCTCCCTGTCTATCCACCTATCACATTTTATAAATTCTTTTTTTTGCCTGAAATATTTATATGTTAGTTTTAAGATTTTTGGAGTAACTGTTTCTTTTTTCCTATTTTTTCTAAGTTTTCACCACTGTCATACTAACAATACATAATGAGTATTAGTGATCAGTTACGAGTAATTACAAAGTAACGTTAATTTCTTAGATAATTCATTATTGTTATGTAGCAATGATCCATCTAAGTTAAACTACCTATATTCAGTTGGTTTGAACACTCTCATTGTGTGAGTTGAATTCATATGCACACGTTAGTGATATACATAGTCAAAAAACGATTGAATGGTAGCTTGATGCTTAGTGTTTTTGATCTGATTAGCATCATCTCTAAGTCGATGTGATTAACTCCTAAGTAGTCATGTCCTTCAGAAGCAAAATTCAGCAGAGTTCCAGGTTGACGGACGTTTATTAAATATAGGTAACTCTCTGGTTACAACAAACGTAACAGCAACTAATCATACTTGTACTTCATTGTAATGGAACTGGTTTTAAACTTATGCACCAATGGTACTAATAGTTATACTATAAAGAATGTTTGCATTCAACGGACTGTTCAACAAAATATCAGTAATTTCCAGGTAGTTTATGAACTAAATAAAAGCAAATAATTGACTTTTGAGTTTAAACTAAGTGATTATATAAGTAGTTGTATACGCATACTTCCAAACATCGAAATATCATATCTTATTCCTTGATGAATAAGTTGGTTTCACTCCACCATTTAAAATTGCTTCATACATTTGTTGAATGATCAGTTTGCGAATTAGTTACAGATATAGTAGTGCTTTTCAAATCCCCAACTTTTGTGCCAAGAAAATATTCCTTAGGATACAATCAGCCGAGATCAGTAAGTGTGATCTCTGATAACAAGCTTTCATGAATTAACAAAATGTACTTCTGAACAATATTGTTATTGTTATTACTATTATTTGTCTCCTTGGGTTCCTAGTGGAACATAGGGGTTCAGTAGAACGCCTTCATTCCACTCTGTTCTCTGCAATCTTTTGAACCTGGCTCCATGACAGCTCAGAAACTATCATTTCTTACTCATACCATCTCCTCCATGTCACCCTCGGCATTGATGCTCAACTCGTCGCTTCCCATCGGGGTTCCACTCGTCGGCCTTCGCAGCGTATGCGCAATCCATCTCCACTTTCCTCTTCCGCATATTTGTTGGGTGATAGGTTCTTGGTTGGTTCGTTCCCAGAGTTCCTTGTTCCTTGGTGCTCATTCCTAGTATTCTGGACATCTGATCTTCAGTAACGAGCCAGCTTAGGCAGTTGTTGATGAATGTCTGTAGTTTGTTGGAAATGCCTTTCGTGACGCGCCAAGTCTGTAGGCCATACAGAAGCACTGGTTTGACGTTGGTGTTGAAAATCCGTATCTTGTTCCACATGCTGAGTGCAGTGCAGTAGATCTCCACACTGGTTTCAGGCAAATAAGCGCCTGTCTTGCTTTTCCGATTCTGACTTTGACATCGTCGTGAGTGCCGCCTGTAGTTGAAACAGTGCTTTCTAGATAGTTGAAGGAGGCTTCTTCCTCTAAGTTTCTCCCATTGATGGTGATTGGAGTTTGTTGTTGTTGGTGGTGGTGGTGTTGGTTGGGTATCTTCATCACCTCTGTCTTCCCTATATTCACTTGAAGTCCCGTCTTCGCTGCCCTGTCTCTTCTGCCAACTTGTTAGTTTTTGCCTGCAGATCTTCAAGTTTGTGTGATATCAGACATAAGTTATCGGCGAAATTCAAGTCTTCTAGGTTCTCTTCCGTGGTCCAGCCAGCGTATCCCCCTCTTCTCGCTCCTCATTGTTTGCTGCATGATCCAGTTCACCACAAATAGAAAGAGCATCGGTGAAAGTAGACAGCCTTGTTTTACTCCTATCTTCACTTCAAAGGCATCACTGAGCTTTCCATTGTGAATCACTCGGCATGCGGCATCGTCATATAGAGCTGCTGAATGAGGTTGATAAAGGCTTTTGGCACTAGAAGCGTAGTGTTGAAGCAGTTGCCAAATTACTTTTCGGTCGACGCTGTCAAAGGCCTTTACAAAGTTGATGAAGTTGAGGTAGAGTTGATTTGACTGCCATTCTATGCTCTGTTCTATGATTGATGCGTAACGTTGCAATTTGGTCCGCACATGATTTGTACTTCCTAAATCCAGCCAGCCAGCCTGTTCGGTCACAGTTTTGAATGCCGCGCATCCTTTAGTCTCTCCAGGATGATATATTTATTTATAATATTTTGCTTGCATTGGGTGGACAGGAGCGTGATTCCGCGCCAGTTCTTGCAAACACTGAAGTCTCCCTTCTTCGGGAGTTTGACAAGGTAGCCTTTCTTCCAATCAATGGGCAGGTACGTTCCATTCCTTCCAGACCTTCTGCAATAGTGGTGTGAGCATGTTCGCTGTTGTCTCTGTGTTTGTTTTCAGTGCTTCTGGCGGGATTCCATCTGGTCCTGCTGCTTTCCCACATTTCAGTAGCTTTATGGCATTCAGGACTTCGACTTTTGTTAGAGGATTTGTGTTAACTTGTAGATCTGTGGCTGCATGTGGTATTTCTGAACGAGTTGCAGATGGTGGTGGTGGGTTCAAGAGCTTCTTGAAGTGGTCGGCCCATTGTTTCCTTTGTTTATCTTCTTTGGTAATTAGATTCCCTTCATCATCTTTGATTGGTTTCATCTGTATTGATCTCTTCCCTTCCAGAGAGTAAGCTGGTTATTTGATACAATGTTGTCAGGTCTCTCTTGCTCCTACCAGCAGCGTGTTCTGCTTCACTTGCCTGCCAGTGTGTCGTAGAAGTGTCTTTTGTCTTTGTGCGCACTCTTCTCTACTCCAGTTATGAACAAAATGCACAGTCTTAAACCACTCATGCTAATCTATAGAATTCCCCAACCATATCAGTGGAATCTAAATACGCTATTTAGATCAATCTGATCTGTATAACGAGATCTGCAGACTGGCATGATTGGCTTCTAATTATATACATTGTTCAACAGTTGTTTTTTTATAGTTTCAGACTTCTAGTAGTGCTCACCTGCAGCATCTTTAGAAATAAATTCGACAGCATTCAGTTCTTGTGACTTGGAATAATCTTTTTCAAATGTCTGACCAAATAATTTTCACTGTACTGGTATCTTTAATTTTTAATAAAGTAATAATCATTTCATGACGTTTATACACATTTACTTTATTTCCTTTCCAAATCAACTTATTTTAGAATAATCATAGTGTCCATAAAAAACGAAGAAACTTTAATTAACTTACTAAACAAACGATTATACGGGCGACTTTAAAGCCCACCGTAGCAACAGCAAATTAAATTTCTTAATTTCGGAAAGGCAAATTTTAATAAAGTAGAAACGTCTAATTGATCATTCTAGTTGTTGCTACGGTGGCCTTTAAAGTCACTTCAGTTATACTCTAGCTGTGTGTAGACATAAAAATGTACATGCCAACATGCATTGCTCTATGTTTTTCAACCTTCTTGAGTAAAGTTACTGGGATGTGTAACCAATGTAATCGCTAGCTGATATGAATAATTTGGAAAACTAAACGTACTCATCAACAAGCTAGTGAAAAAAATTATAGTTGTAAATTGAACATAATGACTCATTATTTTACACTAGTTACAAAATTAGCATAGTCATCATCATAATTTATAAGCTTAGTTTCTTAAGTGCTATTTGTTACGTTACTTTCATTGATAACGTCTGCACTACTCTTGGCAATAACATCGTCTTTTGTTAAACAACAGCCAAAAGTTTTATGTTGAACATGGCGTAGATATTTGAACTGGCTTACTGACAAAACCAACGTACAACCAAGACCATCCACCTGAGCTACAAATATTTTCCATCATTTCAAAGTACAACCTCGTATACAAGTCCATCGACTCAAGTTGCCACACTTCACAGTAGTACATAAAGAACAGGTGGATAGAAAAGGAGTGATATCAAACTAGATAAAGTTGGGTTAGAGAATAAACAGTTTGAAAATAAAAGTTAGTGTGAATATTCAAGCTTCGGATGTCAAGGGGTGAATACATCTGTGCCATTGTGACCGATTCTCACCCATGTTACCAAACGTCCATCCTCAACCACTGATTCCTATCGTCTCGCTAACCCCAACCAGACAGTCTACATCTCCCCGCACAACTCATACCAACAGTCACAGACTTTATGAACTGGTACCACGTCTTAGTCTGGCTACCATGGACGCCCTTCTAACCACATCGTACTTCTGCTAGCATTGCTCCTGGAAGTAGGCGGTGAAACAGCATGCGCAGTGCATCTCCGAGCCACCTCAGCCGAAGAAGGTTCACAACCTCATCAACCTTATTTCCTGTCTTGTCTAGTACCCTTCTCCTGACTTCCACATTCCTCACACGGTGGCTCCATCAAACGCGAGTACTGCTACGAAGATAACTATGATCAAACCCTGTATTTTCTACTTCTAACGGCCATATCTCAGCCAAATAACAAAACGAAGTGCAGTGCAGTATACTCATTCTTTGATAAACAGTCGGATACCTCTCTAGTTGGCAGCACAGGTTACGCAAGTTGGCAAATGTCAAACAGGCCTTCTGTACCCGATTATATTTGAACACTAGTACTGTCAAAAAATTTCTAGCTTAGAAAACAGTATATGGGTAGGTATTGATATTTAAATAACCCGAATTAAGGTGAGGTGGAACTAGAGTGTGTTATATATACTTAGTTACTGCATACCGAGATTTGTAGTGTTGAAGTAACTTGAAGAGTGATTTGCATCAGTTTATACAGTACTAATTTATGAAATCAATTGTTAGTGCATGTGGTCTTTAACCAGATAGACGTTGAGAGTCGAGGGTTTTAGGTTAAACAAAAAAGTGAAAATTGACCCTAGAAAACGAGATTTTACTGAACATGAGCATTCTCTGAATTCTTTACATTTCATCATACTAACACATCACTCAAAGAAATCTCCTTTGGGAACAACTTAATTTTTCTGCTTAAACAATCGTTTTCCTTGGTTGTATGATAGCAAGATTGACGTTGTATACGTAGAAGTTTCCAATGATTTTATTTAATGAGAATAGACTTAAAAACAAGATGATTACAATAAACCATGAAAAGTACCAGAAGGCAAAGATGGAATCAACAGACGTAAGTGGTATCTCATTTCTACTGAAGGCAGATGAATAAGGGTCATATAGTACAATAAAACTTGATGTCACTATAGTAATGTGAATGTGAATCTGATTAATCTGAGTGGAAACTAGAATAAACGAATAAATAAATAAATTCATTGGTAAGATGAGAGAGAAATAGCCAAAAATGAATAAATTAATAAAAAAGAATCTATTGGCTATATAAGGTAAATCAAAGTAAACCAGAAACTAAACATTTAAGGGGATTCTAAAAAGCTTTTCCTGTATAGTGATTTTGTTTTCAGAAAATGGTTCATAATTGAGTCTTCTACAATATTACAGAGACACAAATTTGCTTCCTTCAAAATAAACAACGTAGCGCTCTTGGTTTCCGCACATATAGCCTCTTTGAATCCACCTCTGAAATAATCTTCCATCGGATCGGTAATCCGAATTCGCTTATTTAGAACTCAACTATATATATATATATATATATATATATATATATATATATATATATATATATATATATATATATATATATATATATATATATATATATATATATATATATGCCAACTGACTCGACATCTCAGAATAATAGTATTTGGTTAGCAGTTTGTTAGGACATTCATTAAGCTGTATCTTCATCTTTAAAAGAGCTTGTTTACCTTCAAAACTTCCAAGCAGCTACATTCATTCCTACAATCAATCAGCCGAGATGTTATTATTGTTACTGAACTTAGTTTGGAAGAGCTTATGAAAAAGAGAGAATAAAGTAGGAAGTAACACTTGTACCCAATGATTGAATGATAAATGAAGCTTCATTCTATTTTTCATACACAAATATGACTAATGTGCTTGAATTATATCCTAATACTATCCGCTAACAGTTATTGATCATTTTATAGCAATCATAAATAATTCATCAAAGGCCTTTGTGAAATTAGTATATTTCTTCAGGTCGTTTCCTCTTTTTTACATTTATTCTATGCTTTTGAACTGCATAAATTAGGTTCATAAACGATATGCGTTATATGTATCTCTTGTATTTGGTTGTCTAAATTGATAGTACGCTATAAAGACTTTTATCGATTACTTCTTTTTTCTCCAATCACTAGGAATCTGTTTCACAAGATGATGGTCCCCCATCATTAAAATCTCTGGAATTCTGGCATCGTTTAATCACCTTACTGGTTTCTGTAATTGACGAAGACAAAACCACATATGCTGCAGTGATTAACCAGTAGGTTTTCATATTTGCTTTTGTTTTTTTATTGTTGTTATTCAATAGCCGAATGACCAATATACTTTTGATTGTGTTATCTAATGACAATATATTCTTGATTCACTGAGCCTAGAGCTGAACTTTAGTAACTAAGTACATTTGGTGAATTGGATATACTCATTTTGGTTGAATCAAAAACGGGATAAATGATATTGTTCGTTCACAACACACGCGTTTAGTTTTGCTTTATAAAGTGTTTGGTATTTCATAACCTACGACCATGTATTCATTTAGGTCATATGTAAGGGAACCAGCAATTGCTGTTATGATGCAGAGAATACTAGTTGTGTTCATATCAACGAACAAGACAAACAATTATTATGCCTCTGAGACTGAGAAATTGGTAAATACTGATAACTGGTTCAATAGTGCTTCTGATTCAGTAACGTTCAGGAGGGAAAAATACCTGGAGGGATGATGTTCAGATTGCTAAACCCAACCTAGAAAACTTGGAAACTCAAGTTTACGTTGTATTCACCGAGGGCGATTAAAGTAACCCAGCAAAAAAAATGGGTTTGTATGAATTACATTAAAAAGAGTGGTAAATTCCTGAGCATATATGCCACTGATACTAGCCAAAAGTAAGATCATCTACCTTTCTTGAGAACTACTGTCTACACACATTCATGAGAAAAACCATCACCAATTACAAGATAATACATAAAACTAAGGAGCTAGATAGGTCACTGCTGACGAAAAATGCCTCAGAGACATTAATCTGTTAAAGCTTTTTATTCCTTATGACACTCTAAACTCCAGAAAATATCTACGTACTACAATATAAATTTCAGTGTGCGTGGCAGCACGCTGTTATAATTGCAGACATAACTACATCAAACTGATTAAAACATCATTTCATCTTCACATATATGAACATCAATCAAACGAAACATATTTTCACTGTTTAAGAATTCATTCAGAGATTTAGGATTGAAGAATTTTCAACATGACAAGGAATTTTTATATGCTTGAACTCCATGAAAATGCATTATAGGTCTTTAAGTTCATAAAACATTGGTCCAAAAGTGTGGCATTCTTCACCCATAGAATTCTAAACTTATTTCTGGTTTTGTTATCAGTGATGGTAGTGGCTAGCATTGGAATTCAGGATGCTCGTTTTTTTTAATTTGGACTCGATAGGTGGATGCACCTACCTCTCAGTGAGCTATGTTGTCCCTAGTATGACTCGAACGCGGGGCCGATCGTTTCAAACGCCAGAGCGTTATCCACTAGGCCAGCGAGTTATGACAGCCACTTCTTATCTTCTTACATTTATTTACATCACCAAACATTATCATAAATATATCATCTGATCTCAAAACCAAACCATCAAACCGTGTAGGATCTAGTGGACTGAAACAGAATTATTCATTCTATTCTGATTATTATCACCATTGAATTGAATATTTTGTAACGAAGTAGTTGACTTAAAACTATTTTTCATCACTTATTAAACTTATCTGATGAAATGCTAAAAAGCATACTGAATAGCTGTTTCATTCTAAGTGGGAATTAGGAAAAGAACATGTCATCGTGATACTTGATAGTGATCTTACTGTAATCAGCGGATATCTAAACTCTTGATAATTAGATGGTAATTCACTGACTGGATGAATAATGTGCTCACCATAAAACCCACAGTTCTTCCCCTCTATCCTGTACGGACAGGCAAGGGTCTGTGTAAGCAATCAGTTTAAAAACAATGGTGAAATATTTATAAACGTCCGAACCATATTTGTTATGAATGTCCTGAAAAAAGTTGCGATCTGAGTCTGATTTAATCGTGATGAGGGTAAATTTTAATCCAGTTAGAGCGTGTTTAGAAAATCGAAACAAAATTTTTCTGAACGTTACGCTATGTAAGCCACAGCTTCTTCATCAGAACCTTCTGATTTTTTTATCAACACCAAAATATATTGATTCCAGGTTGGTACTCATCATGACCTGACATCAGTTGGAGAAACATTGGGGACTTGGGAGCACTAAACAACTGTTTCATCCCAGTAAGGAACTCCTTAGCAGTGCGCACCCATGACTCTACCAGAGATCGAACCCAGGACCCTCAGGTCCCGCAGCCAGCACGTTATCATCGAGCCACTGGGTCAGAATTAAATGGTTCATATTTCCTGCTTCTTTCAGTCCATGATATAGAGCGACCTATATCCAATGCCGTCGTTGAGTAACTGTCCTTATATTCGTCTTGGTTGGCCCCACCGCTGACGACTTCTCATTAGAACTTCGGGAATCACCTCTCAAAGCGAGTTACCAATGAGCACTAAAATTACTCACTTTGGAGGTTTGTGGGAATTTATTTGTTGATTTCAGGTTGGTATTGATCATCACCATGATTTATGTGTATGTTATAGAATGTGTTGTTTCCTGAACCTGTATGAAAATACTTGTTGGTTCACGGACAGCCAGTAATTGTCATTGTTATTAAAACTACAATTAGAAAGTCATCAATAATAGGTTTGTCGGATCAATATTTGCTAAACGGATGACAATTCTATTCTGTCTGTACTGTTTATAAAATTTTATGTTGTTAAGATATGTAGTATTTCTAAAATTAATCTTTCTTTATGCGAATAGAAACCCTTTCCCAATACTTCTGGATTGTCAAGGTCAATCATATGTTCACTTTCAACTGCATACATAGCTATCCCTGATCGCTTTTATAAACTTTTTAGTTCATCTTGATTCTTTAATGGACTTTTTGTACATAAGTTGTGTTCATGCATCCTAAATTTTACTAGTTAACAACATTCTACAATATAATTAGCTTCAAATTCCATATAGTTGATTTTGTAGACATAGTTGTTCTGTATCATCTTAGGAATTGCATCTTCCACTTTAAACTAAACCTTTGAAGGTTTGAAATAGACCATAAGAGGTGCACACTCGTTTAGTTTGTTCAGAACTACTTTTCCGATGTGGTATCGTGTATTGTGACATCCTTGGCTTTTTCCTAACAGTATTATTATTATTACCACAGGTACTTGATATTTTATTCTTCTAGTCGATAATGTTGTTTAAAAAGTTTTCCGGATATCCACCTCCCACGGAAACATGTTTTATTTCGGAGATTACATCTAAATTACTTGTTCTGTGTTTCCTGGTCTTCACTGACTCTTCACTTGAAATTAACCAACGGCAAAAGCGGACTTACTTCTATTCACATCCTATTTCTTCACAAAATATTGATATCACGTATCCTGATAGGGAGAATAAATCCAGCTATTCAGTGTTCATTGACGATGTTATGAAATGAACTGAGACATTTTTTACATGAGTAGTTCTTTCTAACACAGCTTATAATACATAACCATACTGTTATTTGCAGTGATTTTCTTATTGATTCTGCAGCCCAAAATATGAAAAAGTTTCTTTACATCTATTCATGCAATCGCACCATTATTGCAGAAAAGACGAGACTTCCAGTTTACAGTACAATCCTATTCATTGGTACAAACTATCTAGAACCTCATCTTCAAGTTGTGCATTTTATGGTCAGTTAGTGCGGTTGCTTAGGTCACATGATTCAGTAACTGATAATGTGCACACTCACACACCGGGTTAACACAATTATCTGATATATGCGCTTGGAATAGGAGTGTTTTCAGAGGTACAACTTTTATTTCTGGTTGTCAAATCACTGACTCCAGCGGAGGCTATTACAAAACATCATTAAGTTTGTATGTACTATATTATGACCTTACAAATGATAATCTGTTTAACTTCATTCATTCGGTGACATTACTGGTTTTATTTCGCTTGAAGTGTCAGCATACATCAGTATAATGTTTAGGCCACTTGAGTGTTGATTCTGATCGTTGACTTTACCTGAAACATGTTCATTATTTATCTGCGTTTCAAACTAAGGTTTAACAACTCAGACTAATTACTGATAACGATATCATTTCTATATTATCATCATGTATGAACAGTGTGGTCTGATTTGTCTCCCATTTACTAATTAAATATGCGATAACTTGTGCATATTTTATTCTCCGGAACAGCCGTTCCCATGGGGTCCTGCAACGTCAGAAATTTATTTTTCCACTTCATTAAGACTTCACAAATATATTTCCTTGGTAATCCATTTACCCAATGCTCAACTTATTAAATTCTGTTGGGTCAATTTTTTATCGTGAAGTCTTTAAAAATATGGTTGGAAAGGCAGTACTTATTATTGCCCGTACCACGCAACTGAAACATTTTGATATTCTTATTTTCACTTGCTAAAACTTTTATAAACTTGCTTCAGTGAGTATTTGGATTGATAGATTTTTTCGTCATTGTTGAGTCTGACAGCTTACTTTGCGGTCTGCAGACGTTATATCCTTCTTCCTTCCATGTAATTTTCTCCAGATTTCCACAAGAAGTTAACATGGGCCATATAAGTGCATTGTGCATGTGGGAGCGTTTATCTGAAGACTTACAAATCGCTCTCGATGTTCATGCACGTGCTGAGATACGTTATTGTAAATCATCTGACTATATGAATTTATGCTTTAAATTAAAATGGTTCTATAATAAGCATGTAGCTATAATCCCTTCACAAAAGGATGTTGTACCTGAATATCCAAGGTAAGTTGTTGATCCCTATTATTATTATTATTATTATTATTATTATTATTATTATTATTGTTACTATTATCATTATTACTGCTAATAATCCAGTTATGATGCGTTCACAAATTAAAAAGTTTTTATAGTAATGCATTTTCACAGACATCTAACTGTCATACCGCATTCCATCTTCAATGCTAAAATGTTTAGTTTACAGTTGGATGACGTCATAGCACCTACGTCATAAGTTGCAACTTACTAAAATCAATTTAAAATGCAAATAAAGTGTGGTTTGCATTTCAAGCTCTATGTAACAGATCTTTCATTAGTTGAAGGCACCAGAAGCTGTCTACGAACATTTCTCTGTATGATTCTTATGCATATGAAAATAATTTCTATCGTGAAAGAAGTAAACACTTGTTGCTCAGTAATCTTTTCAAATGATCTTTTAATTTCAAAATGACTTTACTGTGAGAATAGTTCTTAGTGATATTCTGGACATTATTTTCAACATAAATTTGAAATAATTGAGAATGTCTAGTTTCTCATCAAAATTAATGATGTAGTATTCATTTTACATAGCTTGAAATAGCTTGATTCACTGAGTTAAAGAAGAAACACTTATGAACATCAGAACAGATCGTCAATGAATTCCCATTAAATCCCAACAAGGCGAAAAGAATATCTCAACGTGACCCGATTGACCATCTATAGGAGTAAAATCATGGTTAATTTAAATAAGCGCGATCAGTTGCTGAATTATGTTGTTCAATCAAGAAGAAGCTCTGTTCGAATCAACAAGAGCACACCTTCAACAAATCAAGAAGCCTAATTCTTTTAGAGCTACAATGAAAATGATGATTAGTAGAGTGTCTTATCAATATAAACTTGTTTACATTCTTGGCCAAATTGTCTTCCTCAAGAAATCACATCAGTTAAAAATAATGATATGATAATTCTTCAGTGTATCTTCATGATTTCAAACCAGTCAGTGTACTTCGAAATAGTCTATCATAAACTATCGACTCACCTTAACTGTAACTAACCTTCGTTTAGCCATTACGCAACTTTACGATGTAAGAGAATAACCTCTAAGAAAAACAAGTTAGATGTTAAAGGTAACTAATAAGTAAAATTGCTGAAACAAGCAAAATCTATGCACATTATAAATAAGGCATTTAAATAATCCTTGTTATTAGTACCCAGAAGCAAAGCAAAAAATAATTTCTAGAAAGTAACAACAGTATTAAATATTTTCACACATAGAATGGATTCATCCCATTACATATGCTCTGAGTCATGCAGGAATGCACTAATTTCAAAGTTTGAATGCAATTTACAAGGCAATTCATTAGAATCAGTGTATGAAACATTGTTCGAGTTCAGTAACGTTGATAATGCAAGTCAATTCCTTCCCCTCTTTATCGATCCTTAGTACTAATAATAACTGTTATTACTCCGAACTCTACCTTTTACTATTGCTATTAGTACCATCGTAACCGTGCTTTCCAACCATTATTACTGCTATTTTTTTTCTGATCAATTTTTATCAAATGACTTGTCATCAGGATGGGGATTTAGTTATTCCTTTCCCTTATAAAGTGGATTACTTAAATATGGAAAAAGACTTGATTATTATTCATTAGTATATCACTCAAATACAGATAAACTTCCCCGTAAATTGCATTCAAACTTACAAATTAATGCGTCTGTTTATTATTTCGGCGACATGAAATGAATTCACTATATGCCATAATGTTTGTTTTTCTTGTTTTATAATAATTTATCTAGGTGACAAATAGAATAACCCACACATCATTCCTATACTATAACATCTCTACCTTTATAACTTTCATCTATTAATTTCATTTTGCCTCAAAACTATGAGGGTTTCATTCCATTTTTCTCTTTGTCAGTAAAAGCTGTCGTTGTAGTAGATTTCTATTTTTCCTATAAGTTTTCCTTTTGTCTTTTTTCGATGATTTGTCTTTCAATTTTAGTTGGTTCGAAGTATTTGTTATGCAGTGGTTGAATGAAAATGATGAAGTCTCTATGGATTTTCTACGTAACGCGTATGAACGTGATAAGAAAGATGGATTTCAACGGTCTAGTGAACATGCATTATTTTCTAACTCAGTTGTGGATGTTTTCACGCAACTTAACCAGTGTTTTGATGTAATTAAGAAACTTGAATGTCCTGATCCAAATATTCAAGAAAGATTCTTAAATCGTTTTGCTCGAGTAAGTGATTGTATCTTATCAGAATATCAACTGACAGTGTCGATTTGGAAATTTTATGCACTTTATTTGCCTACTTATGAGTAGTCTAAGAAAGAATTTTTTTCATTTATACGTGTCTGGTTCCTATCTACGAATAAACGGGTATATTTCGTCATTTAAATAAACTGCTTTTCAATTTGATCACTTCAGAAAACGTAAATTATTAGCTTGCAGCAAACGACTTCATGAATCCTTGTATCAACTTGTAGTGTCATTTAAATATGTATACATCTGACAGTTTATTAAAATGATAGGTTTCATCCTGAGAAGATAGATGTTTGAAATTAGCATTTTCGGTATATCAGCTATTTTGAACGCAGAAAAATGCCTTTCGATTCGAAGATAGCAAGTTAATTGTAGTTTTTCATTTATATCTCATTTTGATTTCATTTGTACTGTAATGGAGCGCATACGAAACGTATACCAACTATAGTGTGGGTGTTTTTGGAAGTAGAGGACCTTGGTTTTACGCTTCTTCATATTCATCAACAAATCCTTTCTGAAACCTTCGGAATTGTTGACCTCTATGAAGGATTAGAATGGGCTTTGATCAGAGATGAAGTCAGAAGTTGTACTGACAAGCCATTACCTTGTCGAGTTGCTTAGCTTATCTTTACCTCCATTTGACATTCCCCTCCGTTACCATCAGTTGTCCAACTCATAAAGCAGTTATCTAAATTAACAGGCTTCTTGGATTTACTGCCCTAGTGACTAGACATATTAAATTTTAGCATCATGGTTCATAACCACTGACAGTTTATGTCTATACCCGCTATGACAATTGTTACTTTCAGTACATGTTTGTGTGCACCTATATTACACATTTACCCAGGAGGCATAAATGTAATGAAACTACGAATAAACAGACACACAACACTCATCAGGGTTAAAAAGTGGATGCATGCAAACAACAGTGTTTAATTATGAAGCATCCACACAATACTGCAGACCTCCAATACTCTATTTCGAGAACCATAGCTCGATAGCCTAGATTTCTGTGTACTTAATCGGACGACAAAGTACTCCTCTGTCTTGCTATGACGTTCCTGTGTGCATATTAACAGTAACAGCAATGTAGCGTCATAGGATTACTGTTATGACAACAACTGTTGATAAAGTACGATAATTTTATTGACACTAAAGAATAAGAATATGATATATAAGCGAACAAAATAGTTTTCAATTAGATCCGCTTCAGGCTATACTCTAATACAAACAAATAGCTTTACATATATACAAAATTAAACCAATCATGTAGATTTGTCGGTTGATGTGATAAATGTTTAAAATAACGATGGTGATAATAATACAAATAATAATAATAATGATAAAAGTGATAACGTTGACCAAAGCACATGCAATATAGATTATAATGATGATAAGAACCAAGAAAGGTGCATAAAAATGTAGACACTCCGATAATCGAAATGGGTCAGAGCTTGTGAAAATAAAAGCTGCGTAATAGTGAAGGACGAGGTAGATGGATAAACATAGCCTAGACAAACACAGTAAGTATACGAAAGGGGTGAAGAATAAGAAAAGGGGTAGGAAAAAAACTGAACGATTAGGTTATTTTAGGAGTAGTATACATCATGCACTGACATCGGTCGGGGAACCATCGAAAGTCTGGGAGAACCGGATGGCTGTTTCGTCCTCAGCAGTATGCACCCACGAGCCGGCTAGGGATCGAACCCAGAACCTTCGGGTTTCACAGCGAACGCGTTAACCATTCAGCTACTAGATCGGTTTCCAGCATGAACTGTGGTTTCAACCAGTCAGAAGTGAAGCGGATGCTAACTAAAAACCTTGGGTGATAGTCACTCTATATCGTGAATTAACAGAAGTTGGAAATTGTGAACCACTGGAAACCGACCTAGAAGCTGAATGGTTAACGCGTTCGCTGTGAAACCCGAAGGTTCTGGGTTCGATCCCTAGCCGGCTCGTGGGTGCATACTGCTGAGGACGAAACAGCCATCCGGTTCTCCCAGACTTTCGATGGTTCCCCGACCGATGTCAGTGCGTGATGTATACTACTCCTAAAATAACCTAATCGTTCAGTTTTTTTCCTACCCCTTTTCTTATTCTTCACCCCTTTCGTATACTTACTGTGTTTGTCTAGGCTATGTTTATCCATCTACCTCGTCCTTCACTATTACGCAGCTTTTATTTTCACAAGCTCTGACCCATTTCGATTATCGGAGTGTCTACATTTTTATGCACCTTTCTTGGTTCTTATCATCATTATAATCTATATTGCATGTGCTTTGGTCAACGTTATCACTTTTATCATTATTATTATTATTTGTATTATTATCACCATCGTTATTTTAAAACATTTATCACATCAACCGACAAATCTACATGATTGGTTTAATTTTGTATATATGTAAAGCTATTTGTTTGTATTAGAGTATAGCCTGAAGCGGATCTAATTGAAAACTGTTTTGTTCGCTTATTCGTCTTGTTCTAATTTCAATGATGGAAATTTTTGAAACTACTAAAGAATAAAACCGAAACAAAATGTCCCAAATAAGCGCATCAAAACCAAAGTTAGTTATGTTACACTTGATCTTGAGAATTATGTTTATCTATCGAGAAGAAATCGAACAAGAAAGAGTTGTTCACTGTAAAATTTTGTTTTTCAAGTCTGGAATCTCGTAGCTGTATGCACACTGAGACATTTTCAAGAAGGAATGCAAGACCCCGACATCTCTTAATCCACATATTTAAAGTTGGTATTCATTCTGTTGTTTATAGTATCAATAACTTATATGTTATTACGTAATAATTGTCCACTCTCTTTGTCCTTTCGCCCCCTTCTATATTACTACTATCAACACAATTCTACAGACTGTCAGTAAAGTATTGTTAACATATGCGGAAATAGTCAAAGCTGATTTTAAAAGTTGGGTGCATCAACAAGAAACAGCGTGTATTATCATGAATAATATACAACAATTACGGGTACAATTGGAGAAAGTATTTGAAGCGATGGGTGGCAGTACATTATCTGAGGATACGTGTAATGCAATGAATGATTTGCAGCAAATGCTTCATGCTGTTATTGATGATTTGGCCTCACAATATGCTGAAGCGTTGCAAGTACAAATCGTTCAGAAAATCAGAGAATTAAGCAAACTTTTACACCAGGTTAGCGTGATTTCCTGTAATAATTCTGTGTTAATTTACGTAGTTTACTTCTATCTTTAACAATGCAGTCTGATTTAGAAGGAATACAGAAATAAAAACCGGGCTGCGTCCGAAGACTACGGATTTCTAATCTGTGTATGTACTAACTAAATTCAAACCTAAAATCGCTAAATAGATCTCATTTTCATTCCATTCACTGGGCATTCTATAAACGAACGTTTTTTGTCACCTCAATGAAACTGTTTCATTGTCTCATACTTTTGAACGTGATAACCAGGATTTCATTGTAACTTTCTTCGTCACTAATCTAAGTTATGCAGATTTGTCAATATTTCAGACGATATCGAAACTTGATAATTGTTTGAAATCCTTTAAACTTTGAGGTTTGTTCATGGATGTTCCATCTCTAGGCTAGGTGACTTTATTAGCACTAACCTCATAGAAATTTCAGTGTTCAATTTTCTTTTAAAACAGTTAAAATCCTCAGTTATCCGCATTCTGACTCCTACTTGAACTACTTTTTGATACTAGTCTATTGACATCCCTGAAACATTGAGTTGTAATACTTTTCATCTGTATAAATGATAGAAACGTGAAGTGGAATGTATGTGGTTATTTTAATGGTGCTACATAGTTAACATAGATCAGTACCAACTGAGATATCTGTTTATAAATCCTGTCTGTATTATATTACCTCTTTTAACACTAACCTGAAATTTGTGTGTGTATTCGTATGTTGCAGAATAAGATGTTTGCGCATCCCTGTTTAACCTTAATAATAAAATGTCATTTATATTACCTACACACGATTGATTATCGCTATCCTTTAAAAAGTGTTCCTTATTTGAACGCTAGAATTGAGGCCTATTAATACTTATTATCGTTTATACGTAAAATGAGGTCATTTCTGTTTTGATGTACAGCGGCTTTGACGCCTTTCAACTTTTTTCCTACTCATTAATTCCTCCAAAAGAACCTGTTACTCGTTCAGATTATTACACCTTGAGATTCAGAATCGTAGCTTGATACATTACCTTTGGAAGTAATTGTATTGCAAGTAATCATCTATAGGACTAAATAAGGTACAAGTATAGTTTACTAGGCAGTAATTAGTATCAAGCTAAATTGCTCAGTGTTAACCAGGCATCTGAGATGATAAATGCAGAGCAACAGAATGTCAAGAAACTTTCATAATCAAAGCTTCGAAAGAACTTGTGTGATAAGATTCCTCCCCAGAACTAAGGACTAATTGCCCTCCCACAGCCGTATAATATAAATGTTATTTTGTATTGACTAATTCTAGTCTCATTGAACTATTCTAATGTTATATCTATTCATTATCTATAGTGTCCACCTAGCTCAAAAACGAACGTAGAAACTGAAGCCGAACATATATTACATCCTCTTATGGATTATTATGAATCGACGCTATCAACTTTAGCAGATCTATGTGAAAAGACTGTATTAAAACGGTTATTAAAGGTAATACCAGCATATTTATATTTATAAAAGTTGTATGTGTATTTATAAATCCAAATCGAGTAGAATAATACATTCCTGGTGTTTCGTGACCTTTTGGATGCCGCTTTTTCAGCTACTGAACTGGCTCTCTCACGTGATCGTGAAAAGTCAGGTCAAATTTTGAACCTGATACCTACAAATAATTTTTGTGATTGTTGGTAATGTTTTTGCTTGTATTTCTTTGCGATTATTATACTAGGGACTACATATTGTTGAAACTGACAGTTCAGGCATATACAACCTAAGGCTCTAGAAAACAATGTCATACCACCTATTATATATAATAAATGGAATCCTCATACAATTCTATGGATAGTAGACTCTGTGATTTTGGATAATCTTTCGTATTTTTCTGAGTACTTAATTCCAGTTATCTGTGTCACTGTTCTGAATGACACATAATGAAGCTAATTGATTACTTCACGTCTCTTTCTGTTTACTACAATTTACACATACCTTTTATGCGCTTTAATAAACAGGAACTCTGGAAGGTCACAATGCACAACTTAGAGAAACAAGTCGTATTGCCTACGGTTGCTGATCCGAGAGCTGTGAGTTTACTTATCTGTTTATTTATTACATTTTTTTTAGAGAAAAAACTATTTTTACCTGTATACACAACCTGTGCATCTAAGCATCACTGTACTTCAACTTGTCACTTGCTGCATGTAAGCTTGTATGTATGTATAGTATGCAACTGAAGAATTCTACTGAAACTAATGAATTCAATAAGTCTTGCTTGGCATACATTTGTTGCTTGTTTTAAATTTGCGTCGGGAAAGAGATGTTTTCAGTTTTCTTACGTTTCTGTCATATGATGTGTAGGTAACACAAAATAACCAGATTGTTCACCAGGTATGTAAAAGAAAAACCATTAAAATTTCGTAGTTCATGGTTTCTCTATTCATTGAAGTCTTTACTAACTTGGTCATTATAAGGTATTCCACTGTGACTATTTTTACCTTCAGTGGGGCGAGTAAAAGTTTGACCAGTATACTCAATGTGTAGCCTTTTTACTAATCGACATGATAAACAGCTAATGCTTAAAAACGTGCGCCTGTAGGCTTATGCACATATCTGTACTTGCTTTTTATATGTTATATGCATAAGCTATGTTTGTCAAGTCCTCGGTCAAAGGAATATCTGGAAACCAATTGCTTTCACCCAAATAATTATTAATAGTATACATTGAAAAAATGAATACAAGTTGATGACCAGATGATAACCGATGTAGCCGTCAAGTCCTAAGCGTTAGGTACTGATCGGATTTTATGGATTAAAAATAAAATACATCCACTAAACTAGGGGATATGACACTGTTGTGCACTGTAGTTTGGTGTTAGATGTCACAACAAAATCACTCGTAACGACTAATTACATTTACAGCCGAATCAACTGTTGCTACGATGCCTGTCGGTAATGTTGGCTATCGACGCCTGGTTGACATAGACCAATCAGCCCTGTGGTAACGTTTCTGACACCTCTCACTTCAGACTCAGAAAATAACATTCACGAAAATTGATAGTTCGTGTTGTATCTATACTGAAGACTTTATTTCACTCCCGGTTTTGTTGTTTATTGGGCTCATCATGTGTCACGCGTATTATCATTTGCCGGATGTACCATCCCAATCAAACTCCTTTTTTGATATAACTGTGCTGATATAAAATAAAAGGTAAAGATTTGAAACTATTTTGCAATAAACATTCAGTAACCTACCTTAGCAACTTTCTTTATGCCCTATTTCTGTTAATATGAGGATAGGATCCGGACATTGTGGTAGAGTATAATTCCACTACATTTCTGTTTTATGTACCACACAGATAAAGTTTCAAGCAGAATTTATGGCTCATAATCAGATCAAATTTATGGTCTAGTTTTATAGTCCTACTGTTTTTCATTCTTTCATTTCATTGGTAGTAAAAATGTCCACATATACCGAATCGGTGTTGCGTAGTTCCCATTACATGTATCAAGTATTGATTCGGTAAACAAGGCTGCTGTTATCAACCTCTCTCCACTTACCCAACTTATTTTTTTAAAATCGTTACTTCACTCCATCCTGTTGTGTGATTGTGTGTTACCGTATGCATGGCTGGGCTCTTTCCTGGATCGCTTATCTTACCATATTCTACTGTTCAAACGAAGCCAAGACGTAGGTTTACATACCACTACTACTCTTACTACTACTACTACTACCTACAAAGAGCTTTCACACTCTAACCAATACTTAAACTTTAGGTCATGCCATTCATCATCGGTCGAGGTAGGTTTGATCAAATGTTTAGGTGACAGGACAAGAAGACTGATTAAAAAGGTAGAAAATCTATATCAAGAAATGAAGGATATAAAGGATGTATTATTACTCAACAATCATCTCCCCTGAGTTTATTCAAAAGCGAATAAGGGGTAGTGAGAAAAATACTACGAATAATACACTTACAGGCAAAAAACATGTTAGCCATGAAACCACGGAGAAGGATTTTAAAACCTCCACAGTTTTAACGTATGAAGAAGAGGTAGTACTTATCATGGACTTACACCGATTGCCGAACCATTGAAGACCTGGTGTCAGTCCGTGATGAACGCTACCTTAAAACTAAAATCCTCATTAATCTCAAAATACATACAGGGAAGGGACATCAAAATTCCTACATAGGATTCCTAGTAAGATCGGAACAGAGTGGTATCTAAGCCTCCAAACTAACTTAAAGACGAACTTTGTCCGCTAAAGAATGCTATCGAACATATTAAGAAAAACTATTTAGTCTACCAAACTCAGTGGAATGACTTTGAGGTCAAATATGTAGGTCAATCTAACCGACCGTTGTCCATTGGGGTAACAGAAGGAGGAAACTTAAATAAGTATAAATTGGTAGACCATGGTAAGATAAACGATCCAGGAAAGAGCCCAGCCATGCATACGGTAACACACAATCACACAACAGGATGGAGTGAAGTAACGATTTTAAAAAATAAGTTGGGTAAGTGGAGAGAGGTTGATAACAGCAGCCTTGTTTACCGAATCAATACTTGATACATGTAATGGGAACTACGCAACACCGATTCGGTATATGTGGACATTTTTACTACCAATGAAATGAAAGAATGAAAAACAGTAGGACTATAAAACTAGACCATAAATTTGATCTGATTATGAGCCATAAATTCTGCTTGAAACGTTATCAGTTCATAATACTGTTTCTCTGTGTGATATGTATGTAAAACAGAACTATAATGAAATGTTTCTAGTGACAGAGATACAACTGTGTTCTAGACACCTAACTACTAAACAATATATCATAGTTCTAGAAGCATTTCACCTATTTCAGCCACGTTGATTGGATTCATTCCATTATGTAACTATCAATAATCAGTAAGAATAAACACTTTGGGCGCTGAAGTGAGTTATTACATGAAAGACTTCACTTTTAAAACCATGAAGTGTTTGTGTATTGTAGAATGAATCAACTTTTTAAAGTTTAAAAAGAATAGTTACACACCATTTAGAAATTATCAGTAATAAAAGCAGGCAAAATCGTGAAAATTAAGAGTTATTTTGATTCCTCTTGAGATTCGAATCGAGTGACCTCCGTCTATGAATAAAGGTTTACTCACAAGTGACTTAATAAACACTAAAATCCCTTCCTTAATAAATTGAAATACTTTACCGGCTAGTATGTATAAATGAATAAGGCTAATGGTGTTTTCAGCAGTTCAATAACTTAAGAGCATTTTAATCACTAATTGTTATTAGTTATTACAGAAAGCGTTAGAAACCACAGATTAGCAGATGACCTACTCACTCCAAACTGAATTTCTTTAACGCCATACTTCTGAGGTATCTATAATAAAAAGCCTTTTAGTTGATACGTTACTTGCAATCCATTTGATTGTTAACCGTCGACTGGTATTTTCTTGCTTCAGTGAAAGTATAGTTTTGCAGAAATATCTTTTGATGCAAAAAACAACGATTCGAACAAATCGATATTTCAACCACCTAGCACTAATATGTATCATTTTTGAAGCACAAGATACCGCACCGCTCTGATGAAACTATATTTCTGTTATATTGCATGTGGTTTCTCGTTAACACACCCATCATTAATTATTCCTATTTAACACAGCTAAATATGACACAAAGGATAGAAAAGTCAAAACATTTGGCCTTAAGCTCTAATCTGATAACTTGGATAAATTTAATCTTTTGAAGAAATTTGTATTGATGGCATCACTAAACGTTGCGATGAAATTTTAGGTTGGGGTTCATCATCGGTTAATGGAACATTGGAAACCTGGAGCACTGGACAGCTGTTTCGCCTTAGTATGGGACCCATCGAACCCCATGGCCTTCGAGTTCCACGGCCAGCACGTTGCCGTCGAGCCACTACGTCGGAATCCTGTGGCCTATACATCCGACTTCTGTCACTTCACGATATAGTGCGACCTAAAATCAATTAAAAGAAACCTCCAGACAGAATTACTGTGACGCTCATTGGTGACTAGCTTCGAGAGGTAATTCTCGAAGTCCCAATGAGAGGTCGTGACCAGTGGAGTCAACCAAGTCGAACATGAAGATGACATCGGGTGTAGGTCACGCTATATCGTGAACTGACTGAAGTAGGAAACATCGACCATTGGATTCCGACCCAGTGGTGCTGGCCATGGAACCCGAAGGTCCTGGGTTCGATCCCTGGTGGGGTAAGGTCATGGATGCGCCCTGCCGAGGAGTTCCGTACTAGGACGAAACAGCTATTCAGTACTCCCATGTTCCCAATGTCCCTCCAATTGATGCTAGTCCATGATGAATTCCAACCTAAAATCAATGAATAAATCTCCACAAACTTGCAGATAGTTGCGATGAAATGTTAATTGGTATATATGAGAGCTGAGAGAATAAAAAACAATTTATCATCTTTACTATGATCTAATGCATTATCTCTTAAGAAAAAGTTTTAACTAGACAAAATGTGGTATCTTCATTGCATACTTCAGCGTGTCAATCAATAAAGCTTATCTTTGATGTTGTGTTTAACATTCACTTATTCTCCAGAGAGAGTCATCATCATAGATTTTTTAAAATCTACAACGTGTGACAAAATAAATGTTAAATAGAAAATTGTATTCCACATTACTTTTCATCTAGCCGTACGAACATTGCTTTCTGACACCTACCAACTTCAATGCATATTTATTTTTAATGGAAAAGAGAAAATTAGTCTATAAAAACTACCTTAAAATAACAAAGACGGAAGGAAGAAAGAATGGCAACTATTTTTATGACCTTTAATAAAAACAAACCGAAGCAGTTTATATCTGACTGATTGTTTTATTTTTCACCATAGAAACAGATAAAAATCCCCATAATATTTTTTTCCTGAGATCGGAAGGTTATTTATTAAGGAATTTGAAGAATATTATGTCATGGATTGAGAATTCGACTATTAACAGTTGGGTTATAAAATTTAGTCCCAATTCACTTGCTTCGGCATGAACTAACAAGTGATATGATAAATTTTCACATAATAGTTATAGTTGATAGGCCTAGGACACAAAGTTGTGTAGGGCTGTTGAACTGCCTTATCGTTTATCAGTTTCTTTTTCATGATCTCAATAATTTGAAGATTAGCCTTCATTTTAAAACAACTTGTATTAGTTTAAATTTTAAAAATCAAAATGTCTTAAACAAACATTTAGATCTAGTTCTGATCTCTTCGATAATGTACCCCATTGAGTTATAGAATCTACAATTTTTAGATTCTGTTCGAAATGTTAGATGTACTGAATGATTATGTACAGAACAGAATGAAACACTTATCTTGATGATGTCCAGTTCCAAGTGGTTCTTCAATCGACATTATTTTTTTCGAAGAGATATTCTAAAGTTGAATCCACGTTACCGTCTTTATCGCCAATCAGTATTCATTTACATATCAGCACGATTGTGTAAGCATTATGGGATTGCTAATTGTAACTAACTACTCAACATACGTTCTCTGAAAAGGAAACTGTTGTACAATTCAGTTTATTTCAATAAATGGACAATAAACACTAACTATTTGATTATAAAATGAATATTATTGGTAACCATGATATATTCGAGGGTTAATCAATCAAACCAATATCAACACAGGACCAGGCTTTACTGTGTAGCAGTCCAAGTTGCCACACCTTATATTTGCACAGCAAATAACAAAGTAGTAAGATGAAGAAAGAGGGAAAAATCGGTCAAAAGCAGTAAGAGAGAGGAAGGAGGAATGAGAAAATGGTGAACTCAGTACAGCGGTTAAGATGAAGATAGTTTGGATACATCGACACCACTGGCATCAATTTTGAGCCATATCACCTACAGTCTCCAACCATTGGTCTCTGCTGTCACATGGATCCCAACTGGCTAGTCTTCACATCCCTGTATGGCTCAGACCAACAGTCAAAGACTCCATGCAGTGATGCTATGTTTTAGTTTGTCCTCCCTGAGCCTTTTTCTAGCTTGAGCCTACTTCGCCTGACATCGCGTGACGAGGTAGATGATGACTAGAAATGTGCAACACATGACGCAGCCATCTGAATAGATGAAGGTTCATAACCTTACCAAGTGGCTTCCTTCTCCTTCCTAAAACTTTACACCCGACCTCTACTTAACTGACGTGGTGACACCGTCATATAGTCTGTGCTACGAAGGCGACGGTGGTCAAACACCCGAAGCCTACTCATTTCATCCACCTCTTATGACTATACTTGACAACCATATAGCAGAACAGAAAAGAACTATAGCACAGCACACCCGACCCTTAATAGGCAATTGGATATCACAGTAGCGGTACAGATGGCGTAAGTTGACAAAATCCAAACCAGTCTTTTGTTTCTGCGATGAGGTTTCATCAGCCACTAACCAACGCATAAGAGCTGATCCAACTTCCCAAGTAAGTGAAATGGTCAACGCGCTCAACCACTTCACTCTGCTGCTAGACACGGCACCGCTGAAGACCAATCCCGGATCAACAATTTGCATTTGGATGGCAATAAACGCATCCCAAACATTCTCAAATTGCCATCCAGTGTGTCTAGAAGACTATGGATCTTGTGAGCGTCTTCACCTAACAAGACTATGTCATCTTCATATTCTAGATTTCTTAAGCATTCTCTAGTGATTAGATCAATCCTTGTGATATCAGATGACAAGAGGCAGAACCGTATAAGAATATCTATGATAAAATTGAGCAAGCGTGGAGAGAGTGGACATCCTGGACGGACACCACTCGATGTACACAGATCACCCGACAACCCACCATAGGTTCTAACACGCTCACGGATGTTTGGGTAAAGAGCCTTTAACAAAGTGATATACTTGTTCGGTGCCTCTTCCAGTGAGAGACACTTGTCATGAGACCCCTAGGTCGATTGAGCCGAATGCCATTTTCAGGCCGAGAAATAGCAGTTGTCGGGTATCGCTAAGTGTACCTATCTTTTAGAACCTGGCAGAGTATAAATATCTGGTGGCTAGGTCCGAAACCTGGCTGGCTTTCTTGGGCTTGCTGTTTCCGAGCTCCACTCAGTCATCGACTGATTATAGAACGTAGAATCTTAGACACTGTGCTCGTCAGGCTGATCCCCTGTGGTTACCACAAGAGAATTTCTCCCCTTTATTGGAGAATAGGGCAATCACTGTTTGAAACCAGTCACGGGATTATATCTGATTCCCATACTCCAGTTAGCACTTTGGTTAACTCGACTAAAAGTCCTCGACCACCGTCCTTAAATACCTCTGAAAGTAGTTCGTCTTGTCCTGCTAGTCTTCCTCATTTCATGTTACCTACGGCTTTCTCGACTTCTAAAAATATTGGGGATCCTGTCCCAATGTTGTATTCAGGCTGCGACTAGGTAGCGGACAACAAAACAGTAGCTGGAGACCACTTGGACTGTTCCTCGAATTACTCCTTCTATCATTCCAGTCGTCTTCCCTACAAATGTATCTCAGACCCATCCTTCTCCTCAATCTTATCTAAGTGGCTTCGAAAACGAAATTGACCTCGAATAATCCATTACGTGTAGGGGACAAAAGTCCAAACATGTATTAGAAACTAAATTATAGGGTAAAATTTGCAAGTTTAAAGTATATTGCAGAAAAGTAGACAGAGATGAGTGCTTAAATGTACTAAAGCTTTAATCATCCGTAAATTGAAGCTCTTTTAATACGTACTTTATTTAAAGACAGTTTGTATTCACTTTGAACTAATTGTGATAGTATTAATTTTATTATTCATGCCAAGGATGATGCGTTTCAGATTTAGTTTTCGAGATTTGTTTCAAGGTAGTACTCATCATACACTGGCATCAGTTGAAGTACCAATGAAAACCTGAGAGCACTGGACTCTCGTTTCGTTCTACTATGGGACTCCCCAGTGGTCTTATTTTTTCCCTTATTTTCCTCCTTATTCTTGTATTCTTTACTGACTTAACTGGCCTTCATCAGTTTTCATATAGATAAAATCTGACGATTTCATATGTAGTCAGATTATTCTGAACCTATAGTTCTGATATATCAAATACTTCACATAATCTTCCTCTTTTCATTACGCCGTTTAAGTTTATCATATAGACTAACTACTTCAAGAGTAGTAAAAGGTTTACTACGGTATGATAATTTTAGAAGAGCTAATTCTCACAGTTTTAAAATAAGTTCCATTTTAATTTCGTCTCCAGATATTCATTTCGTCGAAAACTGTTGCATGACTTCTTATCGTTGCATGTAAACTTTACATTGAAGTTACAAAACCAAGGGATTATATAACCTAGTGAGTCAATTAAGAAAGTTGAGAATGAAGTCAGTTGATTTATCTAAAATTAACAGATGAAAAACAATAATTTTTCCATAATGGAACCAAGACAACAAGGCATTGATTAAGATACCCTATCCTTCCTATTTACTCAGATCAGGCTGAAAGTTTAGTAAATCAATGTTTTTGTTTTCAGAAAACAAATGAAACATAGTATTGCATATATGTTTACTGATTTGAACATCATTCTGTGTTAATAAACCTCCTTGAACTCTCAGATTCAGAAAAAAAGTTAATTAAATCTCTCATTCCATTACTTTTTCTATCCTACTTGTGTAAAGATGCTTTTTTATTGAATTTACAAAATTATTCGTCAGTGTCAGTCTAACTACAAAGAAGCTCCTCTTATTCATACACTTTGGTTCCATCTTTTAAATAAACAGAAGCAGGCATTATAAAAACTTATATTGTTTTCCTCGACTTATTTCATTTGCTATGTTTCCAGCTTCTATGAAAGAGAAACGTATGAAATCATAACTTTGTGGTAGAAATTCAGGACACTTTGTAACAGTGCATTATCACTATATTGGGCTACTTTTACTTGAGTAAAATAGCTTTGTTTAAGGACCTGTGAATATGGAAATTAGTTGAAACGGTTGACTTAAACTGCATAGATATCTGCTTAGATAACCTTATCCAGTATGTTGTAAAAGTAACTTAAGAAACTGTCCATTTATCTAGAAAATATCATGTCTTGCACAAATAGATTATTGTATCTCTCATCATGCTGTACACCTTCAAGTAGTACATAAATCTTCGAGAACAAAATCTGTCTCATGCAGGGGCATACAAAGTTACTTAACACATTTGAGAACTATTATTTGACGCTTTACATTTTGATTAGTTTAGTTCACAATAATATTATGCATGCGCATTTCACCTTTTGCATTTCCAGATGTTTCTTAACTTGTCAATTCCTTCAACTGCACAAGCTAAATTAACAAGTGTATCACAAAGTTTACTAACGAATGTAAGCAGTCAGTTACCAGCAAGTCGAATACTACAAGTAAGTCAATTGACTGTTTCGATACCGACTATAATTAATAAGCTTCATGTCTACCTTATTTTTTGCTGTGATCCATGTTTCTTAAGATTCAAGTTACACTTTATGCTAATGGCTTATGCAGCTAAACGCTAGGCTACTGAATTTCTCATTAGTAAGTATGAAATACTGCATAAGTCTCAGCCTAAGATGGGAACCAGTTGATGGCAGTGTTAGGAAAATGTAATAAAGAAAGACTCAGACAATAACCAAACAGTTGTCTGGAAGCGAGATTAAAACTCTCTTCTGAAGTCTATTTTTGGCTTTATTTGACCAATTGACCATGTTGTATAATTATACCCAATTACTTAGTAAATCCTACCTGAACTTCAAGACCGAATATCTTTTCTGTCATGTAAACGCCAATTATATAGCTGTCTATCTTTAATTACCCTAGCCGCCCAGCTAAGTTTTATTGACGCACTCATATCAAGTTGAACTTTTGAGGGTGAAAAAATAATCACCTAATTATTAGATTATGTCAGATTATCGCCACACAAGAATCATGATCCAAACTCAGAGTTTGTTAGCAGTTAGAGCTCATACCTTAATCGCTAGAACACTATCGTGATTCTGGTTTTCGCTTAAAATCCTCGGCCAGTTCCATTTGAGTAACCAGCAAACCTCTAACTCAGACTGTCTCATATAATTTGAATAATGTTCATACTGTATTCGGGGTGATAAGATCATTATGTTGTTGCTTGTATCATCCATTCGTTGATTGGACCGAATTGACCGGTCTCTATTGACATACAGGCTCCTAAGTGGATGCCTTGATATTGTCTGTCGTTTCAATCATATGGTGGTGACGGATACTGACTAACAGTTGAATCCAGCACGCGTGCTCCGTCCTATTTAGAACTCATCAGTTGGATGTACCTGCCTCCCGGTGAGTGATTTTGCCACTAAGATTTGAATCCGGGGCCGATCACTTCAAACGCCAAAGCGCTATCTGCTACACCACCGAGTTACGATAGCCACTTCCTGTGCGTCGCGTGTAGTTTTTATATTGTTGCTTGCATTATCCCACCCTGGATTCCACCGTTAGTCAGTATCCGTCATCACCATATAATTGAAACGACAGGCAATATCGAGGCATCCACTTAGAAGCTTGTATGCCAATAGATACCGATCAATTCGTTCCAATCAAAGATGGGATAATACAAGCAACAACATAAAAGCTATCCCCGCCATGCAAGAAGTGACTATCGTGACTCGGTGGCCTAGTGGATAGCGTTCTGGCGTTTGAACTGATCCGGCCCGGACTCGAGTCTTAGTGGAAACAACATCGCTCACTGGGAGGCAAGTGCATCCAGAAGATGAGGTGTTCCAAATAGAATGAAACGTGCGTCCCGGGTTCCATTTCTTACAACTGTCTATCATTACTATGATGAGATCATTGTAACCTAAATCTCCTGCAGAGTTTTCATTCACAATCAAATACATTATTAATTACAGTAATCCCACAGCACCACCACCAACTAACCGTGCCTAACAATTTTGCTGTCTTCGATCTCTTCAGCTACCTTATGCAGTATCCAGTTAGTGAGCATACCGATAGTATAACTTATTTGTATATGTCAGTCAAGATTGATTGCCTTGAACTATGTATGGCTTATCTCTATATTGCAATACTAATCACATATGAATTTTGTATAAGACACTATTAGATACGGCTGTTGTAACTTTTAACTAGCGCTTGATTCAGTTTGTGTAAAGGAAAATTGTGCAACAGATAAACTGTTACCAATGTTTTAGATTTGTTGTAAAAAGAATTTTCTCGCTCTCTCTTGTTCATTGAATTCCTCTTTCCTAAACATAGGACATGTCTAAGGATGCCGGATTATCAGAACGTAATCTGACACCACGCCATTGTCAAATATTGGATATCGCATTAGATGCAATTAAAAATTACTTCCATGCAGGTGGAAGTGGACTTAAAAAGGCCTATTTGGATAAATCACCTGAATTACAATCATTACGGTACGCCTTATCGTTATACACGCAGACAACAGACGCCTTAATCAAAAACTTTGTGGCTACTCAGACATCCCAAGGTTTGTTGTCTTCCTGTATTATTTTTCAATTCTTAGGATTACATGACCATTTTTGTCACTATGATTATTTCTCTTGTCTTCTATTTGATTACAGAGGTTAAGAAATTATTTATATATATATATATATATATATATATATATATATATATATATATATATATATATATATATATATATATATATATACCTCAAAATTAGGCGACTTTGATAAAACCAGATCTAATTATCATGCTTCTGGTAGTGTTGTGGTGTTAATGTTGAGTAACACATAAACACATAATTTCGAAACATGCCAAAAAGTAGTTCATCTATATAATTTCCTATCAGGTAACTCCTCATGTCAAAGAACAGGGCTTTATGCACTATATTGCCTATTATATAACAGATTAGTTGACTGTAGAAACCGTAATCATTTCCCTGTTGATCTGGTGTTTTCATCCACCTTCGATGAAACTGGTTAAGGGAGAACTGGAATTCGCTAGTTATTACTCGTCATTTGTTAACTGAATTTCTGTCTAACCGATTGGAAAAACAAGGAACTTCATTCAAAAATATGTAGATTAAACGTGTTATATTTATCTGCATCAAGGAAAATAAAATCAATGAGAGAAATAAACATTTCATTATGCATACATTGACTTGGTTCCACAAGGGAGGAAGCAGATCACCTCATAGCTCCATCTTGGAACATTTAATTGATTCTGACCACCTGAGTGCAAGGAACAATCTCCGTGTCACCTTTACAGTTCATGCAAACCTCGTGTATGGTGTATACCTAAAACTCTTTCAAACTTCAGAAGCCATGCATGACAGGTCATATTTTGAAACTTGAACTTCGCGTTCCAGATAAATTCGTTCAGTCACTTTATTTGACGTGACCAGGAAGAATACTTCACCCCTAAAGTCTTCCTTTCACTTTCTTCCTAATATATTACGTCTTCTTACACATCGCATTCTGCCAACCTTAAAATTCTGATTTATCATTACACTTATCAATTCCTTCAAACATATAAAGTCATTCAACCAGCTTAATATTGCTTTGGTCTTGATACCTTTTCTTCTGAATACCGTTTTACACATCAGCTTAATTCTTTTTCCGATATTCTGACCTGCAAAAGAAACTAAGTTCCCTTTTTTACAAATATTTTACAGAACATCCCTTTCTTGTTGCCAAGCCAATGGCTACCACCTTGACGTTGTAGTCAGGCTTGGGTTATACGATAATCCAATGAACTAAAGTGATGGGAATACTTATTTCCTTAAAGTACTTCCGTCGACTAAAGCTCAGTTAGATAGTGGTTAGATGGAAACCAGTTACCATTGAAGTGTAGAGGTTAGAGAGCAAAGTTGTACTGCAGACTGGATAAGGGTATTACAGTACTGTGCTTCCCATGGAAGGCCATTGGGGAAATGCTGATGCTGCCTCCCCATAGAATGAAGGGGTTAGAAAAGATTGGCTACGAAAGTAGCACGCTATCCCTTACTCTACGGTCTTTCAGTGCTGATAGCGTAGGTTCACAACTGTATCTGAACGAACAAACTAAAATCTTTTAGTAACAAAAAAAACCCACCTGGTCACTGAAAATCAAAAAAGAGGTTGCAATGAAGATAATTATCTCTTCGACAACTCATTTTCACAGTTTCACATTCCTAAACATAAGTAAAATGATAGAACGTTTCAGACAAGTTTCCGGTCAAAGGTCAAACTTAACTGATAGACCTGTGTGGGGAATGAGATGATATTACGTAACACATGATCTCATTAGTTTTTATAAAGCGTAGTGAACAGTAAGATTCGGTGTCTGTCAAAAATACAAATAAATAAATAAAAAGATTCAGAGTACCTGATTAAAGCCACGGTAAAGAGAGTGTTTGTACATGCTTCTTTTAAATACACAATTAAACAAAGCTTCGCTTGAACATGTCTAATCCTCACCACTTCCGAATGGTGTGGTCAAACTTTGTAGAGAACTTTGAACGTGGTTTCCAGAGAAGCCAGAAGTCCAGAGTCTACGAGATATTCAACAATGGGGCTGGCGATGGGTCTGTGCTCATTAATTCAGCAACCAAGACCCGGTTTTTCATGAGAATGCATAGTATGGCTGACATACGCACCTCCATAAGAGTAATTGGACTTGTAAATACACACTGATGAGGCGCAATGCGCCAACTTGTCTTTCACGTGCTGATAAATCAGCTTTTGATATGAGAACACAACACAGAGGTTTGCAGCATAGAATGTTTACTTAGGGGCTTTGAAAAATGTTGAAGACGAATGTCAATGGCAATTTCGCCTTTGAATCTGAGGTTTATTGAAAGTATTTTCCATAATCTTCTTTTCTTTTATATTTTTCTCGATAAATCTGGATAGGTGCCCATTCTCTAACAGTATTTCTCGGAGTGTTTCTAATCCCTGAATAAGTGTATCATCATTGTATATCTTTCTTATTCTTGATGAAACTGAGCTCACGAGATTCCTCTTCGTGCACTTTTGCCAAACCATACAAATGTGGAGTAATGGTGCTAGAAGGGCAAAATTATTCGTAGAGAGCGTCTCTAGTGGTTGGTTTTTCTTTCATTTTCTTCAGCAATTTAGAGAACTGCCTTTCTGTCTGTTCGACTGGGTCTTTCTCCTTCATTGGCTAAGAGGATTTCTTTTCATCTGACAAAATAGTTCAAATAAAAAGCAGGACATCTGTGATATGTTACGTTCGGGTTCTGGGAATCAAGAACGAACAGCATCGATAAAATGCAGAAATTTATCTAGTTTCTTAACTGCGAAGGGTCCTTGCAATTCTTCATTTAGCGAAACGTCCCCATTTGGTCATTAAAAACATGAAAGAGGTTACAACTGCAATAATTTTCTTTTCAACGAATTGTCGGATATTTGTCTCTTCAAGAGGTTTATTGAGAATCATGAGTATCCAAAAATGCTTTGGAATAATAATTGGCGCACCCACTAACTACATTTTGTATGAAGTGGAAGATGAGTTCTACCGAAAACTGTCCATCCTCCTACTGAAAGCCAAACTTCCACACGTAATTGTTGCAGTTGATTTCAGTGCGCAAGTACGCTGGCTAAGTCAGATAGAAATACACTTACACTTTTGAAATAAAAGCAGAATAAACAGATAATGCAGTTTGCTTGCTACACTTTTTTGGAACAACCACCCATTTCTTGCCAGCGCAAACTTCAGATATACAGGAAAATATTATCTGATATGGTGCCCACCGACAAACCATGTTGCCATCAGATATGGCTAGAGAGGGTCCCTTATCCTTCTGGGGCACTTGTTTAGACAACAATCAAGCTTATGTTTGCGTCAAAATGACCTTCGGAAATCTACAGCAGCTAGATGATACCGACCGCAGCTCGGCGATGAGGACACTTAGGCTGCTATCATCGAAAAACTGGCTGAGCAGCTACCGGTACAGATTAAAATGACTCATCCAAAGGAAGCCTTGTGTGGTCTTGAGTCTGTATAGAAGCAGCGTTGAAGACCGCAGTAGACTCTCAGAAAGTTGTTAGAAAGGGCCAGTGGATCTCGTCGGTTTCTTCTGAATTAATGGATGAGCATGAATGTAGTTCCTCAGGCTCCGAGCACAGTGAGGATCGGAAGCAACTCAAATGTAGACTGACAAGAATTCTACTCGATGACAGCGAGCAGCGGTGGGTAGCAAAGATTAGAGAGATGGAAAAGGCAGCGGCGATGGTAACCGTAGACAGCTGTTTAGACTTTTCAAGAATATTTGAAAGAAAGGTCTGTGGTTAGTGAGACTACAGTGGAGAAAGATCGGTGTGGGACTCACTCCCAAAGGAGATATCTGGGACGATGGATGAAACACTCCGAGGACCAGTTCAACTGGCTTTCAGGTTTAGAAAACTGTGAACGACCTGAAATGGGGAAGAACCGAAGTGCCAGTATCAGAGGTATTTAAGAAAGGTGATCGTGGATTATTATTCAGGTGAACTGAAGTGCTAAATAGTGTATAGAAATCAAATATGATCCTCCGTGACTGATCCTAATCACTGACTGTTTTAATCTTCAATTATGAGGAAGAATCCTCTTATGACTACTGCAGCTTGATAAGCATTCTGTCTAAGTTTCTAGGTTTTGTATTCATCAAACGTTTAATTTGAGCTGGCGAACGACAGACCTTAAAAAACCAGACAGACTTCAGACCTCGCCGTGAGCGCATCGACCAGATACTCACCCTCTACTTATATGAGGTGAGTCAAGTTATACCGCTACGTATGTCGTGTGTTGACATTGTCTGCTCTTCTGACTCGAAAGAGTGATCCTTCACTGAATGTTTTTGGTTAGTGACTTTACGGGGATTTTTTAAATAGAAAAACATTAAAACGAACCAAGTGAATGATTTTGATGATGAGAAGACAAGTCAATAAAACAATAAGATGGTATTCAATGAATATGGAGAAAGATGGCATATTTAGGTTATTGCTGATCACTAGATAATCCAGAGATAACTGAAGGCTAGTTGCGCTGTTTTTTGAAATACGTTCATGTTGTTTAGGTCTCTTACTGTGAATAAGTATCTTTCGCCTACTTTCCTGAAACAAATAGACAGACTGATTTAGAACCTGCTACAAAAGTGCACCAATTCAAGTTGCCACACTACACAGCAGAATGCCGAGAAATGGTTGGTAACAAACGAATAACATAAAGTAGGGCATAGTGTATCAAAGGGAAGATTTAAAATATATTAAGGTTATTAAAAATGTTCAATACCTCAAAGTTGAGAACGACTGTTTCTATCTACTCCGTCGTAGTGGAATTTGGATCAATATCATCACCAGTTGGCAGCTGTTGTTTCCTATCGTTTTGAAGACCGTAGTCAGCCAATCTATGTCCCTCTATGCAACTGAAATCGACATTCAAAAAATTCCTGTACTGGTACCGTTATTTTTCCAAATGGCTTTTGCCTTCTCCCAACCCAATCCAACTGCGACTAACGTCACATGTTGAGCTATGCAGTGGCTTGGTATGCATAACACTTGTTCATGATAACTTATTTGGTAAGGGTTTGACATCTCACTGACTAACAGTGATCTTCCTTCCAATCAAGTGTTGCCATATTTTGCCCTTTTTCGAAGAGATAAATTTTTCAGTCACAGTTTTTGAAGCTTAGAAGTGATGACTTCAAGCAGTAGGATAGGGTGGAATAAGCAGTTTCATGGTTAGCTTGTTGTAAATATTTCTTGTTAGAACAGATGATGACTGTTTGGTGTATATATCTTATTACTGTCACATCCTACTTCAGCTAATGGTGCCATTCCATCTTCTAAAGCATAATATCATAATAAAATCATTCCTTCTATGACACTTAATACTCCCAGAACGTCCTAGTAACCTAAAAAATGGCGCTACGTCATAGATTGGACACAGTCACCACTAGGTTCAGCTAATGGCTTGTAGTAATACAACTAATCTAAAATATTCCTATCTTTGTGAATGCATCACATGTGATATTTTTTTGAAATCATTTGTTTCCGCAACCGGTAGGCTTTACAATTAGCCTACTTTCGGATCATACATCTTACAGTTTGCTACGGGAGATGAACTGATCATACAGCTCATATCTACACTTTCTAGACTTGTTGGGAATCTGATTAGACAGATGCTATATTTAACTTAATTGTAGGACCTATGTTGGTGACTCTAAAGTCCAGTCCTAGCAACTGCTGGAATGACCAATTAAACTTTTCTATTTCGCCTGGGAAAGTGCTTCCACATAAAGTAAAGGAATGTATTCGGCTATTTCATCAGTTGCTAGGGTGGTCTTTAAAGTCACTCCAAATGTTTGGTGCTATTATATAAAATGAGGCTTACCTGCAATCACGTTATAATTGACTCTTCTTTCTTGCAAGGATGACTCACTCAATTAGTAACATGAAGTAGATTTACAGCTGGTAATCTGTGTAGCAGTTTTGACTGTGGTTAAGCGTCAGCCACGTGACTTTTTACCAATGTGATGTAGATGAATTCGAGTGACTTTAAAGACACCCTAACAACAACTAAATTAACCAATCAGATTTCTATTTTGTGGAAATTTCCCCTTCCAGATAAAATTAATGACTGTTTATTATTTCTCCCTCGGGTTCGAGTGGAACATAGGGCTTCACTAGCACGTCTCCATTTCACTCCCTTCTCTGCAGTCTTTTCAACCTGGCTCCACCACTACCCACAAGCTTTCATTTCTTCCTCACATGATCTCCTCCATGTGGTCACTCTGGGACGCCCAACTCGTCGTTTCCCATTTGAGTTCCACTCAAGGGCCTGGCCTGGCGCATGATGTCTCAAGTGGTCCCCTCAGTGATGCCCAATCCAATACATCTCCACTTTCTTCTGCATATTTGTTGTGTGATAAGTTCTTGGTTTGTTCGTTGCCAGGCCAGAGTGAGATCCTCGTTACTTATTCTTTCTGACCATCCGGTGTTCAGTATCGAGTGAGCGTAGATGACAGCTGTTGACGTATGTCTGTAGTTTGTTGGAAGTGTTTTTTGTAACGCGCCAAGTCTCTGAACCACCAGATAGAAGCACTGACTTGACTGACATTAGTGTTGGAAATCCGAATATTGTTCACGCTTTATGCTGAGTGGAGTGGAGTGGAGTGGAGTGGAGTGGAGTGGAGTGGAGTGCAGTGCAGTAGATCTGCACACTGATTTCAGGTTATCGAAGGCCTGTCTTGCTATCTTTCAGATCCTGGCTTTGACATGCTCATGTGTGCCTGTGCCGCCTGTAGTTGAAACGATGCTGCCTTGCCTTGGCAGGTAGGTGAAAGAGACAAGTTCGCTTTAGATTTCTCCCGTTGATGGTGACCGTCGTTTGTTGTTGCTGTTGTTGTTGTTGATGTTGGTTGGGTATCTTCATCACCTGTTTTCTCTACGTTCACCTGAAGGAAGTCCCGTCTTCTCTGCCTCTTCTGTCAACTTGTTGGGTTTTTCCGGTGGATCTTCGAGTTTGTGCGACGAGACATTAGACATAAATCATCGTCGGTGGTGAAATCCCAATCTTGTGGGGTTTTTTTCATCTGTCCAGTCAGCGTATGCCCATCTTCTCACAGCTCCTCACCGTTTGCTGCATGATCCAGTGTAGTGCAGTGGACCACAATCAGGAAGATGATTGGTGATAGTAGGCGGCAACCTTTTCTTACTCCTAACGTCACTTCAAGGGCATCATCACTGAGCTTTCCATTGTGAATCACTTGGTATGTAGCATCATGTAGCATAGTATATAGCTATTGAATGAGGTTGATAACGGTTTGTAGCACAAAAGCCATGGTGTTGAAACAGCTGCCTTCCAGCGAAAATATAGAACACTAATTGGTTATTTCAATTGTTGCTAGGGTGGCCTTTAAAGTCACTCGGTGAATTAGCCTAGTTTTATGACTACAAGACCAATCAAATATACAAGGCTGAAACTTATTTGTGATCCAGGCGACTATTAAGATGTCATGTTTAGTTGTTCGTAGATTATTAGATAAGTTTGTATTTCCTTGTCATGTAACCGAAATTACAACTAAAGCGCTGTAATTGATGATCTCATCAGTGAAATAATACTGTTTCAATGTGAGACGAATAAATAGAAACAATCGACCCTGTTTTATCATTAAATGTTACCCAGTTTTATTTTATATTTTCCTTTTATTGATATTTGGAGTAAATTTACAAAGGACAATAAATTCCTATTTCTTTTATTCGGAATTCAGTTGCCTTGAATGTTTTTATTCACGTAATGTTTTTCAGACAAGCCTGCTATTGAAGATAGTGTTGGAGAGATATCAATTCATGTTGATTTATTCCGTCATCCTTCGCATGGTGAGCATAAAGTCACTGTAACTAGTAAGTATTACTTTTGTTTGCATCTTGGAAATTGAAAATAAAATTTTGGTGAGAAAATCGGAACAGTATTAGGTTTGGAAGTCTAGTATTTATGATACAGAGTAATGAATGAAGATTACATGTTAATCTGGATTATGGAGGTATTCGAACCAATGACATTAAGTTCACTGACTGAGACCTTGCCAGTATTGTAGTTTAGTCGGTAGAGCTGTAGGCTGGTAACCTGATAGCCATCAGTTTGAATCTTACTGTGGTCCAGGTTTTCATTTCACTTTCAGTCATCATCACGAATCATAAAAATGAAATTAGGTGAGGTAGTGACTAGTTTGACCACTATTTTTATGATCCATGTTGCCGCCACTTGCAAATCCAAACTGCACAAAAGAAACACAAAACAGTACTTAGTTGTATATAGATATGTACTGGATGCAATTAGACTGAAAAGACTAGATATGACAACAGATGGTCTACTTAGTAATTTCTTGTTATCAGGTAAGTTACCAGCAACAGATTTAAAAAGCGAACAACTGTGCAATTTTAGTACGACTTATCTTTCAGACCTATTTTTAGATTTGCAGTTTGTAAAAAGAAATAATCTCATGCTTATGGGAAAAATATAACGTAAAATTATGCTCAGATGTTAGTCATAATTCGGAAAAATAGTCAAAATAATCTTGCGTTAAGTTATCGAGAAAACCTTCCGGTTTTAGCGATATCTATAGCGTCAATTCATGTCGTAATAACAAACAGTCGCGACTCAGCTACCTGGGTATTCATTTTGAAAAGGAAAGATCTTAGATTAGTACCCGTCCGTTTTACTTTCTTCGATCTGTGTGTACCAGTAGTGTCTTCTGACCTTCCAACTTTTGTGCCATTCATGTATATATATTTTATTTATCCAAAATACAGTTAGTTCTGTGTTGTAGATCCACACGCATCCAAAGAGAACCACTTACTCAAAGAAATTTCATCTTCATTGATACGTCACTGCAGAGCAACCAATCTTGTGTTGTCTGGTCGTGAGTGCTGACTGAACTCCACAGGTCATTTTGTAATGCGGCCCCCATGCCAGGAGGTTAACCGTTGTAGTTCACTTTGGTGGATGTTAGTTGGTTGGAGGCAATCGGCAAGAAGTCCTGGACCTATGTTTCATGCTTGTTGGCACTTGTCAGCAAGGTGTATCTGCAACCTCGAGGGATCTGATATCCACCTGAGATTCTAACCCGTGTCACTAAGTGTTTCAGTTAGTGACGTAATCACTGAACTATTCGGGTTACGACTGACTTCCTGTGGACCGCGATGATAAGCATCCTAGCTTGATGGTCATATTGCAAATCGACCGATAGAATTAGGTCAGCATTCAAGACTGGAAAACATGAGATTGGTTGTTCTACAGTGACTAATAAATGTATGTAATCTGGTCCTACAGGAGGTCATTTGTGAGAACTATCTAACAAACAAATTAACATGGAATTATACACTACCATAGTTCTACTCTTAGATTTATGGAAATTTCATGAGTCTTTGAGAGAGTTTGACTAGTTATGAATGTTGTCAACAGTCTATAGCTGCTTCAGAGGTTTGGGGATTAGATTTTGTGCATTTTAACAGTACATTAATAATACTGATGTTGTCAAACGTTTTTAGAGTTTGATAACTGATAAGGTATACATATTTATCTAGAGAGTTAACTCTCCTTTAATTCACATAAATATGGTGTTATTTTGTGTGAATTTCATAATAATTTCGTAGTTTTTTGTTTATGTGACCTGTCTTAAGGCTTTGTAATCTTAAGAAGGGACTTCAAAGAAACGAAATAACACACATTTCTCTACTTCTACATCTTCAGATTGTTTTTTTTGTCCAAGAGTCAATTTATTCACATCCAATACATCAAATTTCTATTTAGGTATTTTCATAGTTATGAATTAGGTTTAAATTAAGAAAGATAAGCATATACGATACCTTGCATAGTGATGTTTCACATCGACTTTTCAAATCGGTTGAAGATGATTGAATTACGCATTACCTCAGGAACAAAGGAATCATCTAAATAAAATTGCGTAATCATGAATGTATTTCACTCAAACACTGCCACAACTGGCGTAGTCGGTCTCTGTTTTATTTATCTAAGCATTTGACTTTCTGTCACAGTGTTACACGTTCGATACACATTGTATTGTAACAAAAGACAATTCTTTGAAGAAAATTTTCTTTTCGATGAGTCGTTCTCAAAAGCTGTAAATTCGTACTTATAGTTATAATAAAATATACATCCATCAACGGCTAGTGGGTCAAAACATGGTCATCAAGATTGTTTTCAGAGTGACAAGGTAATAATGGCTCAAAGATCAACACAAAGACATTGAGAGTTGTTTATAGGATTACAAGGTGATAACTGAAAGGTCAGTACAAGGTCATTACAAGTTGATTAGGTAATGATATATAAAGTAATAGAACACGTAAGAGAAGCGGGACAGTCATCTAGAAGCTAACATTTGCAAAGTAAGGAAAGAGAGTAAAAATAATAATGTTGCTAAATGAAATAAACAAACAAATAAATAAAAGATAAAAGGATCCTAGGGAGATTATGGCCAAAAGGAAACTAGAGATTGGACGGGCCTCTTTTAGATGTATAGATTAGGTTTGCCAAGACTCCTGTTCTGTTAAGGTGGCTAGTCCGCATTCCCTTTGGAACGTTTGGTTTGACTTTACAAATGTCTTTGAAGGAAGATTCTTGCGGAGGTGAGGTGACCAGAGTTAAATGGATGGTCAAGAATCGAGCTGTTAATGGCTTCGTACCCTCCTCTAGACAGCCATTCAGGATAGTGCTCGAGATACGTTTGGACAGAATACGCTTTGTACGGCCTATGTAACCAGCTCCACAAGAGCAGGTGAATTCGTGGACAAACGTACAGGTGGCCTAAAGCGGTAGATTATCGTTTACATACCCTCGATTTAGTTGCTGACCACAGAAAACAATCCGAAATTACTCAGAAAAAACCTTCTTCATTGCTATACACAATTAATTCTTGAGTTTCTCTACCGTAGTTTCCTTTCTAAATCCATCTTATCTGCCGATGGTCGGGTAGGCAGTTGTCATTATAAACCTAAATACAACAAATTTAGCTTATTGCCTCACAAGGCTACTAAGTTAATTACGGCCTAAATATCTGTCTCTTGAAGCACAACAATAATGACCGAGATGCATTTTAATATGACATTAAGATCGAAAGGCAAGTTTTTAATTTACTCAGACCAATACTCACAAAGGGTAAATTTTTTTCTGTTCAATAATTTAAAAAACCTAAATAGGTTATTTATAGCCACCCTCAGCCTACAGGTCGTAAAGTGGGAGAACTTCCAAACAATACAATTTACTGTACAACACGTCCCGTTTAGAAACTTGTTTCCATGATTCACCAATGTAGTACAAAGATGGAGCTTTTCCAATAAATGTGATTTATTTGCATGATACACTTCAAATAATCTGATCATATGAAGAGTGAAAATAGAATAAAGTCAGACAAATGAATTAAAGAAGTGGAAGATTTGTAAATAAAAGGATAATCCAGGGAAACAATCTGTTTTGGTATCAACCTTGATACCGAAATGAGATAAGGATTAGTGTAATGAACAGATTGCATTCATGTATGCTTTGTAGTCTGTACTGAGTCGTTTCTGTCGGTTAAACTAACGCTGATAACGGAAATCTGTCCAAAATGACATAAATTTTTGCTAGCAAATGGAAGTTAGTTGATGCGTTACCTTTATTGTATCACATTTCTAACCGCTACATCATTTTTCACATCACTTCGTAGATTACGACCCCATTCTTATGCATCATGCTACTTTTATTCTTACTAGACCTTCCTTTTTAATTTTACTGAATCCAACAAAATTTTAACACTTTTATTTATTTCAAGTAGGTATTCATCATGGACTGACATAAGTTAGAGGAACATTGGAAACATGGGAGCACTGGACAGCTGTTTTTTCATAGTGTGGGACTCCTTGGCAGTGCGCACCCGTGGCCCCATCCCACCAGGGACCGAACCCAGGACCTTCGGGTTCCGTGGCCAGCACGTTACCATTGATCCACTGGGTCGGAATCCAGTGGTCCATATTTCCAACTTCTATCGGTTCACGACTTAGCCCGACCATCACCCACTATTATCACTGAGTATTTGTCCTCACCTCCAACAAGTTTGCCCCACCGGTCATGACTTCTCACTGAAATGTCAGGAATCACCTTTCAAAGCTAGTGACCAATGAGCACTAGATTAATTCAAATTATTGCCTTATTACTGGTCTATACATTTAGAAACTACTCGTATGATAAAACGAATAAACATCTCCACTAGTGCAGTTACCTTGGTACTAGGTCTCACTCTATAAAACATAAACAAAACTAGTGCATCTTTGGTATTTTTTTCAACTTATATCTTCAAAAAGACTAGAACTTGTTGACTAGTCTCTTGAATAGGGTTTGTTGAAGTAGTTGCTGTTCCGATAAAATTTGTGCCTTAGAAACTCGGAAGGATAAAAAGTGATGCTACAAGCTTATTTCAACCAGACTTCAATTTCACACTGTACTCGAAACAGCCTTTCATTGTAGAATAAATGTAGACATGGACAAATCAGTTCCCTAATCGGTAATTTCAATGGTACATGATACAATGTTACATTTCAGCTTTTCTGAGCTGAAATGTTAGTATCAGTATTATAATTAGTGTTATCAATATCAGTATTATTTACTGAATGAAGTAGAAACACTGATTTTCCAGTTCCTGTGAAAAATTGAACCTATACTGGAATAGTGACACGAAGTGTCACTGTCTCTGTTGTTTACAACATGCAAATCATAATGATAATAACAGTAATAGCAATAATAATAATTCATACATTATAATGACTAGGTGCTGTCTCAACTATCAAATGGACTAACTACTTCAAATAATAATAATAAAATCTTTCATTACAAATTATTGTTATTTTGCCTTGAATAAATCAAATCAAGATATTTACTAGTGTACTGAACCTGAACCTTTGACAGATGCAAAATATATACAAGCGTTCTGAGACTCAAAACGCTCAGAATACTCCACATTTGTCAACGTTATCAACTAACAGGACTACTTCATCTGTATACTCCAAGCCGACCTAATGATTAACCTGTAGTAAGTCAATCCTTGAGAAATCAGGGATGGGTACTTATGACCACATCTGTCATTGGTTCCATAACAAGATTAAATAAAATTAACGCTACTATACATCTGCAATGGATAGCATCTTTGTAAGCCCTTACATATTGGATGGGTTAGAGTGGAGAACCTTGATTAGCTTTATATACTTGCTTGATACTACATTCACATTCAGACATTACCACAATACCTTTGGATCGATAGAATCAAATACCACCTTCAAGTTGTGAATTGTGGTGAATTTCGGGTGTCGTTAAGTATTCTTTTGTAGTGAATGCTGTTGAAGGATGAAATTCTGATTGGTACTCCCTTGTCAAACTGTAAAATATACCTGATTTTCTCAAATTTATTGTTGCTGAGCTTCAACCATAAATTAAATAAATTTGAGTGCTGAAATCCTTTATATCACCCCGGTCCGTTTATGATTATTACAAATGTACTTCTTTTAATATGGAAAACATTGGTCGACTATTCAGACTGGTCTAATAAAACTATTTCTGATTCGTACATCTCAGCCAGAGCTTCACTCAACCCAACAATTTCTGATCACCAAAGTGAAGGACTTTCAGAAACAAATCGTCGGCTTCTACTGCTGTGCATCATTTCTCATCTTCACTGAGAGTTGTGGTATTAATATCTACATTTAATTCATACTATGACTGAATGTTGGGAAACTGATCCCTTGAAATCTTATTAATTTATTCCAGATAACTTGTCTCATCCATATTACCTAATCCTTTGATCGTTTATTAACTCTACTACATTTTAATCCCTTTGTAATAATATGCACCTAATCAACGATTTAAGAATCCTACGAAACTCTTTTTGTTGTTATTCAACCTTTACGTCATCAACTATCAACATTATTATCACTATAACCACCATTATTGTTATTTCAACTTCCCATTATTTAAGTGTAATCTTCCTCACAGATTTCAGTCTTTAAAATATTATATATATATATATATATATATATATATATATATATATATATATATATATATATATATATATATACCCAGCTTGAGAATAAATTAGTTGAAAAGAGTCCTCTCCGTTGAATATCTTTCTTTTGATAATTTAAGAAACAAAGATGACGGGGATCTGCTGGATGGGCTTGATTTTATAGTTGAAAGTGTGCTAGCTCCCTGCTAACCATATCATATAAGTTGGTATATTCTGGAATCACCGGGAGAAAACGGTGGATTGGTTTTATATTACCAGAAAGTGCAAGAAACATCCGACTGAAACCAAAGTTACCTAATGTTTTTACGTCGTTCCTTTTTTTAGAGTTGCTTTCATATTTCAATAACCTTATCGCCTACGATGGAAATTCATAGTGCAAAGGATTATCTAATGTCGGTGGTTATGCATTACTACCCCTAACCTGGTTATGGCACCCTGTTCGCATTTCAAGCAACTAGCAGATAATATTGATTAATGAATTGTTAATCATTATTTATTAATACTTACTAAATTATATTTGTATATGCATATCTGTCTGGCTGGCAGATATTGTGACTAATACCGAAGCGCATTTAGACATCAAAACACAAACAGTAACGGGAGGTTAATATTGTTTGTTTTCTGCTACGTTAAATTATACACACGTATCATTCTCGATAGCCTAATTTGGCAATGATAAGTGTTTTATGTTTTTTCTATATCTCTTCCCTCCCCTTACTAACTGAAGTACTTTCTCAAGGTCAGTCGTGTCACACAGCATCCCTGAGACAGACAAAGCTCCGAAATGCTTTATTATACTAATGCGTACTTGTATGAGTCACTTTTACTGGGTAGCTTACCTGGCAAAAGGCAGGGTGGTTGTGGAAACAAATACTTATTCCTAATACTAATATTAGTTTATGTAGTCTAGTCTAATCATATGGTGCACTAGCATAACACACTTCAGAAAATGCACTTTAGAAAAAGTGTAACTACATCTCTTCAATCTTGTTAGCATAGCTGCATTCAATAGCAAATTGGAATACGTTATTTGCTGATTTTCAGGCATCTGGTATTTTAGCAAATACAGTAGTATAAGACAACTGAGGCTCTCTCTTGAATGAACTATTTTTACAAGATAGACATTAAGCTTACTAGTTTCAGGTGCATATCACACATTAGCTGTATTTGTTCTGAACTCACAGTCAGTCAATTTCAATTTAGACGATAGGCTTTCAAGTATGAGTTATTAGCTTTATTCTCCTTGATACAAGCAACTGATCAGTGTGAAATATATTCATAGCTCCAACACAATTTTCTTATCTTAATATGAAAGATTTCAGCAATCGTGTTCAATCACCTTCATTACACATGTATTATATGTCAAATCCCTTCCTAATAATTGCTCTATTTACATAATTTTGTTATAGCCTCTTTGTCTCACACTGATAACCTTACTTTTAAGCTGAACTTCTACAAATAAACATGTTAATTTTTAACTCTTTGAAATCTGTTTTGATGTTATTTGCTTGGTGGTGGCTAGCAATAAAATCCAGGAGGTGTGTTTCGTCCTATCTGAGACTTGTCAGTAAGGTGTGCATACATCTCAGTGAGTGATGTGATGAGGTTCCTGTTACGACGAAAACGCAGCACCTGTCGCTTCGAACACCAAAACATTATCTACTAGGCTACTGAGACACGACAGCCACCTTGTGTGCAATGGTTGTCATTTGTTACTTTTTATTGATGTTTTGTAATCCCCTGTTGATTTTTATAATTGACCGGAATCATCAGTTTGTCCTGACATCCCTCAGGTTTCATTTTGATGTTGTTTGCTTGATGGAGCCTAACTGGTGGATTCTAGGATGCAAATTTCATCCTCCACGTCACAATGACAACTAAATTTACGGAACACAAGGCTGGAAAATTTTCAACAAATTTTCTTTATATATGTTTGTAAAGAAAAAGGAAATTTGATGCACATAGATAGAATTGTTAGATATCTGCAACTTATTCTGAACAAATCCAAAAATTGTTTTAGAATTGACTTCATTGGCACTTCCTTCTGAATATTCTTCTCACAGCCAAATCGATACATTCTACGTTGCTGTAAATAAAACCTCATAGTATGACCCTGTCAGGTCACATTCTATTGAGTTTTCCGTTTTCTCCATGCTTTTGTTTCACTTTATTGTTTCTTTCGCCCTATTTGTTTTTTTTTTTGTAGTCATTGCTGCAAACAACTTGAAATGGACAACATCGGGAACATTTAAACCTTTTATTGAAGTGGTATTATTTGGCCCATTGTTAAGTGAGAAAAAGCACAAGTTTACAACTAAATCAAAGAATAATGTGTGGTCACCCGTTTTCAACGAGACATTTACGTTGTATGTCTATTATATTAACACTGTTGTTTTCGCATGCACACATATTTATGTGTTTTTTCGTTACAAAGTCTTCAGCAGCACGAAATAAAACTTCCTTCAGCGATAAATACAGTCATGAGATATTTTGATATGATGCATAGTCAGATGTGCATATTCTTGGAACTAACAATGGTTTTTCGAGCAACTTAACTATCGATGCTGTTAGAAACTTGCCTAATTCTTGACTAGTCAACAAAGGGTTGTTTATTTTAGAATTCTAAAAGGAGTGTTGTCTTACGACAGTTTCCATCTTTTCATCACTAGTAGAAAGACAGACCTGGTTGAAGGGATTCTCGATTACTTTCGAAACCCAAACAGCATTTCAACTAGTTCAGCCATCCCTGTTAGACTACAGCACTGTCATTGCTGGCAGGAAACCAGTTAGAAATTTTTTAAGTCACTTTACGTTTGCTACAACTTAAACAATGCCACTTGAAGTAGAAAGGTCAATAAATACCATCGTTCTCTTTCGCTTATATTTGGATTATGGACAGCTAAAGTAGCCAGTAAGTGTTAGGCATATGGCTCTTTAAACTATTTTCAGTTCTTTGTTCCAATTTCTGTCCCTTAATTAAAATGTTTATACCTTTTCCTGTATGACGACGTCAGAAACTGTTTCCGCTTTCAAACCTTCACTTCAAAGATGGCCAGCTACTACCCAACTCTTGATAGCCTCCTACTCATTGACTTTCTCCAAATTATTGTTATTCAGTTTTCTTTGTTAGTTTGCGTGCCAGTCTCTTGTTGTTGATATTTCGTTATGTTTTTCGCAACGAGTCGTCTCTAAATCAAAAATTGATTTGTCTAATACTTATTGCCATTCTACCGATTTGCTTGTTTCATTAGTTTGTTAGTTGTAATAAAATATGATTGACAGTAATAGATTATTTCTAAGACTTCTCTTCAAGCTAAGAATTACAATCTCAACTTTAAGATTTATTCATGGATATAATTTCACTGTGCTGTAATTTCATCATCAGTATGTGTGTAGTCAATGTTGAAGAAGCCACCTTATATACTTACGAAGCATTTACTATAAAAAAAACCAAAATATCGAAGGGATGAGACAATTTTTACTTTTTTTCGTCTCAAGGTATTAGCTCTCTGATATCTCAGCAACTACCTTACGACAAATAGATCATAAAATTTTTATATTATTAGGATTCAATAGATAGAAGGGGTGCCTTTCTTTTCGTATGTGTTGACACAAATGCTTGAGTAATCAAAACAGAGGGTTTTATATCTACAATATTTTCTAAGAATAAAAATAATAGTCAGTTGCCGGAGACGAACATATCTGTACAAACCTGCAGCTGTCTTTTCAGTAGAGAATCACTAATCGATCCCCACAAGCAACTACTCGGAATATAAGTTTTCCAACGTTCTAGCTGTACATTTTTCTTACACATCTGACACTCATTTTTCTTGCGTTTATTTTTTCTATACATCCCCATTACACTGCTAACTTCATCTGTCAGAGACTATTCTGTTAACTCCTTTCATTCCTACCTCTTGTTATTTGTGATTCGAGTGTATTTTTTTTACTTTTAGAATGATAATAATCCAAAAGTAGAAATTTTCTGGAATTGAATTGCATACGTGACATCACTTGATTTTATGATAGTTCTTTTCATAGATTGATGTCAGCTGGTGAACCAATGAAAAACTGAACAGCTTATTCATCTTAGTTTTTGGCTTCTCAAAGTTAAGTACCGATAACCAGGTCAGTAGTGGAAATGAATGCCAACCAAAGATATTTCAAACTGCCTGAAGTTGTGAAATATGGCTGATTGAACTCCAAATTAGTGGTCACATGGTGCCTATGAGGCTGGAGTATCCTGAAATCGATTCTGTTTATGGTTCAGGCTAATTACCTTTGATTAGTCTTTAACCGAGATAAACTGACTGCTGAGTAATTTTCAATATTAACCTTTTCACTTGGAGTCATTTCATGATGGAAACCAACATAATAATAATTTTATTCAAAAGTAGTGGTTAACGTTTGATATTTTAGTCACAAATGTTTGTTGTGTTGGTTTATAAAGCCTAATTACTCTCGGTATTTCATGTTCACTTTATACACTTAACTATGAGTGGATTTTACAAATTATATTATTACTTGTCTTTTGGATTCTAGTGGAACATAGGGCTTCACTAGCACGTCTCCATTTCACTCCCTTCTCTGCAGTCTTTTCAACCTGGCTCCACCACTACCCACAAGCTTTCATTTCTTCCTCACATGATCTCCTCCATATGGTCACTCTGGGACGCCCAACTCGTCGTTTCCCATTTGAGTTCCACTCAAGGGCCTGGCCTGGCGCATGATGTCTCAAGTGGTCCCCTCAGTGATGCCCAACCCAATACATCTCCACTTTCTTCTGCATATTTGTTGTGTGATAAGTTCTTGGTTTGTTCGTTGCCAGGCCAGAGTGAGATCCTCGTTACTTATTCTTTTTGACCATCTGGTGTTCAGTATCGAGTGAGCGTAGATGACAGCTGTTGATGTATGTCTGTAGTTTGTTGGGAATGTTTTTTGTAACGCGCCAAGTCTCTGAACCACCAGATAGAAGCACTGACTTGACTGACATTAGTGTTGGAAATCCGAATATTGTTCACGCTTTATGCTGAGTGGAGTAGAGTGGAGTGCAGTAGATCTGCACACTGATTTCAGGTTATCGAAGGCCTGTCTTGCTATCTTTCCGATCCTGGCTTTGACATGCTCATGTTTGCCTGTGCCTGTTCTACCACTTTTGACTGCTTTCTTCCCTATTTTCTTATCTTTCGTCCTGGTGTGTTCTCGCTTGGTGTGCTGATATGAGGTGTGTCAGCTTGCATCGTTACGCAGTAATGCTAGATCCTACATTTAAATTATCTTTCTGTTTTTGTAACGAAACCTCAGGTAGGATGCAGGTGAACCGTTTAGCATTTGCTAAGTTACATCACCGTCGACCCTGATGAGATATACGAGTATGTGTGAAAGGATGAGTATACTGCGTTGCAGTTCGAAGTAGGATTATGTTGTAAGAAGATTCATGGAAGATTAACAAAAAACTATTCAGCGAAGAAAATGTTTTTTTGGACTAATCATTTTCCAAGGCTGCACAAACGTAATCATGGTTACGACAAAATATATATCCATCAATAGTCATCAAAAACGGCCTATAAAGTCACGAGGGGAGATAACGGTCGGAAGGTCAACTATAAGGTCATCAAAAATTGCTTGTGGGGTTGCAATAAATAAATAACCAGTGAACAAATAGATGAATAAAATCTCTTAGGGAGATTACGACCAACGCTTAATTCGAGATTGAATGTGTCTCATTTGAACATAAAGATCAGGCTTGTAACTCTGGATTCCCAAAGCCCATACTGTTTTAAAGTAGCGGATACTCACTCCCTTCGAAATGTTTGATTTCAGTTTATAAATGACTTTGAAGCAAGACTCTCGTGGAGCAAAGTGGCAAGAGTTGACCAAATTCTCAAGAATCGAGCTACTTTTGTACTCTCCTTTAAACACCTATGCAGGATATTGTTTGATCTGCGTTTGAATAGAACACGCTTTGTGCGGCCTATGTATCCACCTCCACAATAGCAGATGAATTGGTAGCCCAAAGCGGTGGTTTATTATTTACACACCCTCGATTTAGTTGTCGACTGGAGAAAACAATCCAAAATTGGGCGGAAAAAGTTTTTTCTACTGCTTTGTCCAATCGATTCTTAAGTATCTCTACCATTATATCTATCTTGAGTCCAACATTCGTAAATACTATCTTCTTTCGAATGGAAAAGGTTTCTTCTTTGAAATGCATAGGCCTCATGTTCCTCTGAATGAATCCTGAAGGATAATCATTCTTGGTGAATACTCTTCGAGGTACTTTCACCTCCTCATTTACTGCATCATCTGTACAAATTCCTCTAATTATTTTGGATAATGAATGACCGTTTTTGACGACTTTATACTAACCCATTATCTGTTGGTAGATACATGTTTTGTTGTAACTATGATTACTACTATACAGCCTCGAAAAATGATTTTTCGAAAAGAAACTTTTCTTCACTGAGTAGTATTTTGTAAATTTTCCATTATCTAATGGGACTATTTCAATGACTCATGAAAGGTTGAACGAAAATGCACAACAGTTCATAATTTTTTGATTTTTTTTCGAAAGCGTGTGAGAAGGTGAAAAATCCTAAGCTAGGGTCCTCAAAACTATATAAATTAATGACTGGAAGCCTTTGATAACATGGCTGAAAATCGACAGCAATATAACAAAAATATTCATTCTTTGATGTTTTCAAAGTTCAAGCATCATTTATTCCTCTGCCTGCTCCTCGTACCCTGTTTGTCGATTCCAATGTGGCTATTTTTTACCAACTTGTTTTTTGCATCCTGCTATGTAGCGAAGTTACTTGAATTGATGTAGTCTTGCCAGGTTCTATATTGGTTTTTATGTCTGTCATTCAGATCGTTGGCAGCAGTTCAATATCAGTGTTTTCAGGCGGTCTTTGGAATAGGTTTAAGCACTTCATGAATATCTCTAGCTACTTAGCTAATCGCCGCCTCTTAGGCTGGAGTACTCACCGCTGTCAAAGATTATTTTAAGCTAATACCGAATTTAATTTCCAGCTGATTTTTATCCATTGTGATGATTGATGTCTCTTGGGATATGGCTTTTTACATCAATTACTCTTAGTAAGGATTTTGTATCAACTGGTTTCCAGTTGTCTCTAAGTTTCCTAGAACAGTGAAACTTCAGAAATGATCGAATTTGTCCTACAGCTTGAGAAGTCTCATTCTTGTTATCCGCTTATCAGTTGGGAATATTCAATCTATACTGGTCAATCATTGGGTAGTAACCAGTCTTTTGTAGTTTCGTCAGACAAGTAGAAGTAAATGACGAAGGACCTGGTAGGAGTGCCTCATAGTGGGAGTCTTCAAGAGGGATTGCCTTCTGAACAACTCTCCATGTGTGAATTCTCAGATTAATTATCTGAATATTCACTGAATATCATTTTCGGTCTAGGTATGCTTAACCTATTTCCAACTTAGTTGTACTTTAGCTAGTAATTATATTTGAGGTAGATAGGGGTCCCACCTGTTGTTTCATTGTAAATGTTGAATGAGTTTTCTGTATCCTGTTTGCAATGTAATTACTAGGTAATATACCACAACTGCACTTAATATTTGATGTAAGGTGGTACAAGAAAATATTTGATAGTTCCTGTTTGACCTATATTTTAAAGTTGCTTGAGTTCATCTGCAGCTTCGGAAGCAGAGAGATCTGTGTATTGTGCAGAACTTAGTATCTCGGGCAATATAAGTTTTTTGGAGGTTACGCTTTCACGCTGTGGATTCAAACAAGGAGCGACCACCTGTAAGTAGCTAGTCTATCAAAGCGAATTCTTGAAGATTTGAAGAATCATCCAACTACTAATGTATCGATTTACTGAGTACTTCTTGCATTTATAAGCTTAATGGCGTTGTTTCCGCCAATCTGTCCAATACGGGACTAAAATGTATAATGATAAGTGCAGATGTGTTATTGCTTTTGTGATTGATAATCGTACAGATGTGTTATTTATAAACATGTTTATGACAAGATTTGTTTTAACTACTTAGTCTAACTGTTTTACAATACTCTATTGATTACCTAATATGATAACACTCACTACGTTTTTGTTTTTTCCCTTTGAATTGCCTCTAGTTTTCTAAGTGCTGGTTCAGACCCTGAATCGTATGAATTACATATTTGCGCAAAAGACTACTGCTTTGGTCGAGCAGATCGATTGATTGGTTTGACTGTTTTACAACTTCGAGATTTATCAGCGATTACTGATTTAAATTCCTCCCCTACAATGAATTCAAGTGGTGCTGTTGGTGGTCGAAATGCTGCAGGCCAAAGTGGAGCATGTGCATGTATTTGTAGTCTAGGGAAAAGACTACATCTTGATGACACTGGATGGACTATACTACGTATACTTTCACAAAGGCCTCAAGATGAAATAGCACGTGAATTTGTTCGTCTAAAATCAGAAGTTCGTAGTCCATGTGAAACAGTCGGCAATACGACTAGTTCTGTCATGGGTAACTCATCGAATGGATCAGTTCCACGCAGCCGATAATCAAATCTGAAAAACGTAATACTGCCTTATAATACACCTTCCTGTCTACACAATTCTGGGACCATGAAAAGTATCAGTTACCTAGTTATGAATATTGATACTGTCTTCCTCTTTTTGACAGTTTGGTGCTCATCACTCTCACAGCTATAAATATATGTACTCACCATTGTCAGCCTTATTCAATAGAATATTTGTTCCTACTATCCCAAGTGACTATAACTTTGTTACTACAAGGTATAATGAATATATATCAATATTATCATATAACATCTCATAAAATTTTACCCTGCAGAACGTAATTCGATCTACACTATATGAACTCATTTACCGGATACGTATTCAAGTCAATAAAGAAGTGAATATTAGGCATTTTACGTCAACCACTTACAAAATTTTGTGTACATAGACAATACGAATATGTGCATGTGCATATTATTATCATTTACATTTTGGTTTCAACTCACTTTTATTATTTTTCGATTTTTATCAAAATAATTATTTATCACAACAATAATAATAATCCCTAGGAAATCGAATTATTACAGCAATTTCCATTTATATATATATATATATATATGGTAATGTTTTTGGAATAGTTACCTAATAATATCTTTTGTGTTATATGTAGACAACAACTACTCTTTTAATCATCAAACTATTAGCCTGCATATATATTATATTTATTTTGCTCCTCCGCCTCTTCTTCCCAAGTGATTTGGCTAAATTATTCACTTACTTTTATCTCTTATTTTTCATGATATAAAAAAAGCTTGAAGATTGAAGAATGTCAATCGATAATCTTGTCTGACTACATCTGATAATGTTGCATCTAAACTCAGAGGATAAATGGAAACACAAACAACAAGAATGCAATATATTCCTCTTTATATTTCATCTTCTTAAGCATTCTAATGCGTCTGTTTACCGTTGGTTTGATACAAAATTATAATTGTGGCTGTAGTGAAATGGTACAAAGTGTATACTTTGTTGTACATTACTACACTAAGTTTAGAGTGAAAAAGATGGTAACTTCTTCAAACATACAGACTGGCTGATAATTGATTACATCTATTATTATCCCTTTTTTTATAACTTCTTTAGTTCGTAAATGTAATTATTTATTTACTTATTCGGATTTATTTTATGCATGTATTAATAAGAGACTGTGAGATGGCAATTGATGTGATATAATGAATATATATTCATTAATTACCTATCCTAAAATATCAAAATGAATTTTTCATGGCTTATATCTATCTATCTTTGTATTGGTTGAATTTCAATTCTTCAATATTTGGTGAGTTTTCACATGGTTTGTACAAATAATAGTAAAAATTCTCTTATTGTTTACTTCTAGAATTAGCTAAATGTTAGTCCCTGTGATAAGTAGAAGGCTATGCAGTGTGGTTAACATGCTATGAAGATATTTTCCTTATAAAAGTATCATGAGGAGTAATTAAGGTCCAAAATATCAGTTATTCAGATCACGAGAAAAGTTTGAAAAATTAAGGTATTCTTTTAATTGGATATTAGCCTCGATCTCAAAAGGGATCATTTCACAGAACAAAATCATGGGGGAGAGTTACTTGCAATTCATTTTTTAATGATTGCAAAGAAAAAATCGTTAAGAGCAGTGCTATTTGATGGTTTTGTTACCAGAATTGTTCAGTATTTTAAAATGTAACCTGGTTTGAAGTAATAATCCAGTCTAACTTTCTAAGATACATCTATTTTTTTCCTTTAATTACTGATCCCCTTCAGTACAGTAGTCAAAGAAAATAAGACTTAAACACAGCACTCAATAAAGTGGTAATATAAGCTGAAAAAAGAGAAACTACAACATCTATTCACGACGAGTTGGGCGTCCGAGGGTGACATGAAGGAGATCGTGTGAGGAAGAAATGAGAGCTTCTAGGCAGTCTTGGAGCCAGGTTCAAAAGATTGTAGAGAACAGAGTGGAATGGAGCCCTATGTTCCACTAGGAACCCAAGGGACTAATAATAATAATCATACATCTATTCAATAACTGCTTATATGTTTGGCTAAATATTCAAGTTAGAAGGTCTATAAGGGAGATTGTTTGCGAATTAAGATACAGCTGACGTTGAAATTCACTACTTCTACTTACTTCTTTGCCATTTCTGTCAGATTTTTTTCTAAATTAGCTTCTGTGCCATTTAAACCTAAAAACTGGAAAACCGTTAAATGGGTTATTCAGTTTATGAACTTGCAAACTGAATTTAAACCTTATACTCGAAAAGTGTGAACCCTGGATATGTTGTATCTGGGGTTTGTATTTCCCAAGGAATAAAAAGCAGAACAACTTCATTGTTGTTATTCCTCAATATTAACACTTATCTTAAAGGTTCAAAAGATTTTCGTTGCGTTTTAAGTTGAATGTTTCATGTTGTTTGAGATGGATTGGTTTTTTAATGAAGGATTTCAAAGTTTAAACCTTGAAATTCAATGATGTGCTGATAAATCATCATAAGTTATTCCCCTACCATTTTACTTCTCAAATGATCAGGGGGTTTATTCATTGTTACCACCCTTGAGTCGGTATTGAAATGTAGTTTCGTTCACCACACTAATTTACTAGACACTAATGATTTCATTACATGTATGCGAACACTTTTAAGATACGCTATTCTGTTAAATAATGATGATAATAAATCGCTCATGTAGCAAATATGACATAAATCCATTCTTTTCATTCAGCGTTCTATTGATATAATGTACAGTGGAAACTATTTTTATGGTCTTACTTAATCTACCTTGCTTGATTCGACAAAGCGTTAAGAATTCTCATTCCTAGTGTGTGTATCTAAATGAAATAGCCTGCTAAATTATCATCGTTAAATTTTTTTGTATTAATCTGCATGATTAAATAAAGTTTTCGTGACATTAATTGGAAGTGCATCAAACCAATCCTAACTTAAAGGATTTTAGAACCTAATTTACCAAGTAACATATTATGCTTCCTAAAACTTGTGTCTTGATATACCACGGGTCTAATTCTCCACTTTTGCCGATTTTTGAAGCGTTAAATTTTTTCTCGAAAAGCTGTTCCTTGATATAACAGCGTAACTATACTGTGAAACACGGTGTTCCGAAATTATTCCTCGTAATTGACAGATATACATTATTGGTTTTTATGATAAACCCACCAGCATGGTAGCATCCATTTTTGCATTTCAATAAGTTTATTATACTATAGTAAATGATTAGGGTTATGAGATGCCACCTAGATTGATATAATAGACGTTTACAACCTTTTTAACTTTCGAAAGAAACCACCGAATATAAACTCAGGTACACGACTGTTTGACTGCTAGAAAATTTTAACCAACTTAAGCTTATTTAAATGGTTGATTAGCTGTTTCTTAGCGTAGAATCCTAACTAATAAATCACCTCATATTTTAGTTAAACTATCTGAGTCTTGACATTAGATATAGAATTGTATTTTTGTAAATCACAGCTGGTTTAAAATCAAATAATTCCAACGTTTCGCACGGAAGTCTGGTCTGAGCCTCTTCAGGGAAATAATCAAAATTAAAATATCAAGGAGTCTTGATTGGCCAACGGATTCTTTTGACCTATGACTGAAATTGTCAGGAAACCCGAAATCACTATACTATTCGAACCAGAGGTCTCTAGGTTATCTGTGTACCACTCCATCAACTGAGCTGTTGCATAGGCCCCAATCTTTTTTTGACTACTAAATATTTGGTCCAGCTGTCATCATAAATAAAAGTCATTTAGGTGCCTGTTCTTCATTACATCAACTCAGTTAAGGTTGCGATTGATGGGAAAACTAAAGGTCTTTGATCGAAACCTTTCAGTGACGCCAGTGTTCTGGGAACTTCAATTACCTTCTCCTTGTATATAAAGATCTTGTAACTATTAAGATATTTGATGGATTAGTGACCTACTTACTTTCTTCAAAGGTGTGTCATGATATCCATCAAGAAGCAATTCCAACAAGTGTTCTGATCACAGGTCGTAATTATGCTCGAAATATTACTAAAATAAAAGGATTAACTATTTTATATAACTATTTGTTATGAATATGTTTATAATAAATTAATATTATTTACCGTGTAGTTTTCCTGATGCAAACCACTTAACATTGCTAGCACTGTGAATACTACTGATAGCAGCTGTTAAAAGTGAAATGAGACGTTTTGTCTGAATGCGTGTATGTTCTCTAGAAATTAAACTGACTGATCCTAACGATGGTGAGGGTAATTAAAAATTCTCACTGAATTAAACAAATGGATCTGATTCAGAGATTGAAAGTATTTAACTTGATCACTAACTAATAATTTTCATTGATGAAATAACTGATAAGTTTCAAGGGAAACAAAATATCAACTCTACTTTCCAGTTTTGTATACTGTAAATACCTATTTAATGTGCTAAAGTAGCGACTTGGTAACGAAAAATATAACTAGACTTCAAAGCACAGAATTTTGAGATATGACATACGAAAGTTATATTTTCGTGACAATTTAGTAGCAATCTGAAATAATAAGTAATAATTCGTTATCGCACTTAAAATTTGAAATAAATAATATGCGAAAAAGAAGTCATCAGTAACAATTAGATACGATTAACTTAAACAAATGAAGAGAAAAGTACTTGTCAGAAAACCTCTCTTGAGATTGAACACTGAACTTAGATAATCACTTTAGCATCTTCATATTGCTGATATTCACTGATTAATTCAAGCACATTTGATTCAGTCGATTGAAACTCTGACTCATCCATCCCTTCACCACTATACCAGTGCATAAATGCTTTACGTCTATACATGACTGAGAATGCTTGTTGTATGCGCTTAAATACAGTCTGTATAGCTGTTGTATTAGCTAAAAAAGTAGCACACATTTTTTGTCCTTGCATTGGAATATCGCAACATGCATTTTGTATATTATTTGGTATCCATTCAACAAAATATGGAGAATTTTTATCTTGTATATTCAACATACTTTCTTCAACTTCAGCTATACTTAAATATCCACGAAATATAGATGCACAAGTTAGAAATTTCCCTTGCCTTGGATCACAATAAGCCATTAAATGTTTTGCATCAAACATTTGTTGTACTAAATTGGGCACTGTAATTGCTTTATACGGTTGATTACTACGACTAGCTAATGGCACAAAGCATGGAGCAAAAAAATGTAATCTTGGATAGGGTACCATATTAACAGCTAATTTTCTTAGATCAGAATTCAGTTGCCCAGGAAAACGAAAACACGTTGTCATACCACCTATACATGTTGACATTAAATGATTGATATCCCCAAATGTCGCTGATATCTTTAATACATTTGTACATATATTATGCAAAGCTTCATTATCTAATACAACAGTTTCGTCACTTAATTGCAGAAGAACATCAATGGTAAATATTGCATTGTACGGTTCAACGACAACATCAGAAACCTAATTGATTTAACCAAAAACAAAAAATTAGTCAACTAAGAGCAAACCGAAGGAAGAAGAAATAAAATATTTTATGTGTCTGTTGAATTCCAAAGAACTAAAATATTATTTATCCAATACACAGTTAAGTTTTGTTCATTCATTTTCTGAGAAAAGTACTTAGCCTTTAAATAGAATTATCACTTTTTAACTTATTTAAAGTAATTGGCTTCGTATCGAATCAATTGCATCTATGGCCTAATAGCTCAGACGACTATTAAGTTGAGAATTCAATCTTTGTTTAGCTCGGAGTATCATCCGTCGTCCTACTCTAATTTCACCTCATTGTTAACTGGAAATGTCTATGAAAAGTTAGTGAGTTATCAACATTACTACAGCGTTGTTAAAGATGATTTTGTCATTCCGATTCATAACTGTTACCTTGACATAGTTGCTGATGAAATCTCAACTCGGATACAGATGCCACGTTTTACATTTGCCAACTTGCGTCACCTGTGGCACCGAATAGCAAGATATCCGATTATCTATCAAAGGACCAGTATACTACTCTGCAGTCCGTTCTGTCCTGTTTTACGGCTGTGAGACATTGCCATTAAAAGTAGAAGACATGAAGCGATTAAGAGGTTTTCACCACAGATATCTTCAAAGCATTGTTCGTGCTTGGGGCAATCACCGTGTGAACAATGTTGAGGCCAGGCGAAGGATATCATGTAAGACAGGCAGGTCGATTGATGAAATTGTCAACCTTAGTCGACCGAGATGACTTGAACATGTAGCGTGCATACCAAGTCACCGCCTACCTTGAGATACCATGCTAAGGGAATCACGATTATGTCAAAAGAGGGTTCAGGGTGGCCAGATCGAAACATGACATCATACTGTTGGCCCTAGTTGTGTAGAGATTTAGGCTGTCTGGTTGGGGTCCCCGAGGATACTTCGTGAAATGGCTGAAAATTGGTCACAATAATGTAGATATATTTACTCCTTGACGTCTTCTAAAGCTCGAATATTCACACTAACCTTTGTTTTTAAAATTTTCATTCTCTCACACAGCTTTATCTACTTTGATATCACTCCTTTTTCTATCCAACTGTTCCTTGTATACTTCTGTGAAGTATGGCAACTTGAGCCGATACACTCCTGTGCAAGATTCTAAGTTGGTTTTGTCAGTCATTATTACTCAGTGAATCTTTTCATGAGATTGTGATTTTATATTGACCAGTTAGTTAACTTATAGTAACTAGTGTCTGATGCTAATTTCAAGTATTGAATGGAAAAAGAAAAATTAACCGGAAACTAAATAATCTGTTCAATTAGGTTGATGACATTAAACAGCAATCTGTGCACTAGACTTTGCTAAACGTCCATTAATTAATAGGTTTAAACTCCCATATGTTCCAATTTTACACCCGGAGGATATTATCATATACACAGTGTGGTAGAACTTAACTGTCTCTTTAAACACGCAATTGGTTTTTTTTGTCAAGTTAAGAGTTTTACATTTGTTTCTTAGGTATGCTGTTTCCAGGTGTCTAACTCCGAGACAGTATAGTGAAAAGTAGTAAAAAAAAAGAAACAAAGGGATATATATATATATATATATATATATATATATATATATATACTAGTCCATAGGTTACAGAAGGTGAAAATATGTGTAACTACAAATGCTAAGGTCGATAGCCAATTACCTCACACATGAGTAATCTTTTGAAGCTTGGTGAGTCTAAGATATTGTTTGCACCAATCCAACTGTGAAGAAATAGCCAGTAGCTAAGTACTTATAGTGAGACCAAATAATCTCAGATTATTCGAGTGCAGAAGTCTAATGACTGAAATAATTACGCTAATCGAATCCAACCCTCATAGAGATCATTCATCATTGTTGCATCCATGTAATGGGAAACTAGAAATCTTTAATCCCATTTTTCTACCTTCAAAAATATTTTTTCCATAGGCATACTTTAAAACTGATAGAAATCAGTGTTGTACACACGGGTGTTGATGGAAAATAGAATACTTAATAGCAATTAATTGGTCAAATGCGTCTACTCAATTAGGCATTGTGATTATGGATCAGTATGTAGCATATACAGTTTTCGCAAGTTTATGTGGCATTTTGTTGATCAACAAAATAGTATAAACACGATGGAATATATATAAGCTTGTTCTCAAAACCATGGTAATCTATTAAATGTCAAGAATTAAAAGCACACTTTTATTCATAAGAGTTTAAAAGCTTACTTTGGGTGAAGGGAATATTGAAAAGGTGTTTACAATTCTGTCTGGCCAGCCTTCTTTTAATTGTTCTAGTATTAAACATGCCATACCGGAACCACAACCACCACCAAGTGCATGGATTATTTGAAATCCCTGAATTAAATCACAACTTTCAGTCTCTTTACGTATAACATCCATCACAGAATCAGCTAATTCTGCACCATCTGTATACCTTCCACGCGCCCAATTGTTACCCGTTCCAGCTTTACCAATAATATAATTTTCTGGACGAAATAACTGACCCAACAAACTTCCATGAACTGATTCTATAGTATTTGGGTCCAAATCAACTAACACACACCTAGGCACAAAACGTTCACCTAAATTGTAAAATAAAAGGAACAGAATATTATTAGATATAACTGAATATACTGCTTATTAAAGTAAGTATCTGTATACCATACACAGCGACAATTATTGTTCCCCAATAAAATCACTATGATTTTAAAAACGAAGAGAAACTGCGACTGTCTGGAGAGTAAGGTTTGTCTTCCACTTACCCCAGTTTATGTACTTCAGGAAACCATATTACTCAGACTACGTATCAGAGAGATGCAGTATTAGATTTGATTATATAACACACAGTACTGTTTACTGGATGACCTTTCTATCATAAAGAATTTCTCATGATCAGGTAAAAATAGTCACACAACCTTTGACATTTGGTTTTATAGTTCTATCATGTCATTTTTTGTTCTGCAGTGGTATTCAAATTCTGCATATCTTCAGAAGAGGTATTGCATCTTTTCTATTGCATGTGTTGAGCGCTGATTTGACTAATATTGATTTCCGTTAGCTATCTCTCTCTTTCCACCCAACTATATTGATCTTTGATGCAGTTGCTCTACCCCACTCTATTGTATGACTGCAAGTCAGTTCGTATACTGCAATAACTCAGTTTTCTTCTAGATTACTGATCATAAATGGCTCTATCACTCTCATTCTGGTTCATTTCCTACATTCCGATAACCTAATGACCCTGATCAGCTACCTTGACCTATGCATTTGACCCCAGAATCATTATATTGTATCTCGTAGATCAAATTATTTTATCTAACAGGATCAGAAGGATCCTTAAATCGCTTAAGTTTATCTCTAAGTGAGTTTGTAGGTTTGCAAGCCACATTAATTTTAGCCTTATTGAGAACTTATGTTAAGTTCTGATGTTCATTCTTCAGACGGTAACACAATAGAAAAGTTGGATTCCTTTCTGTTTGTATAGCCAAAACTATTCATGAAACTGTTACTAACTTCTTTTTTACGTGTGATCCAATTCACCTATGAAACGAAAAATGGGTAAGGAGAATAGGGTATGTTGAGTTGCAAGATGTTCATAATTTAGAATGGTGTAAAGAGTGAACAAATTTATACCATTCTGAGAGTGAATAATCGATATGGGGAGCCTACTCTCTTAATATGATTGTGACCAACAATCAGTAGTTCTAAGCACAGAAACTATTTCGTAGTTCTAACCAGTTCTGCTGCACCCAGCACCATTAACAAAATAAGGTCTTGACTCAAAACCTTTTCGATTAATTTTTTATATTCCCCTTACACAAGTAGAAACTAATTCACTTCGGTTAAATTTTTAGCGGTAAATTCATCTTAGATATTGACATTCCACTTACACCATTTTTATAAACTGTTGAGTGTAATTTACTTGGTGGTGGTTAGCAGTGGAATCCAGAACGCACGTTTCATCCTCTTTGGGATTCGTCAGCCGGGTATATCTGCACACCAGCTGACGATTCTCAAAAAGGACGAAACATGAGTATCGGATTCCAGTTAGTCACCACCAAGTAAAATATAGGGAATATTCAGGCAATATCGAGGAATCTACATAGGAGACCATATGCCAACAGATGTCAATCATCTCTGCCTCGTATAAAAACAGGGAATTACAAGTATCAACAAGTAATGTGTAGTACAATATTTAGGTAGTTTTAGGTAATGAACATCTCTATTACCCTAGATAAACTGGGAGTTGTTACATTGCAGAAACGATACTTATGTGTGGAAAGCTTTTAGGTGTAAATATATTCACAAATCAGGATCGTGTATTTACCTCGTTTATAATGTACGTTACAATTTTATAACCATCTTTCATGTGTCAACAACCCCTTTCCTTATAAAAATAATATGTTTTGGTACTCATAACGTTAAACCAGATTCATTACAAACACCTGAAATCATACAGTGTCCAAATGCTAACATTGGTCTCGGGTTCCATCCCTGGCGGGGTCATGGGTGCGCACTGCTTAGGAGTCCCATACTAGGACGAAACAGCTGTTCAGTGCTCCCAGGTTTCCATTGTTCCTGCAACTGATACCAGTCTACGATGAATATCAACTTGAAATATTTCTAAATCCCCACAACCTCCTCGAAAAATTGGTTAACACAATATAAAGAGTAATAATGATTGGTACGAAATAAGCTAGATGGTGTAAACGATAATGCTATAACCGTTCTTTGCATTCATTCAGGAAAACAAGTGGATTTTACTTATAGTTATTTCACTAACCAACTTTATAGCTGGCATAGTTAAATAAACAAAGATAGTATCTTTCTCTGACTAGTTGACCGAATCTTCTATATCAATTCACGTCGTATTCCATGAACGTTCAAATGTTTGATTAGTTTCAAATGATAGAAACATATTCATGATTCATAAAATAGTTAACATAAACATACCCATAGCTTCACTAAAGTAAACATTTATGCGTTCAAGCTGTAAATCTGATTCCCCGTTGAATCGACCATTCGGATCAACACCGTGTTCATCAGATATAATTTCCCAAAACTAGATATTTAGTTGTGAACAAGTTAAGATTATGGTGTAGTTAGATTGAAAAATTAGCTTCATCATACAGCAATTCGAAAATTATCACTTCTGTTTGTTGTCCTTTTGAAAAGCTATGTCAGAAGTTGGTAAATTTTTAGGAATTACCACAGATAAACTCGACCACACACGAGAGAAACGGCCATCCAGTGTTTAAATCTTTTATATAGTTGATGAAATCTACAGATCAGCCTGAGTTGTTTCACACTACTTAAGTTGTTCAGTAGGATACTTCGTTAGTTCATAACACTCTTATGCCAGAGACCACATTTTGTGATCTTGGTTGTGTCATTTCCAACGGAAACCCTGTTGACACCACAGTTAGGCAGCTGAAAAAAACACAACCGCGGGAGATGTCAACGTGGTCAGTGCAATTTGTAATTCATATGTAAATTGAACATTCTATGTGTGAAGTTGTTAAATTTTCAGGATATACTGACTGTTTTAAAGTTTTGTACTCTGGACTACCACAGAAAGGATGAGGAATTTTGAAAAGTATCAAAAGATTGTGAAATTTATTTTGTTGGTAAAGATTTTAACTTGGAAGGCTATTCAACTTTTGATAAAACAGAGTACCACTAATAATTGTGGTCACAGTTTTCGATAATTTTTATCAAACACAAGTGAACCAATTTCATATAATATTGACCTACTAACTTTTGCTCGGAATAAAGAAATGCATAGAAGAAGAAAACATTACAGTCTAAATGTCAGAGACTCCGTATGGTCGTAATTTCGATGGGTGAGCTGGGAATTCCCACTGACAGTAAGTTACTATTGGTTACTATTGGTCAGACCTGGGGATGTTACCCGACGTTTAATGTCGCCTAGTACTTCATGAACACATCAAGATATAGATCAAGATGATTAAATATACTACATTAAAAATAATGCATAACTAAAGCTTTAGAAATCTGTAGGAATAAAAGAAGGTTTATTTAGTTCTATGTTTTCAATAATAATCAGTAATAAGTAACCCAAGAGACCATAAGTTTTCCGACTGCTCTAAACTCACGCTTACCATCTGAAATCGGGTTATGTTAATAACTGTTTGTTGGTAATCTTATCTTCTTATAAGTTTAAAAGGAATTCCAACATATATTGCACAATCCGAGCTACCATCTATCCAGACCCACCGCGTTAGCTGGAATGAGGTTAGAGTGGAAAATGGCTAAGTGTGATCCGATTAGAACTTAACATCTGTTCATAAAGTCTTTGACTGTTATTTTGAGCAGTCTGGGGGAATATCCACTAGAGTATTAAGATCTGCGAACCAATCGAGAACTACGGTTTCGGACTCTAGGTGACATAATTGATAATGAATTGTAGTGATGGATGAGTCCAAGTCTTATCCGCACCTTTAGTGTTATCTTAAACTTTGTTATTCGGTTCATCCAATCCTCTTCTCACTTTAGATCATCCTACTACTTTCGTCTATGCTATCTGCATTCCTTTGCTTTTTATCTTGTCGCCTCATATTTTGATGTAAGTTGTGGTAAATTAGACCGTTCGGTAGTAACACCAACTTTCTATATTGATATCGCCCTACTAACTGTATCTTATAATTCATGAGTTCTAAATCAAGGATATATGAAAACCGACAAGATTAAGCATTAAAGAGAAACACAGTAGGCATGAAAAGATAGATTATCGTAGATCTAGAAAATGGCAACAGAGATACTTTTATTTTATAAAATTGACTGCATTTGTTAGACTAAAAATCATCTTTTTATTGTAATTTTCACCAAAACAGGGAGAATAATATCTATTTCTATGTAGCAATTCTGTTGTTATGATTATAAAAATGACTGTTTTATTATTTGTACAGGGTTATGATTGAAGGTGAGATGAGAATCTGGACCGCGACCAGATTCGAACCAGCGGCCACCGGGTTACCGGCCCGGTGCCCTGCCAACTGAGCTACAAGGTCCTACTGTTGGCCAGAATTTTATTCCACTTCAATCACCAAGGTTTTTACGCGACTACCATGTGAATTCGTGAAGCGTGACTACCTCTTGATCATATTCACACTGGTTGCCTAGTCAGAACTTCTCATCGCAATCCAAATCTAACTGAATCAGATAGAGGGAGCATCATATTGATTATGATTTGACTATATGAGATCTCATTATTATTACTGCTAAACCTAGTGTTAAAACTATGATTTTCCCTCTGAATGCCTATAAATAAGCGGAATTTATCGTCATCATTCAAATCGAAAACACGATTGTCAGTAAGCTTTAAGTGTCATTATTCCGTTCAAACAACGTATGCGAGTGAAATGAATAATTTTGAGCGTAATCCTGATTAATCTCTTCATTTACTGCAACATTTTCTATCCGGAGTGCCACATTAAGCTTACATGACGACATGCAGGATACCGGCAATGAAGAACACTCTTCAAATGACTTTGTTTGTTGTATCTATCTTTCTCAATGTGTATGATTACTTTGTTCAAACACTAATGTATGTTTCGCATTTTGTTCAATTTGCTCCGTATTTTAGACTACTCGCAAGTTCAAAAAAAATTCCGGTTTCTCTTGCTTCGATAAAGATGAGTAGGAGAGAACACATTGTATGAGTATAATGTTTTTGTTGATACTTACTTTGAATCCACAATTATTACCAGTTTGACCAAGTTGTAGAAATACTATTTCACGCATTAAATATATGAAAAGTAAATTCAAACAGAATAATTATTACACTATGAATATAATGTGACTGTAATCTCTAAAGTATTAGGCTAGATCCAAGATAACAAATGAAACTTGAGATTTCTAAAAATTGTTGTTAGCCATAGATAATAATTCAGCGTCAAAATGAATCAATTAACTTCTTAATCGATTATTGATCAATTCAAATAAAAAGTATTAATATCTAGCTATATGACTATTATCATTAGTTGTATAGTGATAATGTTAAATACCGATAGATTTTAAGAAACGATATCTTGTTGGATAATTATTTACAAAGAATTGCGCATACAATCAGAATAGTGAAGTCTATTACATTGAAAAACTGGCTACTTGTTTGTAAATATGAAATTTCTTTCAAATTTAGATAAATTTATGTTTAATCAGACACTTAAATTTTTTTTTCACTACCTTCATTGAAAAGCATCCAGTGACTGGACATCCATAATGATGTGGCTTAAAATGGCTGTTTACAAAACGAATACGAACAGTCATTATTTTCTTCGAGTTCTCCAGAATCCCTTTATTTTATGACCTTTCACTTTTTATTTTATACCATCTTTTTACGAGCTTAACCCAATATTTTATTTCACTTCCGCTATTGCGTCATCTATGATGGGTTTTTTAACCATCGTTACTCATTTGAAGTACCTTCTTAGTTTGATAACATTGGTTACATGCCAAGGCACTCAGATACGATTCACTATCAAAACTTGTATTGATTGGTCACAAGAGTCCAACCAATTTCATTTTGTCTAGTCCTGAGTGCAGATCGATAGGATTGCACTCCTGTTACCAATCAATACATGTAATTCAGTCCTACAGGAGGTAAATCGCGTCCCGAATAGCTGAGTGGTAAAGCTGCTGACTACTACACTGGGTGACGCGGGTTCGAATCTTGAGCAGGACACCAGTTCCGTTGATGTTGCAGATACGCCCTGCTAACGAGTGCCAACAAGCACGAAACCTAGGTCCAGAGCTTCCTGCCGATCGCCCCCAAGCAACTGGTATCAAAACTTGTTAGAATGATGGAAAACCTTCAGGTTATCTACTGACCCAACTATGTAAATAGCATTTTTCTTGAAACTGGTATAGAATATCAAAGTTTTTTTGGGAATGTAGCTAGCTAAAGTATGACATTTAATATTAAAAATTGACATTAATTATGTTGCAGTTAAACATGAATGTTAGTAGTCTCATTTCAAATGAAGTAGCAAAAGACTACCAAACTAGAATGAGACTACATTCATTGACAAATAATTTTTGATGATTTTTTAGATGGATATCAATTAGATACGAAACTTGTCTACCGGTATACATCCTTGAAACATTCTCATTCTGGTGTTTTCTGTAATCAACTAGAAACATTGTTTAATTTATATGAACTACTAGCAAGGCTTGACCGAGTGATATCTCAAATATTTGGAGCCGAAGGTTATATATTTGCACAAATCTCTACGTGTTTCAAATAAAATAACTCTTACATTCCTCATGAAAGTTTGGGCTGAGCTTCTTCTTCAAGAAAATAATGAGAAGTAAATTATGAAAAATATATAAAAACGAGTATAAAACTGTGTACTTAATCTCTTTGTCCGATTCTGTTTGTATAACGATTGGCTTCCAACCGTGATTTTTAATTAGCCTGTCAGTATAAAATTAAAGTATCCTGTTTGTGATGTGATTTGACTTGTTCCGAATATCATCCTTCATAAAAAGTATGAAGCAAAATGGTCAGTGGTAAGACAATAGTCACATTTTCATAAGCTTTCATAAGCTTTCTAGTTTTGTAGGAGGTTTAACACTGATCTCGATACAACGTTCTCTACAGCATTAAAATAGGTAAAAGACTTTAAAAAATGTTAGTTAGATGGAGGTAATTGGCAAGAAGCTCTGGACGTAAGGTTCATGCTTGTTGGTATATCTGCAACCTCTACGAAACTGATGTCCTGAGATTTGAACTCGCGTCACCCAGTGTCGTAGAATAGAATTCGATTAGCACATAGGACTAGACAATATGAAGTTGGTTACCCTAGAGTTACCAATCGATGAGATTCGAAAGAGGAAATAATAAATGGCATCATACGTCATGAGATGATGTTAAATCTTGATGTGTTTGCTCACTAATGTTCTAATAAATGATCTTTTGGAAACTGTGAAACATTCATGTGATATTGATTCGTCATTATTAGCATACAAATTCCATTTGACATATATATTCAGCAATAATCAATTATTAGCCTAGCCTTAGTCTACTTACTTCTTTTTTTACCCCTTTGAATTGATGCTTTCCGCTCTGTCGACTGGTAATCAATTACCTGTGTTTCTTATCTATTAAAACATCCACCAGACTATCTGTCTACTAAGGCTACAACATTTGATTCTACTACTGAGATTATTATACACTGCTCACCTCTTACTTTATAGTCTCCCGAATAAATACGTAGAATGTCCCACTGTTATTCGAAGGGATCATTTCTTCGTATGCAGTTCCACCTGTTATCAAACTCAAAGTCGGTTCATGTTTTTCTTGTACAATAACTAAATGTTACGATTTTCCCTCCACATCGATTCTTTGTATATTCTAGGTTTTCTATAAGTAAAGTTGTGCCATGAGGTGATTTCGTTTTATTTGACAAATCTTTTCATCTTTATAAACTCTATCAAGGTAACGCCATGTATCTTAATGACCACAGGGGAAGGAATATAACAAGGACATTGACTTTATGCTTAGCACCTATATATAAACGGAACTACAATTGCAACATTTGTATCCTCAACTACTGCTTATTCACAAACGCAGACAACAGAAGAAAATGCCTAAGATGAGTGGATTGTCCTACTAATTTAGGATATGTTAAAATATTCGTATGGTACTTTATTATCACTCAAGAAAGCGTTTTCTGAATCATACAAACTTCGTTTCAAATTATATAGGGCTTGGAGGCAAAATAAAAGCAAATAGAAAGATTCTAAGGTTTTTCTCGCTGACTCATCTGAAAAAACGTTGACAGGTGACTCTTTCAGGGTGAAATGCATAGGAAGTTAGTACTCTTCAAGAGATATCTCAATTCTCAATCAGAACGAGTAAAATGCGCAAAACCTATAACCCCTTTGATTCCATCTGCATAAAGAATACTGAAACATATCCTAACGAATCTCTGGAGGGAACTCAGTTCCCATGAGGTTGCAGACATACCTCACTGACGAGTGCCAACAATCTCGAATCCTAGGTTCAGGGCTTCTTGCTGTTTGTTGCCAACCACCTAATATCAATCAAAATGCATCGCAATACTGAGTCTTCTGGCTTGGTGACCACATTATAAAATGGTCGATAGAATTCGATCAGCACTTTGGACAAGAAAAGAGAAACTTGGTTACTTTCCTGTCATTAAATAATGTAAATAATGTAATAAACCGTATCGAAACATATCCTAATGGCTTTTAGAGTTAAGCATTCATTATACGACTACTTTTTACTGAAAATTGTCATCATGAAAATTTTCTGATAGACAGTCATTAATTCAGCCAATAGAAGAATCAACACTACGAAGAAAGAAGCAACGATGCCTTGTTGTGCACAATGACAAAACCAAATCCTAAAGTAATATTGAAGCAAATCCTTAAAATACTTACTTATAGTATTAAGACTGATTTGAAGCCATAAAATTCTTTAGAACAAGTTGCAATTAAAGGGAATGAGGAAGTTTTGAGAGAGGTAGAGTATAGCTAGTATATTTCAGCAATATGTTCACATACGTTTACCAGTAACTAAAACGTTTCCAGTGTCATTTCGTAAACACTAATCAAACTCTGCTGATCACATTTGCAAAGTGTTCACCAGGGTGGATGACATCATAGTTTTTTATTCTGAATGTTTAAAGTCAATGAGCAGGAAGCGCTTGACCCACCTTTATTGCTTGTTAGCGGTCGTCACTAAGCGGCAACGTCGGTGGAATGAATATTTCTGCACTATCCAGCATAATAAATACGTAATAAAACAGAAATATACCCGCTGACTAGCAAAACCACAAGCATATACCAAGATTGAAACGCATACATCCACTAAAAGTCTAGTTGCGTACGACGGTGGGTCTCTCTGTTGCCCCACTAGATATCAATCAGTACACCGTTGACCTGGCGAAAACTATGGTTGGAGAAATCCATATAGGCAAGAACAGTGGTGTGAGTCTTCAAAGCACAGACGTCTTTTTAAGCCGTCAAAATTCCTCTCACCTCGCAGTGCAATCGAAAGGTAAGGTGAATCTAGCTTCCTAATTCAGGCAATCATTGTTGAAACAATCCCAAGAGATAGTTGTAGTTTACCTTGCGAAGGTGAGCGATATTCGGTTGGGACTGCCAGTGTCGTTAGTCCTAATCTTGGCTGTACTCCACTAACCTGAAAGAATTCACTGTTCTGAAACTTTCAGGATTACGGGTTCACGGGCTAGACCCCTTTTCAGTACGCTAGGTTGTGGAGGCCCCAGTCAGAACAGTAAACAAAACGATTACCCTGCGAATGTAGATGCGTTGAAGCCTGAGAGATGGGAAGGTTCCAGGATAACCTTTATCATTTTTGAGGGGGCATTAGCAGAATGCCCTGACAGAAGTATGCGTCTACATTCGAATGCGTTGCTTCTATGTTTCCTGCTCGGTGAGAGGATCGATCCGCCAGGTTCCTGTTGGACTACCCAGAGATCCGAAGACCTGCTCAGAACTTGGAGCTGAGTCGAAAATCGGATTGAAATAAAAGACAGAAAAACCTTTAGTATTCAACAAAGAGATAGAAAGTAAACCGAAACTTAAACCGTATTTGTTACTTGTTCTTAAGTTTGTACAAATTAACGATTGTACCAATTTGCGGTATGATGGTGTATCTGACATCCCAATAAGAGATCACTGGACTTGGTATGAGCTTAATTCACCGACTGTCTATCCTAATAATGGTTTTATAGAAAATTCAAATGGTTATCCAGTCACAACTACTGACTAAATTCATTATCATTCACTTTAACGACATAATTATTCAATCGCATTGTTAGTTAATCGGCTTTCCATTTGATACAGTTGATTGAGGTCAGATAATTTAGTTAAATAAACCGATGTGTTAGATTTTCAACCAAATGTTTGGTAATAATCCACTGTTATTTGCACCAATGT